ATGAATGAATTTTGATTGTCAATTGAAACATTAATCAATCTAATATTATTTAGAATGCAGAAAATAAGTTAAACTAACTTCATTTTGACGAGAATTTTTTTTTATTTTCATGAAAAATTTGCTGAAATGAGTGAAAATTTAAAAAAAACGGTGTATTTTCCAGGATAAAATCCGTACAATCCGTACAATTTGAAAACAAATCCGTACAATCCGTGCAATCCGTACAATCCGTACAATTTTAGGGTTAAAAAAAAATCAATCCGTACAATCCGTACATTTTGGCCACCCTGAATATATCCAAAAGAATATCGCTTAAACTTTTTCTAGAGTAAGAGATACAGACGAAATAATCTTTATATAAATGAAATGCAAGAATCTCAATCTGCATGCATTTACAATTATTTTTTTTTCTTCACATAAAGAGACAAATAATAAAATAGTCGAGATTTGTCTCATACCAAATATAGGAAAGATATATTCTTTAGAATGCTTTGTTTTCAACTTACAAGTTTAAAGGATGTTTGTGTGCATCGATCATGGAACTATTTATTCAACAGAAAAAATAAAGTTGACAAGAATAATGTGATAATTAATAACAATTATACCTTATGGCATCCAGACCATACTGGAGACTTCTCTTATCCTGAGGGGCCAGATTTCCTCTCCCAGAGCTCAGAACATGTTTCCACCATCCATCCTTGATGTACATATACATGTAATTCGCACTCGAATTCTGGGTTGGAAAAGTTGATAACTCTTAAAATAAGTTATTTTAAGGGAAGTGGTTTTTAAATACGTATTGCGTTTACCTGGTCCACTGAGGTTAGGTTTGCTCCAAGGTAGGGAGGAACCAGGAGTTCCTCATTCTTCTCCTCTTGGTAACCTGCAGGATTAAATAGTAATCAATACAAAAACAAAGAAAAAATATTCAAAGGATAAGACCCTCTCTTTCTGACCCTGGTTAAAGAAGAAGATTCAAATCACGAATAACAGGGAAAACTTTTTGATACAGTATCCGGATTGAAGTTTTAATTCCTTTTCGGTTCCTGGTATTTTAGCCAGGACTTTGGATTTAAATCCAATGCCAAGTTTCCAGCCAAACAATAAAATTTTAGTCATGTCATCATCCCCCATTACCTTTTATTTATGAAATACAAATAAGGGGTTACATGTATGACGAGTGTTTCCCTGAAAGGATTTGTTCAGTAAAATTTTTTATTTTCATTAAGTTAAGATGTAATTTAGAAGCTGAAAGTGATGTGCACTATGTAAACCCTACGTCGAGACTGAATTTAAAGAATTAGAGAGGTCGATGAACTTTCTACAGTCGGTTGAAATCCTAAATCAACATTGCAAATTCTCATGAATCTTTAAATTATTGTTTAGGTTATAGACGGCACGTCTGTGAGTTAAACATAATGAAGACGACATCTGGGATAGTCTCTCAGTTCAGTGTATACCCTGTACTGTACTGTTACGCGTACACATCTCCACATGTTCCTTCCATCACTACCTCCCTATCTCTACCTGGATTCTTATCATTCCTCTCTCTACTTCCTCAGCTCAAACAACCAATAGTTATTTACAGGATAGTTACAGTTTATTTAATAACTTCTTTCTCGGTTTTTCTTTTAATCTATTTAATTTAATTTTATTTCAGTTCACACAATCTCGTTAGTTATTATTCAAATTATTTAATAGCTTCCTTTCGATTTAATCTATTTAATTTCATGCTATTTCAGTTTACACATTCCTGTTAGTTATTAATTTAAATTATTTTAATAGCTTCTTTTTCCGTTTTTTGTTCTATTTAATTTCTTTCTATTTCAGTTTACACAATCTTGTCATTTATTAATTTAAATTATTTAATAGCTTCTTTTTCGTTCTTTAACCTACTTAATTTCACTCTATTTCAGTTTACACATTCTTGTTAGTTATTAATTTAAATTATTTAATAGCTTCTTTTTCGTTTTTTAATCTACTTAATTTCATTCTATTTCAGTTTACTCTTTCTTGTCAGTTATTAATTTAAATTATTTAATAGCTTCTTTTTCGATTTATAATCTACTTAATTTCATTCTATTCCAGTTTACACAGTCTTGCTATTATTAATTTAAATTATTTAATAGCTTCTAACATTAGACAATTTATTATTCTTTTAATTTTTCTTTATTTTCTTTAGTACAGACTATTAGTTAACCTTTTTCGCTACCTATTTATTAGCTTTTTATTCTTTGTGCAAGGATTCAGCTACTGTTGAGTCCTCCAGTTTTTCATTATTTCTTTATTTACTTCTTGTATTGCTTGTTTTAATTAAAAATTTAGTTTCGGTAATTAACCTTAACACCTCCTAACCAAACCTTGGCCCTTAATTCCTTAATCATTAGCTATTCTACTTAAATTCTTGGCCCTTAGTTAATTTACCTAGAGTGTAACTAACTTTTTCTTTTTCAGCTATGCCTGCTGGTGCTTCTGATAGAACCGTCATTAGCAGTTCTGCCTTTGACAACCCTGATGACCTTTCGGCTGAAGATTTTGCAGCTCTTTCGGTCAACTCAGTAGCAGATTTTCCCACCGTACTTCTCAGCAACATCAATTGGAACGGCGGCATAATTGGTTGCGTTTCTGTTTCCCTCAGCCCTGACAATTTGAGGATAGCATCAGCTGCCTTCCACCTTCTGGGTTCCCTTTGGTCTGACAAATCGTTTAATACAGCCACCTACTGGAACACTACTTCTCCTTCGCAGCTAGTTCTCTCTATTGCTGATCTCACTATATTCAGATTTCCTCCAGGTTCCCTGTGCTCAGCCTATGTCAGCTCAGCAGACCTCGAGTATGAGTTTACCCAAGATAGCTCCGCCATCCCAGCAGCCCTTATTTCTCAAGCAGGCCTCTCCGAATTCTGCCTCCGGGCTTTCTGTTACCCAACCTCAGACTCTTACGCCAAGCTGGTTATTCTTTTGTTCCCTTGTTCCGAAACCCTACTAGCTCAGAACCCTCTCTACCTGGACCCTTACTTCCCGGGTCTACGACTGTACGACTCTGAGTTCTCGCTTTCCCCCCCTTCCTTACTCTCTCCGATTGCTCGACCTTGGGGGTTTCCCCTCGCTGCAGCCGTTTTTCCTGGAGCTGACTGGGAAGAGGCTCCAGGCTTCCCTTCTGGTTTGAGAGTTCGAATTGCCCTCAGCAAACTATTCAGATCTGCTATCAAACCTGACGTCAAGGCCAACCTGCTAACTTTACAGCAAAGGATTGATTCTCTCTTGGACAGAGGTTCAAATGCTCTACAAGTTCGATTTCCGTTACTCCTCTGGCCAGAAGCCACTGCTGTACCTCCTACAGACCTTCCTTCTCAAGGTTGGGTTTTATTTATTTGTTTATCTTACCCTGTCGAATTTTACTTTATTTTCAGCTTCTTGCTTTTTTCTCATATTTAAGCTTATTTGTTGTTTGCCTTTCTCAGTTAATAATTACCTTTAAACTCAGTTTATTTACTTTTACTTCCTAACTCAGTTTATTTACAATTTACTTAAGTAATAATTACTTTTAAACTCAGTTTATTTACTTTTTACTTCAATAATAAGTCCATTTACAATTTACCTGACATTGGGTATTGTTTATTGCTTACTTTCTCAGTTTAATCTTTACTATTCGTTACTTGAACCTTACCTAATGGTTCTTCCTTACCTACTACTCGTTATTTATTACTTACCCTTATTTACCAATTATTTTCCTTGTGCTGCTTTGATTCAATCCTACCAAATTCACAGTCTTACCCTAGTTACTAAATTTTCTTATCCCTGGTGGATAATTTGCTGACACAGTTTTTTCATATCCCAGGTGGATAATGACATGCACCGATTTATATCCCAGGTGGATAATGACACTCACTGATCTAAATCCCAGGTGGATAAGGACAGTCACTGATTTATATCCCAGGTGGATAATCTGCTAACACAGTTTTACATATCCCTAGTAGCATATATAATTCTCACAGGTTGTATACCCCAGATGGATAATTTGCTAACACAGTTTTTTTTTTGATATCCCAGGTGGATAGTTAACTCTCGCATAGTTTTTTATATCCCAGGTGGATAATTGATTCTCACAGTTTTTTTTCATATCCCAGGTGGATAATTAACTCTCGCTTGGTTTTTTATATCCCAGGTGGATAATTGATTCTCACAGGTTTATATCCCAGGCATAATCTGCTTACACAGTCTTCATATCCCAGGTGGATAATTGATTCTCACAGATTTATATCCCAGGTGGAGAACCTGCTTACTCAGTTTTCATGTCCCAGGCGGATATTCGACTCATACATGCCTGATATCCCAGGTGGATATCTTTTGCTTCTTACTCTATTACGGACGGATAAATTTCACAGGCTTATCCTAATTAGATTCTTAATCATTCAGTATTCCTGATCTCAGCTGCATAATTTCTAACACAGATTTCTCCTATCCCTGATGGATATACAGCTCACTCAGGTTTTTGTCCAGATGGATACAACAGTTTTTACAGTGTGGTTATTCTTGTCCTTTTTTATTCTACTGGCAAAGTTGATCTCATTAAATCTGTTTGTAATTTTTTTTTTTTGTACGTTCATCCTTCTAACCTATTACTCTTTCAGTTCCTATTATCCTGCCCTTTACACCAGACGAACACCCTGGCTCTACCAAATACGGCCCCTCTGGCCTATTCTCTCCCTCGTCATTTGCTCAACTTAATCTAGACCCCACCGTGGCAGATTCCTTAAGCTTGCTCGCCAACCATTCTTTGACCAAACAGACTTGGTCTTCTTATAGAACTGCATCTAGAATGCTAAATCTCTGTTTCAAAGATAAAAGGATCACCTTCCCTCTTACTGAACATCACATTGTGACCTTTGTTTGCTGGTTAAATAGCAGGAATCTTAGCGTCGCTACGATTAGTTCTTATCTATCTGGCCTTCGCCAGTTACACATAACCAAAGGTTTACCCGTCCCAAACATCAGGTCGGATCTCATTAATCAAATCCTCACAGGAAAGAAGAATGTAGACTTCATTTACCCTGTTGTCAAACCCACTCGAATCCCTGTCACACCCACCATTCTCAGAATCCTGAAGTCACAGATTAATATCGATAACCTACCTTATCACGACAAGAGGCTCCTTTGGCTCATCTGTACCCTTGCTTTCCATGGCTCCTTTCGTATTGGTGAACTACTTACCAAGAGTCCCGTGTCTTTTGACCCTAGCTATACACTGCTCTGCGGAGACATTGGAGTCAATGTCACCTATATTGACAACGTACCTGTCAAGTTACTGGAGGTCACACTCAAGCACTCTAAGTGCTCTAAAAACAAATCTGTGGTCATTGACATCTATCCCACTAACAGTGACCTATGCCCTGTCCGGGCTTACTCCAAATGGTCTAATACCAGAGTTGGTTCTCCTAGATTACCAGCTTTCAGACTGAGCTCTGGGAAATCTCTAACACCTTACAACTTTAATTCAAAGCTACGGGTTTGGCTCAAGGATTACATCGACTTTTCTGTATGCTCCGTCCCCGGACACTCCTTCAGAGCTGGGATCCCTTCAATCCTGGCCACCATGGGGTTCCCAGACAAAGATATTCAAGCTGCCGGCAGATGGTCCAGCAGGGCCTTTGAACTTTATTGTAAACTCCCCAGGACCAAGCGAATTGCCATGTCTGGAGCCCTGGGCAATCTTCACCTCTAGTTCTTCAACCACTTTACAACCACTTTAGTTGATTAAAACACTTTTAACTACTACTATTTTAACTTGTTTATCTAATGCTGATATAACTATGCCCAATCATTGACATATTTAACAATTTCTACCTTTATATTTTACAGGGTTTTTACAACCTGAGCGCTTCAGTGAGACAGATTCAGATAATCTTTCCGGCATTCACACTGATGCTCCTAATCTCAGATCCCAGCTACAGAGTGAAATAGGTAATTCTTATTTTTACTCCGGACCATAAATAATACTTGAATTATAACTACTCCTGTGTTGGAATTTTTTCACTTACAGTGCCTTACACAATTAACCAATTTATAATTTGCTACTACTACAGGTCGGTTTGTACGTGCTCCGGGCAGTAACCCTAGTAACCCTGTTGTACAGAACCCCGCTAACTCTATCAGGCTGATCCATGCGGATACTAATTCTGACTCGTCAGTTGTGACTCATCCGACAACCCGGAAAAGGTACTATCTCAACTAATTTCTAAATCTTATCCTAATCTCATTACGATGCCCCTGTTTGCTTATTTAAATTCAGGTGTTGATCCAGCAGTAAGTTATAACTTTAATAATTTATTTTAATTAATTATGTACAATAGTTAAAATATTTATATGATATAAGATGGAATATATTTCGAGATTTCTATATTTCTTTTTCTTCATTTTTTTATTGTCCGCACATCTTTCAATCATATTTGGCTAATTTTTTTGAAAATAAAAATATTTTTTTTTTGGTTAGGATGTCCTCGTAGTTCGCCACTTTACAATAACTATTTTTAAAGGATCTTGCTTTTTTCTGAACCCTGTTTTAAAATGAACTATCTGAACTCTATAGAGAATTGTTTATTCTTGAATACATAAAAACAATTTCCTAATATTTTCTTGGGGGCTGGAAATCCATAACTACACCCCTTCTGCAAAATGGGGAGTTGTAAGCTCTAAAGCCTATTGAAAGCAATCTTCCGCAGCAGTCAAGTCCTCACAGCTGGTTGAGTAAAAAAACAGTATAGTTGTACATGGCTTGTAGTTGTATACCCGTCAGGGATTAGACTCCTTTTTTCAGTTACACATTATGTCTTGTTTTATTCTATGTACATTCCTTGCTTCCCCTGTAGGATACAAGATGCGCAACTAAACGCAGCGCTCCATCAAACTGTAAAGCCGGGACCGCTATACGAGAGTTCTGTTCTCTTCTGAGGGCGATAGGCAACTGGATCTAGCAGTAAGTAGATAAGCGACCTTTCTTCCAATCATTAAATTCTGTCCCGGGACTGGTATAGGAAATATATTCTAGTATTACCTGCAGTGTAAGCTGCAGCGTAAAGGAAGCAATGAGCATCAAGGAGAGATATTCCATAATACGGAGGAGATGGAACTTCAGGAAGTCCATCAATGGTTGGTAAAGGAAAACCAATATCCAGAACCTTGCCTAGACGAAATAAATTAATGAAAAAATAGTTGACTAACTTTTCAATTGAATATTAAAAAAAGGTTTTAGGTTATCAATTCAAGGAAGACAGAATGAACATATTTATTATAACATAGGATAATGGTCTATAGAAGAAACCAATAGAATGATGAAATTTAAATATTTATTTCATCGAGTTATAACCCTTATATTGTCATATCTTGGTATTAAATCAGCATTATATTTACCAAAAATAAGAATATATACCTGGTGTATAGTATCGGAGAAGGATCCAGATCAAGGAGTTAAGATCACTCAAACATGCCTAAACAATTTAAAGGAGTTTTCAAATTCTTGTTAGGCATCCTGATTTTTTATTCTTACAAGCTGAAGTGCCTGGCGTTGCCCGTGGATTTTTTAGAAATCAAATTTTGATTTTTTTTATTATACAAATTTTCTATTTTTTTGTCTGTTACACCCGCGGTACTCAAGGGTTCCCTAAAAAAATTGCAAAAATTGCCAATTCGGTCCAGCCGTTTGGCCAGCTAAAGCTGACATAAATGTATATACATATCATACAAATATATATATATATAGTTGTTAATCGTTTTTGAAAACTATCGTTTTTTTGTTTCGTTTTTAAAACGTTTTAAAAAACGATCGATTTTAAAAACGACCCACTGGTTTTGAACTTTTAGAAAACGAATAACGACTGTTTTTTAATCGATTGTTTTTAAAAAACTATCACTTTAGAAAAACGATCATTATATTGAAAAAAAATTACATGCAACTTTATTGAATGTCTTCTTACATGAAGTTAAACAGTTGTGGGGGAGCTAAAACTTCTTGATATTTTCTTAAAAACTACTCGATGATAAGTACAGATACCCTTCAGGTCGGTTTCCTCTCTTCGTCAATGATTGTTGACGAAGGGTCGTCGTTAACGAAGCATCGTCGTTAATGAAGGTTCGTCGTTAACGATTGTTAACGAGACGAGTTTCACAAAACGATCGTTTTTAACGTTTTCATTTTTTTAAAACGATCGTTTTCGATTTTTCGTCGTCGTTTTCATAACGAAACGACCTTTTTTCAAAAAAAAAAAAAACGTTAACATCCCTATATATACTAGGCTTTAGGGTAGTTAGCGGTAATGTTACTTTGGTCCTTAGGCATTTTCATAATGAAATATTTTGGCCTCATGCTCATTTTAATTATTTTTTAATAGTTCAAATGAACAATAAGAGTTCAAATGAGCAAAAAAATAGTTTAAATGCGCACGAAATGTTATCGTTTAAACTATTAGTCGTTTGAACTACTACTACACGTGGTACCACATGCAATAGTTCAAAAAGTCAATAGTTCAAACGGCAGTAGTTCAAACTAAACAGCAAAAAAAATTAGGGCCCGATCGGTTTAGCCGTTTATAAGTTTATTGGATACAAACAGACAAGCAAAGTAATATAAAGGTGAGCGAAGAGCTCTATTTTTTAAATAATGATCATCTCTATATTAGATTTGACTTTAAAAGGAGCATTTTTAAAAACAACGTCGAAGTACATTTTGAGCTAAATTGGAGGTGGTCAATGGTCATATCTTAATTTGTTATGAAGTCACGCACTTTCATTCTAAACATATTTTTGTAGTCCCCCACTCCCCCCCCCGCCCTCATGACTAGGGTAGTTATGTGATTTAGGGCTAACCTGTGCTGCGGCAATATCTAACTCCTTTAAACTGCCCGTCGAAGGAAACTCAGCAGTCAGAATATCCACAGGAAACTAAACAAAGAAATTTTAGTTCTTCTCAGGGGGGGGGGGGGATTTTTGGGTGCTTTGGGGAAAAAAAATTATGAAAAATTGGACATTAATAGGCAACAATTTTTTTATTTCTTTATTTCCCCCGAATTCATACAAAAATAACAGTTAAATAAAGTTTTTAAGGGTTCAACCTGAATCTCTAAACTTAGACTAAACAGGCATAATTAAAGGTTCCAGTAGACCAATTTTGAGCTATGTTGGGCTGTGTACATCAAGGCACTCATAATTAATAATTAATAGGTCTAACATAACTTACTGATTGTCTAATCTTTTTGCTAGTCGCAATAATGATGAAAACTGGAAAAGGCAAGAGAAACAAATATATATCACGAAATAATAAAAAACCAATCAAGATAAGATAATACTGACAAAAAATAGACAAGATAAAGCAATAAGTAATTTAGAACCAATAGTTCCTAGGGTTACCTGTGAGGAGAGTAGAAAACTGTTTTCTGTATCCGTGTGCATCCGTCTCTCCAGAGATACAAAGATGAGTCCGGAAATCTTGGAGTTAATCCCGGAACTACTTGCCAACCTCTCTCTGTAGTTTTCTAATCCGCCGAACCTGTTAAAATATCTTTATGTTAAGATCAAACATTTTTGCTTTACAAAGGACAAACAACACTTAAATCCAAAGATTATCTATGCGCTTTCAATATGCTGTTATACAGAGAAAACGGCACCGTATTTTTATCACAGAAGTCGGCGCAATTTTATCCAAATCTCTTTATTCCCGAGATACGAATGTACAATACATGTGTTTAAGTTCACATGCATCCTACCACACTGCTTACGAAGTTGTGTTTGCAAAACGGTTAAGTTGTCCCAGAGAGTATTATGTTTTGTGCGTTATGCTCAATAAAATGAAATTTTACTAAGAGAACACACCATTTTACCAGATTATTTTGGCGACTACATTAAAACAAACACAAATCCAAAATTGATACCTATCCGCAAATGCAAAGTGGTTCTAAGTTTCCATACATAGTTATTTTGGTTATTATTATATTATTAAGATTTATTCACACACAATGACATACATACATATATAAATGGTGTAGTTTTTGTTTAAACATTTTGAATATATAGATCCATAAAAAAAATTTCAAAATAACATCTGAATTAATAAAATAGAATTCTTGGTTCAGGGAATAAATTTTTGAAATGAAAATAACTCGTTTTTTATTGCAATCTATGGTCATTGAATTGTCACCTTACAGAACATTTCCTAAATGTTTTAAGTTGGTGACAAATGGTAAAATGCGGGTTATTTCAGTATAGTTAACACTTTCTTATGAAAAAATAAGGCATTTAGTTGTACATCTTTCTATTCGAATATTTGTACGAAATTTCAGTTTAGTGGCTTTCGCAAAATTTACACAAATTTTCACTATTCTCTGAAGACCTGTTTTGCTAGGAGAAAGCAGAATATCATCTGCATATAACCAGACGTCCATATAGACACCCTGGATTTTGCATCCAACTGTTGAACAGTGTGATAACTTTGTCAATATAAAGGGTGAGTCAAAAAAAAAGTGTGATTTGCGGCGCCTGGTGCAAAATTGTACCTTCTTATAAATTTTCAAAAGATACTTTTTCACTGACAGTTGTTTTCATTTTTTTATAGCATTGATGTTTGAAAGCTTGGTCATCCCACTCAGGCATTTCTGCTTGACCATAGTTCTCTAATATGGCTTGTTGAAACACTTTTTCTGCAGAGTTAACTGTTCATCAACCAGTATTCTAATTCTAGTGTATGCTTGCGTGTCATCGTTGATATGTACAGGCTGGTAATCCATTCCATTTGTTCACAAATTTATCAGTGAATGTATCTAGTTTCTTCAGATGGCTTTGTGATATTGTATGAACAGTGAGCAGAAATCGAATAGAAGGAATGAAATAATGTTTGTAGATCCAGACTTTATATTCATCCCGAATAAGAAGTTCATTTATATTAATGAGTTTTGTTTCAAATTCACTCTTGATGTAATCAAGTTTACCAGTAGGAAATAAAAGTTTGCCACGGAATTTCTACTATAATTGAAATTAAACTTTGTCAATGTATATACATATGTATAAACGACCCTTTTTCGGTGAAATAAGGGTTTATGCTCCCTCCTAATAAAATGTGTCCATGAATTATATACCTGGCAGCTAAGGACAGAATACAGTGTCCAGCAATACTACGGCGGACAACTTCATCTTGGACAAGGTGAGCCCAACGTGGAGACTGGACTTCCTAAATAAATATTAAAATTGATTTTTTGTAATTAATAAAATAAATTTATACAATCTCTTAACCTTTACAAACTGATGATGTAAACCTTAATAGTTTGAATTGTTTGATCTATCAGAATCCATAGTTTGAACTATCAGGTTCAACAAATTTTTAAGCATTAAGAAAAGAAAAAGGCGAGTGATTCTTCACAAATTGTTAAATTAACAATTTTCTACCTTAGCGGGTTTCTGACTGAACGCTGCGAGCAGAGCACATCCCAGGGTTCGGTGATTCTCTTTGATACTTCCAGGGTGAATATCCTAAAGATTAAAATTATATAGATCTTCCGCAAATGAGGGGGAATGTTTTTTTTGCATCTTATCAGGGAGGCTTATATTAAATTCAAACAATAAATCAAATGTTAAATACAAGAATGATATTGAACATTGAACATTAAAATCATCTCATCGGATCTTTATCTACTAGCAAGTACAAATTAAATAATGCAGAAATTGCCTGAGGTATCCTTCATACAAGACAGGTTTAATTCCATCCTGTACTCCAGGGTTCGACCTGGATCTTTTAAGTATTTGATTTCGTGGTTTTCCGTTGTCCATTAGAACAGCAACAAAATCGTATCAAATGTCAAATGTACAAGTATGATATTAAATAAAATAAAATCAAGATAAATCATGTCATGCAGAGATTGCGTAGCGCTCCAGCGTCGAAATCTTTTTTTTTTCATTCGAATCGAATTTCCCCTGGAGAGGTAAAATATAATTAACCTTTGTTAGTTTCCTGAATATAAGCCGAGCAGAGTGCAGATAGAACTGGGACTGGAAGTGTTCTAGAATTCCTTTCTGGGTTGGAACCTAGACAAGAAAATATTCAATAATAAGTGTATAAAGATAACAAATCATTTAACCCAAGTATTTCTTTAAAAAAGAATGTTAACCCTATTCCTGCTGGGGGGGGTTCATATCATATCATATCATATCATATCATATCATATCATATCATATCATATCATATCATATCATATCATATCATATCATATCATATCATATCTATCATATCATATCATATCATATCATATCATATCATATCATATCATATCATATCATATCATATCATATCATATCATATCATACAGCTAGGGATGCGTCCAACAGCTCCTTGACCTACAATTTCTATGCAATTAATTTACCAAAAGCTTGTCCCTACAAACATTGGTAAATGTTTTTAAAAATGTTTTTAGGAGGTTATTTTTTTGGTTTAGAGTTTTGATACTTAAAATTCATACATTTTCCAAAAAGTCAGCGAAGAAGTCTCGACATTTTTTTGTGCAATCATTCCTAGCCTAACTTTATTTATATACCCCTATATCACAACACCAAAATAAAAACTCAACCTGAGATTGAGACGCCTCCAGCAAGATTTTATCCATCCTTGAAACTAACTCAGCAATCCTAAACATCATTTTTAATTAGTTTTCTTCTTTAAAAAAAAAATCAAATTTAATTTTTATCTATCTTTTGTACATTAGAGTAAAAGCTTTTTTGGAATCTATCTATTTCTTTACTTTTTTATTTATGTTATTTGTAAGAATCCGTGCCAATTTTCAGTTAAATGTAAAATTTACGCACATTTTGCTTATTTATTTGAACCCTGAGTGTTTACACAATGTTAACTGTTAGTATAAATATTCCAATTTAAAGAATAAGTGAAGAATAACGGAAGGCAAAAAATAAAAATAAAAATCTGATAAGGATGAATAGAATACCTAGTGTATTGAGAACCCTCCTTAGTCTCCAGAGTTACGGAGGAGTCAAGAATAGATAAATATTCTCCATAGAAATCCTTTCCAACATTTCCCTTGTATGCAACCTTAATTTAATACAGTTCATAATTTATTATTATTTAATTTATTTTTTATAAAAGAAGTCTGACATGGGTGAATAAATCTATGAACTAATTTTAGATGAAAAAAGGACATAATAAACCGGTTATAAATTAGGGTATTTTCCCCATTTTAGCAAAAACGCGCAAAAAATATGTTTTAAAAACTATACATCCCAAGTTTCAAGTCCTCACTAAATATTGGGTTTTCAGTCTGGACCATAATCGTCGCGAGTTCTAATTGGTCATTTTTTCTTTTAATTATAATTATAATTAAATAACTCATTATTAAATAAAATAGTCACTGGATATAAAATTGATTTTCTCACACCTGATAGTTTTCCGTAATCTCCAGCATGGTTTTATACCAGGCCAGGTTGGATGGCCAAGGACGCTTCTCCTCCACCTTGATTCCATGTTCATATCCTTCCTTTATCCTGGAGACACAAATATACATTTTACAAGAAACACAATTATCTGGGTTTCACACAGTAAAGAAAAATATCGATTGGAATTTAAGCAACTATTAAGAACAAAATTAAAAATCAATTTTGCTGAATACTAATGACATAAAAAGAAAAGCTTTGCTCAATTTCAACTATCTATGATCATATCAAATGTAGATAAATACAATTTGGCCTTCCTTCCAACACGCTGATAATATCTGATCAGACGCATCCGAAGATTCACATCCTAGAACAAAGATTCATTTTTAAATTATCTATCTTCATTATACAATATACATAGTAGCAGTTAGTAACACTGCAGGGACCAGTGCTTTGGATACGGATTTTTTTCCTCATAGTGTCCGGAAATATCAAAAAAGGAGTGAAAAAGTTTAATTAGATGAATTCTTTACCCAAAGTTTCCTCAAATCAAAGCAGGGGGGGGGGGGGGGGGTTTCGTGACGGAAACAGTTTCCTCCCTTTCGGAGCGCAAACAGGACATAAATAAATCATTTGATTCAAGAAGATAAAGAAAATAAACCAAAGTTTAATATACACATGGGACGAGATGTGTCAATGATCTTCACCTACGATTCAAATGGTAACCTTGAAACCTTCATCAAATTAATAATATGTATATCGTCGTTTTAAAGCTAAAAATGGGATTAACTGAGAAAATTTCCTCCAGTGTTTCTGAAGCGAAAAGGCGCATTGTGAAAGTCACTTTATAGAGAAACAACAATTGAAAAACATAAATTTTGAAAGAGAAGATAAAGAATATGATAATCTTATGAGGAAAAAAATGTAATAATGGAAATTCTTAAACGAGATGAAATAATCTTGATGCATTCTTTAACGAAGGCCGCAGGCCTTCGTTAAAGAATGCATCAAGATTATTTCATCGAGTTTAAGAATTCCATTATTACATTTTTATCCTCATAAGATTATTATTATATCATATTTGTGAGGTTCCATGGGCACATTTCTTACACGGTCTGAGCGTTAAAGAATGAAAATTCTACACCTTCAGTGTAAGAATAAGCATTCTTAAACGCAAGGAAGCGAACAATATTAAAATTTTCCTCCTGAACCGTGTAATAATGGGAATTCTTACACGATAGCTTTACTACTATGGAACCGAACAGATATGATATAATATATAATCTTATACTTTCTTATCATTATGAATGGATCCCTTGAAATTACGTTGACAGTTCCTTAAACTATAGAGTTTAAAAAGGAGAGAAGCTAAAGCGAAGAATAGATTTACTACCTGGGGTTTCTCGACTAACTCCTGAATAATCATTTGCTCAAACTCTGCACTAGTCTCTCCAGCAGTTTTACCTATCAACGCTTCTTTTAACCTAGAAGACATAAGTTCTGTGAACCGTTAGACAAAACATGAGTTGTACTCTCAATTATGTTAACGGAAATTTATAGCTGAAAAGGGGGATGTTATGTACACACGAGAATTGATTTTCGACGTTCAAAAAAATTTATAAAAAATTGGAAATCAAAAGGCTGGTTTTTACTCCGTTTAATTCGTATCACTTATCATTAATTGGTAAAAATAAATTATCTCTAAAAATCACCAAAGATCAAATCAATCTCAAATCCCAAATCCCAATCCAAATCCCAATCCAAATCCCAATCCCAATCCCAATCCCAATCCCAATCCAAATAAAAAAATAAAAAAATAAAAATCAAAATAAAATCAAACCTGAAGAGAATATCTGACTGGGGCAAACTTTTCTCCGCCTGCTCGATCCAGTACTGGGTGCGTCCTTAACAACAAGTTTATGTAAATGGATTGTTCTTGCAAACATTTATTTTTTTAATCAATTTCGATGAACTATGTAACAGTGCGGTGAATAAGGCTCTTTCCTTCTTGCCGCAGATTGCAGGATAGAAACAGAAGCTTAAACATCTAGGTACCTGGATCTATAGGTAGCTCCACCAGTAGCTCGCAGATGGTCTGCAGTACATCCTTCTGAGATGTATCAAGCTGATAGCACGTTTTATAGGCAGATACTGCCTTCTCTGTCTGCTTTAAAGCAGTCAATATTTGACCTAAATAAAAATATATATTTTTCCCATTTACATCTTATTCAGATTTGATTGGTTCCTGCCATCTCTGAGGGTGACAGAACTCAGACAACATTACTACATCAACTTTAGTTGATCTATTTCAGTCTTATTTTAAGTCTTATCTGTATTCTCAAAAAAATATTTTCCCCCCTGATTTTTAATTATTAAAATAAGTAAATAAGCCTCGGATTCCAATTTCTTCTTTTGTAAAAGAAAATAATTACTACTGACGCAAAAACAGACTTACCGTTGAGCTTGTGAGCCATGCTTTGAGAATCCCTCTCCGCCAGGTATCCAGCCAAATACTTCCGGGCAGATTCATAATCACCAACCTCAACAAAACAAACCGATTCAGATTTTGATGTTGGATGCTTTCCCAATGACGTTTCCCCAAGTGGCAACTCCTTAGGGTATTTTCCCAAGCGACAACTTCCAGTGTGTCCTAGCCGCAGCCCCCCCCCCCCCAATCAAAGCTATAATTGAAGCTTACGACGCAGCTTCTCAGAAGGTTTAACCTAACCTTTGTGAAGTCGCCCTCGGAAAATACCTAACATCAAGATTTTCACCACTAAACTGAAATGCTGCGTGATTTAGCTTTTCACCTTTCATGTTAGGAAATGAGGGAATTTTAATAAACCATTTTGCCGAGTTCATTAAAAATTTCCAAGCACAGAACGACAAAGATTAGCTTCATCAATTTTAGTAATTATATAGTATATAGTATATACTTTGGGACACCTTTCCTTGTGTGAAAAACCACGCCTTTTTCTATGGGTTGTGGGGACTGGGGTTACCGTTTTTGTTATATTTCACACGGAGAAAAATCTCAGAAAACCTGTACCTGATAATACAACTTGGCGATGAAGTATCCTTTCAAGTTTCTCTCCTGAGCACTCTTGATCTTGTTGTTGATGTCCTGGACATGGCGATCCACGTCCTTTAGATAAAATTGTGTGTTAATATCTAAGTTTAAACCTATGAAAAAGGATCGTTCTTTTTAGTTGGTACATTTTCAATCTAATTACCGACCGATTTAACCAATTAAAATTAACATGGGAAAAATTGTTGGTCGAAGGGTTTAGAGCATTACGTTTGAGAAATTTTATCTTTAACATGACATTTTAATACCTTGTCCTTTCAGTTAACAATTTTGAAAAACTAAAACCGTTTGAAATAAATCAAATCAAATCAAATCAAATCAAATCAAATCATCATGTTTAGGGATTGCTTTGGGCTCCCACATACAGGGTGAGGTTTCAATTCACTTTGTATTTAGGGTTTTCAGCCTGGATCTATATAAAGTTTGTGTTCCTATTACTCTTGCTCGATTTGAAAACATTAAAACCCGATAGAATCCCAGCAGCCGACCAAATTTGAGCCATGCCTCCATTTTACGGAACCTATCATTTGTAAAACAATCTTTTGACTTAAATATATTTTAAGAGAAAACCACTTTTGATGCTTTTTAGTGCCATAAAAGAAAGTAAAAATATCCCCACCCCCTCCCCCAGTAAATTAGACATTTTTTTTTACCCTTTTTGTTCGATACATTGCTCCCTCGAGCTTTGTCCTAGTTCGAGGGCCACACTTTATAAATCTTTAATCTCGATCAGATCTCAAATTGAATCCAATTATCTGAAAATAATCCAGGTTAATATGGAAAATATCTACTGTGTAGTGTGTAGTAAGCGAAATGTTTTAACCACCAGGTGAAAACAAATTCAAAAAGTTCCATATTTTCAGCAATGCAAGTTTGACAATGAAAAATACTGGTGGCTGGTCGTATTAAATATAATTGATCACAGTGAAGGATAAAATTTTTAAGACATTAATTCATGTCATGATCTTGGTCATGATATCTCTCTGCCATGGTGTTGATGGTTTCCACCGCCTCTCTCCAGTCCACCTCCTCAGTACCACACTCCAACATCCGGGGTAGACGGGATATATTCAGCTTACCACATTTACTTGACAGATTAGCAAGCTAAAATATACTTAGATCATTAGTTTTATTTACGATAATAGAAACTGTTAAGGTAAACATGTTTAAAAATAATATATAAAATAAAAAATAAATATGTAATATATATATTTAAAAACTAATAAGCGGCAGAGGTAAGAGAAAGAAAATGATATTTAGAAATTAAGACTCAAAAACCAAGTTTTTACATCATTTATGATACTATTTACCAAAAAATTTATTTAAATTTTCCTTAAAAATAATTTATTTTTCCCAATTTTGTAAAAAAAACTCTAAACTTTATGTGAAGAATATGATATAAAAAAAGGGGGGGGCGATTTTTAAAGAAAATATACATCCCTGCATTTAGCTAAAGGAGAGACTCTTTTTATTTGATTTTGAGGTTGCAAAATGCATAATAAAATATTTAACGTGAGGAAATTAAGTACACTTACGGAAGCAGCAGCACTCGGTCCCGTATTCCAGGAGTTTAGAAGCGGTACACAACTTACTCCATCATTCTCAGATCTATCCGGATTAAATTAAAGGGACTGTCAACTATTTAAAGTGACACTTCAATGAAAGAATGTAAACAATTTATTTATTTTATTTATCTTTTCGTATTGGTTTTCTGCGGGAAAATTGAAACAAAAATAAATCCTAAAATTCGTCGCTTAAAATTCCAATACTTGTTCTTGAGTCAAAGTATAATGTATATAGATTGCATGCCTTATTAAAACCTTAGTAAACATTTAAAAAGTTACCTTTGCTTCCCTAGAATATTACCATCCACTGAAACCCTGGGATCGAATATATGAGGAAAGGGTTTACATGTCCGGATAGGTTTAGAGAATGCGCAAATACGAGGAATACAGGATCTAGAACTCTGTTCACGAACACAATACTCTAAATACTCATCAGGAGTACTTATCCCGTTGTACTTGCTGGATCTGAACAGTGATATATTAATGGTGTCAACTCAAAATAACTATGAATGCTTCATTAACACTGCAAAAAAGCTAACTGCTATCTTTGAGGGCAAACATTTTGTATTCAGCACTAAGACGATGAATTCTCCCTTGACGGTAAAACCATAGACACTGAAACCTTTATTGTATTCGCTTATCTCTCAAAATGTTTGCTCTTTTGATGTCGTAAACTTGGGGTATTTTTAACTTTAAATTCTGCTAGATCAAATCGTTACGTTTATGATATCAAATGTTTACACCATCATGTTGCAAAGATAAAAGGATCAGAAATTTATAGTTTGAGACAGGTGTTCAGTTCTTTTAAACGGGTGATAGATTTTATGATAAAAACAAATGCATAAATAAAACGATTAAATAAGATTATACCGATGGTTATTAAATTGTAGTGAGGTTTCCAAACATTAAAATTAAAGTTCTTTAGGAGGTTCTCTCTTAAGAATGCTGAAACTGCAAAATTACTAATTTTGATTAATGAAGAATAATCAAAATGAGAGAATAATGTTTTACCTGTTTTTAAATATGGCTGATTTCAATATTCCGCGTAGTGTTAAGAGAGCAGGATAAGATCTGCATAAAAAGTATTGCTTTCTAAAAATAAACTGTTGATCAATTTCGAAGTATTTTAGACACAAAATATTATGATATTATAATCATTATTTGAGGGCTAGGCAAGGTAATGACAATTTCTGGGCCAAGTGCTGCTGCTAGGAGAGGCTAGGGGACCGAAAGGATGTGATTAGAACAGGTCGAGGGTAAAGTGCCGCGGCTAGGACAGCTTAGGGGGTCTGCCACTGCGGTTACAGATCTCCATGATACATAAATTTTTAATTAGTTGATATGAACATGATGAATTTGAATTTGTTCTTTTAAGCACTAATGTTTTAATGGACTAAAAACCGGATTGTAAACAACTTACATTAGTATACAATTAATCATTGGTTTAATAGGCCAATCGATATTGTTGGACTTTTCCAATTAAAGCATTTCTTTCCTATTGGAGTGTGTTGGTGAGGATGCAGGAATAAGAGGGGTTAGCTCAGACAGCAAATCCTTTTCTATACTCTCAATCCCTGAAACACAAAAAGTATTTTTTCTCACTTTATTCTCTCAACTATTATTGTTTTATATCATAAAAATTGTAGTTATTGTTATTTTTGAGAAACAATGGAATATATGACACACTGTTTGTGGCAATCTTATTTGAAGGACCACACTTATTACATCAGTTTAAAGAGACTCTAAAGCTTTAAAATCCCCCCCCCCCGTAAAGAAATAGCTAGCACAAATACCTGTGAGGTTGAAAGGCAGGCTAGAGGATATCACCGCAAGATTTTGATGACCTTGACTCAAACCGGATATCACATCAGCTATACTCGCAGATTTCTCCTTCTTTCTGTACACCAACGTCGATGTATCCAATGCTGTGGCCAAAATAGAACTAAGAACAAAAAAAATAAGGTCGTCATAAAACAAATATCATTGTGCTGTAAGTTGAACTGCAAATTATCAAAGTTACTTATTAATTTATTACCTTGAATGGTAATGCAGTTCTGCATTAAATTTTAAAAATTCAAAGCTCATGTTTCGTCCTTGTAACGGAAACCAGTCTAAATAAGTTCAATGTGTCAATTTTCGAGAAAAAATATAGAAGTTTATATTGCAGAAATATTAACCTGATAAAAGAGAGAGGGGAGTTGTTAATCCATTGTCAAGAAACCTAAACATTTTTTTAAAAATCATTTTCTGATACAAGAATACCCACGGTTTCCCTAAGCCGATATCTTGTTTCTTTCTTTGCCACATCATTTATGTGCAATTGAATGGCAAAATACATAGTAAAATCTTACACAGTTATAATTAAACTATTTAATTATCTAGATAACCTTACTAATTAAAAAGTGGACTATTGTGTACCTGGCCAGTGTAAGGGTATTGGAAGCTAAAGCTGACCCACAGGTGTGGAAAGTATACTTGCCCAAGGTGGGAGGAATAACAGGAATATTCAGCGTGCTCTAAATATATATTTAAACTAATTCAATAAGAAACATTTACATTTTACAAGTCTTCCAATAAATCAAATCAAACAATCTGAAATTAATAGAACAAAAATTTAAACTTGTTTACTACCTTTGAACTGTAATCATCTGTTAAAAGATCTGTAATTCTCCCAGCTAATCCTCCGAACCCACTAATTTAAAAACAAAATCATTTTATTTCAAATCTAATTAAACAAAAACATTCAGAATACCTACCTTTGTGAATCAGCCAGCAAATGGAACCCCTTCAAATTATCCGACTCCTCGGCAAAAAACCTGATTCTGTCCTCTACCTGAGATGAATGTAGATAAGGTAAGATTTAATTGAAAATATTATTTCTATTTATAATACAAACACTAGCTAGTGCCGTCAGAGTGACGTTAAGGGTCAAAAACTATTACTTCTGAGTGAGTGGGTTGAAATATGCATTTTCCAGTTTGGGAAGGTTTTTTCTAACAATAGAAATTTTGGTTTTATTTAAAGGTTTGAGTTTGACCGGCAATATTCAATTATATATACAGATATTAGAACCCTGCCATGCCTGGAAACTAATCTTAATCCATGAAAGTCAGCTTCCTCAAATTGTAACCCCTCTGAAAACATTTCTGTGATTCTATCTACCTAGTTCAGAACTATAAATTTGAGAAGCTTAAAAAAATATTTAAACATATAAATTCTACGCTCTAATATTTATAAAAAAATTACCTCTGAACCGACGTCCTGGTGTTGATCTATCCAGAGCTGATGTCCTAATCCAAATATATCAAACGGATGTGTTGTGTTCTCATGCTGAAAGCTCTCAACAACAAGAACACTCTAGAATAAGCTAAATATTAATATTATAAAGGGGATGGTGGAGTTGGCACATTTGATGTAGGGGGGGGGGGCCCTGCCTTCATTTTTGGTTTAAATCTTCCAATTTTTTGGGTGCACGCCTAATTAGTGATCGAAATTCCTAAAATAAAATAAAATTGAATTTTAATGACCTCTAATGACCTCTAATGACCTCGACAAATAGAAAATATTTCAACTATGGCTTTATGCATATCAAACGAAAGCTAGGAACCCAGGGAATACAGTAGCAGCTACAAATTCAGTATTTGACCTTCTAATGACCTCTTACGACCTCTAATGACCTAAATGACCTCCAAAAATGAAAATGATTTAACTATGGCTTTATGCATATCAAACGAAAGCTAGGAACCCCAGGAATACAGTGGCAGCAAAAAATCCAGTGTTTGACCTTCTAATGACCTCTTACGACCTCTAATGGCCTTAATGACCTCCACAAATGAAAATGTTTTAACTATGGCTTTATGCATATCAAACGAAAGCTAGGAACCCCAGGAATACAGTAGCAGTAACAAATCCAGAGTTTGACCTTCTAATGACCTTTAATGACCTAAATGACCTCAAAAAAGAAAATGTTTTAGTTATGGCTTTATGCATATCAAACAAAAGATAGGAACCCAGGAAATGCCGTAGCAGCAACGAATCCAGTGTTTAACCACCTAATGACCTTAAATGACCTCCCAAAATAAAAATGTTATAACTATGACTTTAAGCATATGAAAAGAAAGCTACGACCCAGGGAATACAGTAGTAGCTACGCATCCAGTGTTTGTCTTTCTAACAACCTTTAATGACCTCCAAATTGAAAATGTTTCAACCATAATATGTATTTCAAATGAAAGCTAGGAACTAAAGAATACAGAGGCTGCAACAAATCTAGTGTTTGAACTTCTAATGACCTACAATGACCTTTAATAACCTCCATGAAAATATTTAAATATGGCTTTAGGCATGTCAAACAAACATTAGTAACCCCCAAAGAATAGAGTAGCAGCAACAAATCCAATGTTTGACTTTCTAGTGACCTCTAATGACCTGTAATGACCTATAAATTGAAAATGTTTTAAATAAGGATTTATGTTTATCAATCAAAAGCTAGGAACCCAGACAATACACTGGATTTGTTGCTGCTACTGTATTCCTGGGGTTCCTAGCTTTTAATTGATATGCATAAAGCCTCTAATTAGGCGTGCACCCAAAAAATTGGAAGATTTGAACCAAAAATGAAGGCAGGCCCCACCCCCCTACATCAAATGTGCTAACTCCACCATCCCCTTTAATTTGAATTTTAATTTAGTAATATAACTAACTGATTTACATTTTTGGGGGGATTAACAGTGAACGGAATGCACGAGTTGATATTTTTTTTAATTTCTTCTGATATCTGACATTTTAATTAAATCCTTAAAATAAATGTCATTTCTCATAGAAGTCAACATTCTGACGACTATTTATAAATCAGATATTAATTCAATACTTTTCATACTATCAGCGATAATTCACTAGTACATCATACCTTAGGATGATACCTGGCATAAAGATAATCCGACCAATAGTGGACATCCTTGTCAAGATTATAGACAGCTGATTTTATCTAAACAAACAAAAATGAGAGTGCTGGGTGGAGAAAGGCTGAGTTTCAAGTGCATAATATAATGATTTATGGATATAAAATATATGTAATGAACGATGTGTAGTCTTAAAAACAATTAAAAAGAACTTTTCCAAGTTCAAAGAAATTCCATGATTCCAGGTGTTGCAACTTAAAACATACAGTTTTTTTGGGAGAGGGGGGGGGAATCAGGTATGGATGAAGATCAATACGTGAATCCGAGATTCACAACACAAATGTTTCGACTTCAAGATTACGATTACCTGCTTGGATTTTGTTTTAACAGTTAATATTTCCTCGTCGTCTTCTTCCTTCTCACTATTCTCCTGCATTTACAACGCCATTAGACATCATGTAAGAAATGTGAAAAATGTAAATAATAAAAATAATCAGCCAACCATATGTATAAATAATATTAGTGTTTTGTATGGAGTGATGGAAACAAATGCTAACTCCAAAATGTTCAAAAAAATATGACATTACTTGCTGAATCCATATTTCAATCCATTTCTCACGAACCCTCAACTAATAATTGACTGTAAAGACTTCCACCTGCCTGTTCGGTTTCTCTTAGTTCTTGAAGAAACTGGTTTAACCGTGGTGGCTCTTCCTTCAGTATTTCTCCCTTCCCGTACCAATTCAACGTACTGTAAAATTGAAAATAAATATTGTTCTTCCTCTCAAGCTTGGAGGATTTGAAATGAAATTTTAGGTGGATCATTAAATCAAGAGGGATACTAGCTACACGATGTAATAAGATCCAGACCACCAGGAGATCGACTAGCCCACAGTCAAACTATATTTTTCATATTTTCATTTTTTTTTATTCAACTACAAAGCACGAGATAATACAAATAAAAAAATCACAATTTACTATGTAGTTTGGACCCGCCTAACCAGAGTAGGTTGTTTTAATTGGTTGGCCCACTATAAACGAATGATGATTGCAGATAAAAACAATGTACATTGTACATTTTAAACATTTTAAACTACTCGTTAAGATTAAACTCTTGAATTAATCTTTTAAACTTCTGTAAATTATAGAAATTGCTCCTTGCACTCGATTTTTAGAAAAGTTAATAACAAGGATAATTAATTGATATGATTCTATTCAAAGTAGCTCTGACCTGAGTTTAGGTATGCTTGGTTTATGATACAGATCTCCTAACTCAGGAAGAGTACCAAGGGATCCTAAAAATTCATTTTTTAGAACAAACAAACAAAAGATACTAGCTGCTGATGTTTTCAAAAAATGTATGGCAGTTTTAAAGACTTGAAAGCCAGCAAAATAACAAACAAACATCGTAGAAAAACACAAGAAGCTGAAAGCCATGGTATGGTATGGTATTCAAGTATTCAAGTCTAAATAAGAGTGGGTGGGGGAATAGTTTAAAGGTCTCTTTTTCGTTAACGACATCCGTCTATTAAGAAGACTTGGTTACCTTTAAGATCGATTGCGACCAGCCTCGGAGTATAAGTTGATTGTTTATCCAACGTGAAACCTTCTCTGTATAATACATCGTTATCTACGCAGTCTGGGCCCACCTAGACGCCCTACACTAATCTTCATGGTAAAATTCAGGAAAAATGTCAATACGAAATCCAGGAAGAAATTTCAGGAAAATTCAATATGGAATCTGTAATGGACTTAAAATACGCAATTATGTTACAACTATTTTAATCTTTTTTAATAATGTCTAGACATAATTACACCCATTGGCAATTTTCACGACTCTCATCCACCCATACAATTCTAGCTCATTTTAGAACTTAACCTAATGCCAGATTAGTTCCTGTTTATTTGTCTCATATTCAAAGCCGGACTCCTAAATAAAAAATAATGAAACACACTAAAATCGGTTACAAAAACGCTACAGATATCAAGCTGATGAAAAGCGCACTAAAATATATCCGAATTAATAGAGTACGTTTTCACCCTCCGCGCCAACTTTTGACTTTTTATAGCTTTTTCATTTTAACTCGGTCTATCTACGCCCAACTTCTCTTACAATACCTATGCAATATCTAATACATTTTAGTTTGAAATATAGAAATGTATTTTTGGAAATTCACAGATGACCATTCGTCTTCCCATACCATAATAAGGTAACATAACATTTTATTTCGAACACTTATTTCCGCAAGGGTTTAGGAAAAATGTTTCAAGACATGGAGTGTACCTGAAGATTCCAGAAATGAGAACCAACATAGTTAGCGTAGTTCCCGCATTGCAGGGTTATTATCGACATTTCTCTGCAAAATCAAAACATTAACAGTGCAAATATATATCCAAACTAACAGAAGCCAACTGCTGAGAATGCTATAATAGGGCCTATGGCCAAGCTATTGTGCAAATCAAAAAAGAAATCGAAAACAAAACAAAACGAAAATGTCAAAAATGATCCCCTCGGAATGATGGATAACGGATTGGTAAAATTTGAACAACTTTGTTCGTGAAAGTTTCGCGATTAAATCAAGCAAACTAATTATGGATAATTTTCTTGTACAATTTTCATAAATGATCCAATAAGTGCAGATTAACATTCAAGTCTCGCACGGAAAATATATTAAAAGATTGAATCTGTTGGGTCTATCCCAAGCATGGCGAGTTCATCTGCATCTGGTTCGTCTCCTGGTGGACGGCAATCATCTTCCATAGATTCCATTTGCATATGCCCCTCCGGAGCTAAACATTTAAATAAATTACTAAATATATAGATAAATTGAAGATTGAAAATCAAAGGCTAACTGCTAACCTTCCTTCATTCAATAAAAAATTGGACAGAACAACTTGTCTTCTTTAAATTCATCTTACAAAACTGTACTACAGTAGTCGTCGCATATAGCAATGCAATGAAGACGACTTTCTATTTAAATTTTGATTTATATCAAGTTTTTAGCATCGATACACATAAAGCTGTCAGTTACAAAGACTTCTCTTTGATTACTTGTAAACTTGTAGTTCGAAAAAAGCTTGTTAACAATCAAAACTTAATTAAAAGTCCTCTTCATTAAATGATATAATCACCCTACCACTGTATTTGTTGATACTTCTCTTTTATTNACGGAAGTACATAGATCACATATGAATAATTAAACTTCCTGATTTTTACCTTGATTGTACCAACCAGAATCCGGATGAGGCGCGGGATGGTAGTGTGGGGGCGGTGCAGCAGGCATAGAAGGCGGACCAACTAAACAAAATAACATATACATTTTTAAAATTTCACAAAAATTTTTTCATGAGATGAGGTTCATGATGAACTAATCTGATAATTGAGAACCTGCGTCACAATTTTTCTGAAGTTCTGTTTAGATTAACACAAAATTATCAAACCTAACCTCATTTTACCAATCAAGGGTGTTTATATCGTGTTTTCATCCAAATTATGTTTCGTAACTAAAGCTTAAATAATAAAAAATTACCCCATGTATTACCTGGCATATCCATAGGAAGAGGAATTTCTTCAGCTCCATCAGTCATACCACCAGCAATATTAGGAGGAACTCCGATCGATTGCAGTTTCGTGTTTAAGCTATAAAAGCCGGATTAAACAAATTAAATAAAATCGGATTTAAGGTAAACAATCTAGCATAACCCATAATCTTTGTACTGTTTTAATTAGTTGCTATGGCAATAAGGATGCATAAATTCAGCCAGGGGCGGATACAGGATTTAAGTGAGAGGGGGGGGGGGACGGGAGTGCTAGATTTATTTCGCAACAAAAAATTCAGAGTTAGGAACAAAAAGACGTGCCGCAGACAAAATTATTTTTTTTAGATAGATATTTTTCCTGTTTTGCACTGGGTTTTCTTTCCCTTAAATTCAGAAGCTATTCTGAAATCTCAGGGGGGGGGGCTTAGCCCCCCTGAATCCGTCAGGGGGTGCGACGGTCCTGCCCCCCCTGTACACGCCCCTGAATTCAGCCCTTTTTCTCTTATTTGAACGAATGTTTCGGTATGACTGACAGTAACAGGTTTTTAATTACTAAGTACTCCTGTGCAGTGTGCAGCGTGTGAAAATTAAATCATCACAAAAATAGTACAATACTATTTTTTCTCCTCGGAAAATTCAAGTCCACTTCTTTCAATTGAAAATACTATAAATAAAATTTTCAGTTTTTTCACGTGACATAACCTGCATCAGTTTATTAGAAGCATTATTTCAATGCATTTTGAGAAAAAAATTATTTCCGAATGAGCTAGGAAGTAAATATCGGCATATTTTCCCCATCTTTCATATAAGCCAATTTTTATCAAAATATATAATTACCCCCCAGTAATGGAATGTCTATACCTTTGCTGCATATGCTTCTGTGCAGCTGCCAGCATCTCTTGAATATCTACAGCGGAAGGTTTAGGATTTCGGTCGACCTAACAATTAACCTTAACTCAACAGAACAAAATAGACTTAAAGGGATTGTAGATACAATTCTGAGTTACTACCATATATAGAATGACATAACCAATTAACAACGGTACCCTTTAAATCTTGTCTATTTTATAAGCTTAAAGGACAACAATTTCATTTCTTCCGAGTTGTAAAGAGTACTGATGTGAAATAAGAATGGTCCTTTATTTAAATGGGGGTCACTACTAATAAATACAACAATAATCCCAATAAAAAAACTTAAAAACTCTCACAAAAATGTAAGTTATGAATTCGTTGAATAAAAATTTCCTTAGGTCTGAGCGGTGCAACGGGGAGTGGCGGTGGTGGGACACTCGAGTTGAATCCAAAATCTAAAATATCAAATATTTTTTGGAATTCAAAGCAAAACGATTTGCGTGAAGTCAAAAAATGTCAACCCCCTATTTTACTTATTATTCTAAAATGTTGCACCATAAATTAATGTAATGAATTCTTATATGCCATGCATGTTTGAAATTTGAAAACAACTTGCCATTTGATGCATTTCCACTTGCTGGGGGATGTACAGAGGGTGGCTGAACCATTGGGGCCGAGGGAACAGGCGGTGGGGCAGGTTGTCCCAAGGTTGGAACCGCCGTCACAAGAGTTGGAGGTGGAACGGAAGCTGCAAGTCCAGAAATTGGCGGTCCAAATTTACTGGCCCGACCGGTATCTTTCTTTAACCAGGGCATCTTGCCAACAATAGGAGTGGTCTTTTTTCCTCCAGGTAGAGGGATATCAAGCTGCTTCTTCACTCCCTGCCCCCAGGATATATTTAGAGAGGGTCTTGAAGGACTAAACGGTCTCTCCTGTGACTCTCTGGAGGATTCCGGAGGCGGTTCAGTGGGCGTTGATATTTCGGCGGGAATCCATTTATTCTGATTTTCTTCCTCACGGAATTTTTCCTCCTTGGCTCTCATTTTTTCCTAAATGAAAAAGTTAGTTGCAGGAATCTTTAACCAGGGGTGTATCAATGTATATTTTAAAGAATGATTTTGAATATTTGGAAGAAAAATAAATAAATATTGGAAATGAAAAGGCAAGTTTTTTTTTATCCTTTTCATACTTAAATCAAAAAAAATATTTATTTTCCCCAACTCAGCGAAATGAACCGTAAAAAAAGAAACTTAAATAGAAATTTAACTTGTGAAAAAAAATTTATTTATCAGGAAAACATATACTCCTGTCATAATTGTAACAAATGATTTGACAAATGTCATAAAAATACCACCTTGAGACTGGAAAGACCAGGATCCTTCTCATCCTTTGATGGAGGTTTACTCCATTCCTCAAGATCAATTGCACCATTTTTCGCTTTCTTTGACCGGCGACTATGATCTTTTGATGATCGATCGTTCGACGATCGATGACGGCTTCTGCGATCATGTGATGTAGATCTATCAGATGTTGATCTTGATCGGCGTTTATGCTTCTTATCTTTGGATCTAGATTGACGCCTATCATCATTATCACTTCTACTCGTGCTTCGATCTCTATCCCTTCTTTTTCTCTCTCTGTCCCTCCCGCTACGTTTTCTCTCTTCCTCATCATTACTGTCGTCTTCTCCATAGTATCGTTTATACTGCTGTTGCTGCTCGTAGCTCTCCCTAGCATAGTCACTATCTTCGTCTCGTTCTTGTCTCTCCTCTATATCCCTCCTTTTCTTGCTACCCTTCTCTCTACTACTGCTTCTACGTGAATTGCGCTCGTCTTTTATATATTTTCTTTCATCACGACTTCTGCTCCGATCCCGTTTATCAATATGTCGATCATGCCTCTCAAGATCTCTGCTTGGACTTTTCTTCTGCACCTCATAGCTCTCACTACGATCTCTCCCTCTCTTCTCCTTGGATTTGATTGTACGACGCACAACTCTCTCCTCTTCCTCACTGCTAGAGCTGGTCTCACGACGACGACCAGCATGATGCAATTTCTTTTCGTGACGGGTCTTTCGCTCGCTACTTTCACGTTGAATTGTTTTGATTTTGATTTCTTCATAGAATTTTCGATCTGGCGATTCCTCCTTGGCTTTCCTGACATTGTTTTCCTCCATACTTCTGGATTCATCACGATCATCCCTTCCTTTACTTTTACTTTCTTCTTTATACAAACTTCTGCTTCCCTTTTCTTCTTTGTATTTCTGTCCATTTTCCTTGTCGTCCTTATACTTGCTCCTACTGTCAAAACTTCTGCTTCGCTCCCTAAAGAAATTGTTACCAATAATGTTCTAGGCTAGGAAAAAAGTCCAAGTTAAAATAGAGAAGAAAGAATATATTTATTTTCAGATTTCCTTTTAAAGTATTCGTATTTAAGAAAGTTACCTGGATTCTTTAAAGAACTTATCTTGCTTCCTAGATTCTACCGGATAGTCAACTAGATTCCGCCCACCATATTCTCCTTTCCCGCCATACTCGGACTTAATATCCGCGAAATCGGGTAATCGTTCCCTTTGATAATCTGATGCGACTTCCTTTGTGTCATAATCGCCACCTGCTCTGCCACGGCTCGTGTATTCAGATTTCATCTCCTTTCCTCCATATTCAGATAACAGTAGTTTAGAACCAATCTCTTGTTTGATTTTCCTGTGAACAAGAAAGACTTTTTTTAAATTGAAATCTTAGGAATTAGTTCTTAGGATCCATTTAATGTACGAAAAAAAAATATTATTTCACAAAACAACTCTAGCTCCAAGGTTTATGCCCTCTTGTCTCATAATTTGTTTCTATCTTTTAAAAGTTGCCAAATTCAGATCCGGGTTCGCAAAAAGACAGATAGGATCCAGGTGGCTAGATATTTAGCTATAACAAACATCTCTACCTGACATCTACGGATTGGGAAGCATATTCAAGGTTTCTAATAGTTCTAGACTCAGGGGCTTCACGGAGGGCATTCAACTTCTGTAATTCTTCAACCTTCAGCAAAACAAATAAATCCATAACGTTAATATCACAAAACAACGTTCTTTTACCGCCAATAAGAAAAAATACAAAAATATCAGAAAGTTCTAATATCTACCTGTCGTTTGAGAACTCTGTTTTGGTTCTCGAGAATAGTACACCTGGAAGTTAATTCAGCATTCTCCTGAATAGCCATGACATTTTTCTATCGACATATATTTCCTATAAAGCCCTTTCATGAACATACCCTGTTAAAAGTTTACGCAAGACCCTAAAAAATAAACCTGATGTTGACGGGACGGGTTCAATAATAATTAGGACTTCAGATTATTTTGCTAAAATATTATATCAGCCCTGCCTCCGAGTGCCTTCCTACTTTCATATTATCAAATATTTAATCTGACCTGTTTTGTTTTGTTATATCCTTCACTGAGTTTGGCAACAAGCTCCATCAATGTCTCTTCCTCCCTAAAACTAAATATTTTAAGCGACCGTTCACGTAGTTGATATTAACCCTTTCTTGGCTTGGTTCACTGCAAATCAGATCAGATCAGGCTGTTAAGGAGTCCTTTATAACAAAATATTAACAAGGATATCCTTTAATCAAACCGTAGGTCCTAGAAACAGTGTTGGATATTTCGGTTAAAATATTAACAAGGATATCCTTTAATCAAACCGTAGGTCCTAGAAACAGTGTTGGATATTTCGGTTAAAATATTAACAAAGATATCCTTTAATCAAACCGTAGGTCCTAGAAACAGTGTTGGATATTNATTTAAAGAATTTGAGCGGCGGTTTAAATTTAAGCCGCGGTTTAAATATGGTTGGTTCCACTTCAAATTGTATCAAATGTGTCAAGATTTAAGCCGGTGCTTAATTTAAACCGGGTTTTGGCAGATTTAAACCGCGGCTCAAATTCTTTAAATTCCATCTCTGGTTTTAAGATCAGAAAAAAATATGAAGTTTTTAACTTTGAAAAACAAATAAACTAACGCGGCCTAGGCTGCTCCAACATATGAAATTGTATGAGTATCGTGTAAAGCTATACCAGTACCTGCTCCCCTTCCTCTTTTTAGTTTTGATATCGGCTACTAAATTAACCATGTCCTCCTCTTTCTAAAATACACAAATTAAAATAATTTGTATGAATATAAATTTAAAACTTTTTTGTAAAAGCATTTTTTTAAATTAATATAGGGTATGGTACAGGGAGACGTAATACTATCAGGTGGGACAGCGATATTGCTTTTGAATTTTCAAAGTCCATTTAATTTGAAAATTCTACCCTTGGTACCTTCCGCTCCGGTTTCTTCCTACTTGCCGCGTCTAAATCCGAACTTTCACTTGCAGAGCTCTTTCTTTGTTTTTTCTTTTTCTTCTTTGTGTCCCGATCCGAATCCACGGAACTAGAGAAGTTAAAATTATCAATAAAAAATTTCGTGAAATAAAAATCGTTTAGATGTGAAAAATTGAAACACCGACCTGTCACTACTTGATGCTCTTTCTTTTTTTAACTTTAATTCGAACTTCTGCTTGCGTTCAGGAGAACTATCCCAGCCTTTCTCTACCTCCTTCCGTCTTAAAATTTATCAAATTTTTTACGCTAATTACACCTTTCTCAAGACAAGGGTCCAATTTTTATAGATTCCCTCCCCCCCCACACACTGGGAAAATTGAAGAACATTTATTACAAGCAAGCGGCCCGATGAACACCATCTAACTTGAAACAGTTAAGAATTAAAAATGAAAATATTCAATTTTGACTACAGTGTTTCCTCACAAGCTAATCTTTCAAGGTTAAAGATAGACAAAACAATGGACGGGATTTGTCTTCTGATGGCAATATCTGGTTTATCGTTCATCAGATCAGTGATCAGGGTTTAAAAGGAAATATTACAATTTCTACTGGATCCTTCGGAACTTTCCCTGAAGCTGTTAAGAATGATAACCCATTAAAATTTTTTTGAGGGGCAGAACCATTCTTAACCGAATTAAGAATAAATCCACTTCCTAGACGCTACTCAGAGCTAAGGGCGGCTTGCCGAAAAAAAAGTTTACGTATTATTCCGGCCGGCCGGCTAATAATTAGTTTTCAACATTTCATATCCTTGTGTAGCATATCTGGTAAGGATTTAAGTAAAAATCGGTTTATAAAGCTTCCGTCCTTAATTTCATGTTTTAGTGGTCTATCATTCTGAACGTCTTCAGAAAAGGTTGTTCAGAAGTGTCTTTTTACAGATCCAAATTGACCCGGAAGAAATTGAAATCCCCAAGTTCAGTCGAGCTAAATCTCTTTTTTGAACCCAATTCTTCCATGTCCATTTCAATTTTTCACCTTAATTCTTCCCTTATCCTGGCTTCCTCCCTCCAAACTCTCTCTCGTTCTTTTTCTTTGGCAGCCTTCATGTCTTCTTCCAATCCTAGATATACAAATAAAAACCCGTTTAAATTCCTCTTCTAATCCTAGAAATGAAAACTTAAAATCGTCTTCTAATCCTAGAAATATAAACAAAACCATGTATGTCTTCCTTTAATCCTAGAAATACAAATGAACCCCGTTTTAATTTCTATTCTAATCCTAGAAATGAAAACAAACCAACTTTGAATTCCTCTTCTAATAATCCTAGAAATTATAAATTCTAAAACCTTGAATTCCTCTTTTAGTTCTTGAAATATTAACAAAACCCTTAAGATCCTCTTCTAATCCTAGAAATACGAACAAAATCCTTGGAAATCTTTTAATAACCGAAACCCCCTTAAAATCTTATAAATATAAAAACCCTTTGAGACCCTCTTCTAATCCTAAAGGCTGACAATGCAAACAAAACTCTTGAAATCCTAGAAAAACCCGCATAACCCAAAACCCTTAAGACTCTTTTAATCCTAGACATAAGGAGAAAATCCACTATAAACCATGGAAATACAGAACGCGTGAGGTTCTCCTTTAATCCTGAAATATAAAATCCTTGACATCTCCTGTAATCCTAGGAATTCGAAAAACCTTGATCCTGTTAAAATGGATCCGGATCTGGATCCAGCAAAGATATTTTTTATTTTGCGAACTTATTAAAAAACAAATCTTCAAAACGCTACATTTTCTGAAGAAATTTGATTAGAACAGGATTTAATAAGATAAAAAGTTGCCCTCTGAGAGCAAATTTTTTTTTTTTTTAAATTGAAATTTCGCCGCTTGGATCTAGATTCGTAGAAAGACAGATATCTGAAGATCCAGTTTTAGGAAGCATAAAAACAATGCCAATTATCAGGAAGATACGGAGCAAGAATACAATGCCAATTATTAGGACAAAGCTAAGCATAAAAACAATGCCAATTATCAAGACAAAGCTAAGCATAAAACAATGCCAATTATCAGGACAAAGCTAAGCATAAAACAATACCAATTATCAAGACGAAGCGGACAGTATAAACATGCGACATCTGCACAATTTTCTGTGTTAATTATCTAATGACGTGTTCAATAATAATTTTAAATTAAGAATGGTAGGGTATTATATATATATAAGATATATATATATTATAAATAACCTGTTTCAATTTTCTCAATCCACTCCTTCATGTAGAGAATCCTGTGCTTCACTTCTTTCTAAAGTAATTGAATGCTTTAAAGTAATTTACCTTCCGGTCATACAAATTGTAGGAAGCATTAAAAAATAAATAAAAATAAAAAGATAGTTGGGTGTGCTGATATGAACCTGCAGTTTGGCATTCTCTTTCATGATATTATCTTCATGCTTGTTACCCTGATTCTTCAAGCTTTCTCTCTGCTCCTGTAGATTAGAATTTAAAACAAAATATAAATATAGGAACTACATCCTGCAGATAACCTAACAAAGAGAGAAAAAAGTTAAATAATGCAGTAAAATTATAATTTGCAAGGTATATCAAGGTTACAGTTGCCATTTTACAAGTGGGACAATATGTTGATAAATTTTACACTAAAACTTGTAACCATTAATCCTGGCAGTCAAATTGCAGTAGAGATATTTGGGAGTCATACTTTATTGCATGGAATATTATTTTACCTACTGAAACTGGTATCGAATCTTATTTGATCAAAATGCCAAGTATAATGTAGGCTGTTGGAAAATGGTATTAACAGATGTTTATATTTTCTTAAAAATCATCCCCTGCCCCCACCCAGGGTGTATATTCTTAATTCCTCCCTCAGTGCAGGGGGTTAAATTAAAAATTTACCCAACAAGGAAGAGAAATAAAAAAGTGAAATGAAAAAGTTTGACAGGAAAGAGAAAGAAGAAAATATTTGGTATCAAAGATAACAAGAGAATAACCAGAAAAAGGGAAGAAAATTTAATTCAGTTTGAATTTTCTCCCTCTAAACCAGCAAAAAAGGGAAAAGAATTCAATTTTGTTTGAATTTTCTTCCCCTATATTTTCTTTATCGTAAGAATTTAATAATAAATTTAGATTGAATTCTCTTCCCCGTTTGGTTTCCTGGAAAGTGATGTATGATGTATGTTTGGATCTACTTGATATAGCGAGGCCAACCAAACCAAACATTCAAGTTTTTTAGCCGAGTCATCGCCTTCTAGGTTGCTTTACCTGTACTGATTACTCATGTACGTACATCGCAGAAAAAAATATATTTAACCTTAAGCTTTAGCAACTGATCTTCTAAACTCTCACAATTCTTCTCGTAATGCTCCCGCTGCTTTATAAGCTTCTCCCGCTGCTCCGGGGTCAGCAGTTTCTCATGAGACTGCTTCTCACCGCCATCTGCTGAAAAAAAAAATATTATGAGAAATCAAGCTTTTAGTTTTAATCAGGCTAACAAAACCTTTTTCATCTCAGCGGAAACTCGGGACCACGGCTACGACAGGAAGCAAAGCTGAAAAATAGTTAAATTCTAACATTTGTTCTTTTCTTTAATACTTTACCAGCACCCTTTCTCTAGCTTGCGATAAGGAAATACCTGTACTATTTAAATACAAAAATAAATGAGGTTAACCTTATATAATAAATAAAATAATAATAAATATTAAAGATTATAAAAATTATAAAAATACCCCCTGTGGATCAGGTTCTCTTCCTCGACATAATCAAATTAGTAAACTGGTTCTACATTTATAAATTTTTAGTCAAATATACATTATACCTTTCTCCTTCTCCAGAAATGAATAATAAACAAAATTATCGAATAGTTAACAATTTATACAATACCTGGGTAGAGAAGTTTAAAATTTACAAAGCTAACTAGATAGTGATCATCTTATTAACTGGTAGCTTTTTACACCCCCCTTCCTGTCTCAATAAAACAGTTTTTAAATAAAAAGATCAATGATGGAAATTTATAATTACACTTCAATTTAAATTTTATTAATGCGCTTTAATTTGAGCTTGGCTTCAATATAGATAAAGCTACAAGTGTTGTGCGTTGCGAACGTATTAAATCTGCTTAGATTCAAGATAAGATTCAGAAAACCTGACAGTTCAGTTTCACCCAATGAGATTGCTGAAATACCAAAACCATTGTTTCTAGTTTAAATACTTCTGTTATTTCTATTTACAGTATGCGTAATAAAAATGAAAACTTTTAAAACAATTTGCACGTTTTTCTAATACTAGAAATTCAAGGCGCTTCGCGCCCTTCTTTCTAGCCTTAGAGGGCGCTTCGCGCCCATCTCCTAAATAAATTGTGAACATGTTCTCTTTGTGTACATCGTAAAACAAAACAAAAATAATTCGCGGATTTTCACAAAAAATTTCGCGGATTTTCAAAATTTAAAAAAATTTAATGACGATCGAATTTTGATGGAGACAAATATTTGAAATTTTGATGATTCATAAACCTTCCCTGGAGTCCCTAGATGTCCCACAAAAAAATTGGGCCCGATCGGTTCAGCCGTTTTGACGTTTATTGGATACAAACAGACAAACAAACAAACAGACAGACAAGCCAAATTTATATATAGATAAAAACCAATCTAGACGTCTGATGTAAATCATTAAAAAAAAACGTTTGGTGTTTCTGAATAGATTGAACATATTTCATCAAATATGACTTCTTTCCGACTCCATTTACGTTCTCCACCTAAACTCTAAAATTGGCACACAAAGCACTCATCCAGTCCTTGATCAAACCATCCTTGGAGACAGTAATAGTGATAACCAAATAAATGATCGTGCTGTTGGCCTACATAATGACCTCATCCTGCATTATCGCAGCACACACATTTTTTTTACGTTTGGCCGGGTCTGGGTACTGAGGGAGCTAAATCCCCCCAAATATTGCCAGGAAACAGTGAATCTACTGATGTGAGGCGGAGTTATTTCTTAAACCAAGACAAAATTGTGTTCCTCATATAAGGAACATAAGGACCTAATGTGGACCGAGACCCGAGAATATTTGGACTAATGAACTTTTAAAATCACTTATAATTTTTGGTCCACAGAACGGTTACAGGGTTTAACAACTTCTTAAAGTGGGTCAGGCTTTGCTTTTTCACAAAATTTCTTTTAACAAATTTTGTTGTCCTATTGCATCATCTGTCAGCAGTGTCTTAAACAAGTTTCTTGTGGTCCCTTAGCCATCTGGCAATTGGTCCAATCAATGTTGATCTTAAACTTGGCTGTTCACTACCCTCACAGGTCCGCAGTTAGATGATCTTTTTCCGCAAGGACAAAATGTAGTTTAATATCTCTGCCATCATCCAGTAAAGTTTTTACAGTGTTGACCAATTATTTACGGCAGGAGAGCTGCTGACATATTTCTTATATTTTGGGACCACGGTATAATAAATAGTTACCATCATATTACGCATATTGAGCAATTGGTAGGCAATATTAGCGGCAAAGGGTTTCAGTTTCAGTATATATTTACAAATGAATTATTAAGTATTGAGGAGGAATGAGTTCATGAATTGTTTTTGTACAGCATTGATTTAACCTGTCAAATCAAATTCTCTAAAAATATATGTTCAGCATAAGGAATTTGGATAGTAGAGGAAAACACGATGAACGAATTTTCCTTTTTCAACTATTCCTGTAATTGCCAAAACTGTACATTAAACAATATGATGCTGAAAATACTAATATCATGAAATGAGTTACCGGTTTTCCGCTCTTTATCTTCCCTCGCAACCTCGCCTCTTCTCTCCTCCATCCTTCTCCACTCTTTGTCGTCCTTTCGCTCTAATAAATGTAGTTCAACAATTTATACTCGATAATCTCCAGTTTAAATGTCAGAAAATTTTTAATAAAAAAATCAATTTTAAACAATTTATTAAAAAAAATATCTCCTGACGTGATATAAATGATTTTTTAAACTATACTTTTACTATCTTCTGAACCTATCTTTTCCTGGAAACTTAACTCTTTTTAAAAGCCAACCCCATCAGCTATAAATTTCTAAACCAACATTTTTGTTCCCCAAAAAAGGTTCATGAGTTATAATCGGACAAACAAACGATTACTACTTAAAATACATATTTACTAGATACCTGAAATAATATTGAATTTCAAATCAAATAGAAATTCTTTGTTTTTACAAAACAGAAGTTAATACTTACTTGTATGAAAGAACAGAAAAAAAAACATTTTAAAAATTTAAATAAAAAGAAGAAAATATGAATACAGTTACCCGACTCAACCATCCGGGACTTTGAATCCGACCGATCCCGACCCTCACGGGTTCTTTCTTCCCGCCCGTATCGAGGATCTTTAACTGTAGCTCTAGGATTAGACGGAGAATCTTGAATGTTCCGGTATGACTGGTATCCAGGAGGCGGGGCTCCATACCCTGGGTTGGAACCAGAGTACGGGGTGTAGCTCGGCTGGCTGGCATATGGATATCCGAAAGGCTGAAGTTAAAAAATAATTAAATAATAATCTAGATAAAATCAGAATGTGAACAAATAGTCAAGTTTTATTTTGTTAGAATCAGGTTCATTACAAAGACCGTGAACCAAAATGAGTCAATCTTCCAAATGACAAAAATTATAAATTATTTAATCCCCGACTTTAATAAGCGTAACTAAGAGCTAAGTATTATGAAAAATCTATCCTTTCACTAATTTGTGGAAATGAAAAACAAAAACAATTTACGAACCGGTTGTTGAGCCTGGGGTCCTGTGTTCCCGACAAAGGTTTCAATCTTGTTCCCTCGAATCTCCTTAACATTTTCTGCTTAATCAAATGCGAAGAAAATGTGTAGCGAAATTTTATATAAATATCTATACAGTATTACTATGTCTCACTAAAACTGGAAGTTTTTCATTTTCTCTTTAAAAGCTGTTCTAGGTAGGTTTGCAAAATATCAAATATTGTGTAGAATTGAAAAATCAGAATAACTGACAATACGGAGACAACTGAGAATAATTTAATTCCTGATAAAAAGTAGGTCAAACATCCTGCTCATAAATGCGTGTTAGAAAGGGATATCATGTGTCACTATTTCCAAAGTTTTAAAACACGCTTATTACGTACCTGAGGAGAATTAAGAGAGTTCAAAAACTCTTCACTTTTCTTCTTCCAATCCTCCTTGTTAACAAAATATACTTTTAGTTTTTACTTCTCATTGAATGAAATATATTTTAAGAAGGCCATATATCACTGAAGTTTTAAGGGCTCACATTTATTCCCACACCAAAACACAACTATGGGATAATATTATCTCAAAATGCACTCCCCACACGAGAAATGAATCAAAAGGTGAGTTTGACCAATTTGAATACATTTGGGAATCCTGGTTTAATTTTGAAAGAAATCTGAATGAAATTTTGCATATGGGCATTATTTGTGTTCCTGTTAAGTAAAATAAAAAAAGTTTTGGGGAAAATTATATTCCCCCTTTTCCCCATGTTTTTTTAAACTTGTAACCAACAAGTCTGATTCACATACCAGCTAGGTGTTAAAAACACCTACCTGTTAGTTAAGAATCTCATTACTAACATCAGAACGAAGTTTAAGGGTTTTTTTTGATCCCTTTTCCTCATATTCCCCTATTTTATCATATTTTCCCACTTTCTGGATTCATGAATTCATTTTTCATCGAAAATTTAAAAAATCTTTTACTTTCAGTCCTCAATTAGATAGTATTTTTGTAAAACAATAGAACAATATAGATGTTTTAAACACCTCCCTGTTAGTCAAGAATCTCATTACTAACATCAGAACGAAGTCAAAGATTTATCAAATCACTTTTCTCCTTAACTTAACAATGATAAAATACTTCGTACTGATGTTAGTAATAAGATTCTTGACCAACAGATATTCAAGGAAATAAATTTACCCCACTTTTTAAATTATTAAATAGTATCCAATTGAGGTGTGCCAAAGATTATTTTATTTTTGATGAAAAATAAATTCATGAATCCGGAAAAAAATGAAAAATATGAACAGAGTGAAATAAAAATATTATAAAATATGGAGAAGTGATCTGAAAATCCTTAAACTTCGTTCTGATGTTGGTAATGAGATTCTTGTCTAACATGTAGCTGTTTAAATCAGACTTATTTTTAGTAAAAAAAAACCTATAAAAAAAACATGGAAAAACTGAAAAAGGGGCGAAAACTATTTATTTCCTCCTTTTTATTTTGTTTTACAAAAATACTGTGCGCAAAAGATTTTTTTTAAAGTTTTCAATGAAAAATGAATTCATGACTCCAGGAAATCTGAAATTAGTGGGAAAACATGATAAAATAGATAAAAGTGATCTAAATAACCTTAAATTCGTTCAGGTATGAAAATCAGACTTTTCGGTGAATAAGCTTTAAAAATTACATGGAAAATGGGGAAAGGGGGGGGGGGGGAGGAAATATATTTTTCCAATTTTTTTTTCTTTTTTTCTTTAAGAAATAAACATAAATATGCTCTAAAAATGAAGAAATGTATTCAAATTGGTCAAACTCACCCTCCCCTTTAAGAAAAAAACATAGCACTAAATACAAAAATACCTGCTGGTGACCACTTCTCCGTCGTCGCCTGTCATACTCCGGGGAGCCAGAAGGGTCACGACGCCGTCGAATGCTTTCTTTCGGATCATCATACTTCCGATTTTCTTTCTCATTCGTCCCTGACGACTGAAATATTACACATGTTTAGAAAGTAAACCTTTAACTCATTAAAACAAATAAGTTTACGTTTTACATACGGGGTGTCCCAAGAAACATGACCATAGCAAGACGACCTAAAAGTCGTCCTTGAACTTCTAACAATTTCGTTCAGAATTTTATTTTATTAAAAACCAAAGTTCTCTAAATCTGAACAAATTTCTTCATATAGATCCCGTAAAACAGAAACAACTAAACAGGCAGACCACATTTTGGAATTATCAAGGCTAAGGGTATTTGTGATTATTAACTTTAGAATTTTACTTCCAACTAAAATTAGGTTTACGAATGAAATAAATGCAGCAAATTATTTCAAGAGTCAAAGACGACCTTCAATTCGTTATGCTGCTGTCTGTTTTGAGGAACACCCTCCTGTTGTAAAAAAAGAATTGGCTATAAAACAACATTACATGACCTTTCACCCAAAATGCTTGTCTTCAAAAACTCCAGCAATTAATTTTACTTTTTCAAACTTTCATTAAGAAAAATGAACCAATAACAGTTAAATTATAAAATTAATACCTGACGTTTTCGCTTCCTTGGATCCCTTTCCTCCCCCCTTCGATCATCTCCGTAGAGATACCTCTCCTCATCCATACCAACTCGAACAATAAGACCCGATCAGGAAAATTTTCTAAACGGCTAAGTGTTAAAAACATCGGCGTATTAACACTGCGTGTCAAAAGACTTGAACACGCATACCTCCCCCCCGGACTGTTCCAATAATCTGAGATAATTTTAGCGGAATCTTGATACCTACAACTATAGGTTATATCTATCTATCTACACTGCTCTGGTAAAGCGTTGTGTGACTATGGTTCTACCTAGGTTAGAATGTCTACGAAATTGGCCAGTAATTTTGTTAGTGCTGTGTTATAGCTGAGCGTACCCTAGATTTTTAGGGAAATTTTTTGAATCACTGCATGGTGTATCTTAAGTTTTAATCGAACAATTTTCATTCTGGCTATCGTTGATTCTATGAAAATTATTTGTACTTTTATAAAAGTTTGAAGTGTTTGAAGGGTTCAAATCAGAGAAGAACTTTGGAAGATCGCAAGCCCAGAGCCCGTTCTCTCTCCAATAATGTTTAAACAATGGTCGTGTTGTTCGTGTCTTTGGTGGACGATAGTTTGGCCACCAGATGGGTCACGCAAAATTCTTTTCTGATAGATAATTCTTACCGAGATACATCTAGAGGACAAAAAATCGTCCCATAAATTACGTGAACAACACGTTGACCAAAAATCGTTTTCTAGGACAGACCCAAACCTTGTCTATGATATATATATCTATTCCATTATATATTATGGGTAAGGTATCACAAATTTAAGGTAATTTCCTAGAGAACGATTTCTGGACCACCCCATCCCCCCCCGCTATCAAAAAAGCCGTTGATCATGTACAAAATTGATAGAGGGGGGGGGGGGTGTTCAAATTGGTTTAAAAAACAGTAGATATTCGCAACAACGGTAATAATTCAAATTTTTTGGGAGTTTATTCAATCTTTACAAAGAATTTACAACCCTGTTTATAGGGTTAGGTTAGGTTATGACAATTTCTGGGACGAGCGCTGCGGCTAGAACATGCTAGGATGCCGGGCGCTGCGGCCACGTGATAAATTATATACATGTGTTTCATACGAGATCCATGTACAAAATTAATAGGAGGGGTGGGGAGGGGGTCCAAAAATAGTTCTCTCGGAAATTAGTGAATAACAAACGACCCAACATAAACGCCATTCTTTTACTAATCTGCAGTACCTGACAATTTCAGCAATCAATCGATTTCAATGCTTATCTTCCAGAACTGTAATGTCTCTGAAAATCGAAAAAATAACACATAAAATTTTAAAGTATTAATTGTAAAGTTGGATTTTTAGACCCCCTCCCTCCCCCTCCTATCAATTTTGTACATTTATTATTTATTAATGAGGGTTAGGTTAGGTTAAGACTATTTCTGGCTGAGCGCTGCGGCTAGGATAGGCCAGGGGGCCGGGCGCTGCTGATAGGGGACCGAGCGCCGCGGCTAGGGAGCCGGGCGCTGCAGCCACACGATCAATTATACAAATGTACTAAATTGATAGGGAGGGCTGGGGGTCAAAAAATTACCGTGAAGTTTTTCTAATTTCACTGAAGCACTCACAATAATGTGCACAGTCTAATTAAACAACCGTTAAATCATTAATTATTAACTTCATTTAATCTCATTCCATAGATTTTTTTTTCCAGCACATGAAGATGAACCGCGGGCCGGGGACTGGTTTGGTTTGAACAATTGGGATGTTGCAACTTTGATATTTCCCGCGCCTTTCTTCAGTGCCCCAACTTAACTTACATCCGTCCTACGATACTTCTGACCTACTCGCACGTGGTTCGATGAACTGTAGGTCGAATACAATTACAGGTGTCGTATCGTTTGCACTAATGATTGATCGGACTAACGTACATTCGCACTAACGTTTTATTTGAGTGTTAGGAATTAGGTTAAGCTAATTTAAAGCTGGGCCGAGCGCTGCAGCTATGACAGGCTAGGGGGCCGAGCGCCGCGACTATCACAGACTAGGGGACCGGGCGCTGCGGCCACAAGTGTTACTGACTATAGTGCAATGTACGTTATAGTTCAATCGGGTGTCCCACATCATATTAGACCGTCAACGGGTCTAAATTGCTATTTTCGGGACTAATAAGAAAATTTAAATAGAATAAATCAATTTGAAAATTAACATAAGGCCTATATAAGAATTTTCTTGCGGAAAATGATAAGTTTTCGATTATTAAGGGTTTATAATTTTGTCGTTAAAGATTAGAGGTATAATCTAAAATGATATGGGACGCTCTGTATGTAAGTGCAATTACGATAGCATCCAATTACATGGGACAGATACAGGGGGGGCAGGGGACATTCGCCCCCCCTGACAGATTCAGGGAGGGGCGATAGCCCCCCCCCCCCCGAGATTTCCAGGCAAAAAATGTTCCCAATTTGATAAATGTTATTGTTAACGATAAATTTAGAATTAGAAATTTGTAAGAAACTATGATTTAAGTTATAATATTGATCATAGTAATGTTCCTTAATCAATATACTCATTTATCAAAATTGTAATATTGTTCCTAATTTTCATGCATTTAAGTATAACTAGTTATTTCCTTTTGTTCTTAAATTGCTAATGTTCCTATTACTGTTCCTAACAATTTGTGTCCGACCAACCTTAAATCCCTGTCCTAATCCAATATTTTGTTCCTCATTCCTGAACAATCTTTTTATTGTTACTAAATCCCTGTCCCAATCCTTTAATTTTGTTCCTCATTCCTGAACAATCTTTTAATTGTTCCTAAATTCCTGTCCTATTCCTAATCCTTTAATTATGTTCCTCATTCCTGAACAATCTTTTAATTGTTCCTAAATTCCTGTCCTAATCCTTTATTTTTGTTCCTAATTCCTGAACAATCTTTTAATTGTTCCTAAATTCCTGTTCTAATCCTTTAATTATGTTCCTAAAATTTAAAAATCTAGTTTTTAGTCTTTAGTCATTGATTTTTACTCTTTTGAGTCTTTTAAGTCAAACAAAATTTTCGCCTGCGACACGTTTTTTTGTTCCTAATTATTAATTTTTTTGTTCCTATATAAAAAAATCTTGCCCCCCCCTCACTTAAATCCTGTATCCGCCCCTGCAATTACACATTTCATTGAAAATAAGTTTGCACAGCTTTCAGCTGGTTCTGTTGGTCAAACAGATAATAAATGTCTTTGCACCTAACATGCATATAAGGAACCTAATTGTCATTTTGATATAACATGAGGCCGCAGAGCTAGACCCCTGCAATTAGCATCTATAGCGGCAGCGCTTGGCCCAGAAATTGTCCTTTAACCTAACTAATTGTTTATCATTTGATCATTTTGATAAATGTGGCCGCAGTCGAAGTCGGAGCGCTCGGTCCAGAAATCATCTTATAACCTCCTATCCAAACATATTGGCTATCACAATTGGTCATTTTTATAAATATGGACACAGCACTTGGCCCTAGCCGTAAAGCACTCGGCCCAGAATTCGTTTTAACCTAACTACAAATTGGCTATTATAGCTTGGGTAATTTTTATAATTGGCCGCAGCGCTCGGCCCAGAAATCGGCTTAGCGTAAACTAACCCCACCGATTGTTTATCACTTCGTCAGTTTTATAAATTTGGCCGCAGCGCTCGGCCAAGAAATTATCTTAACAACCTGCACATATTGGCTATCACTTGGTCATTTTAAAAAATCCTAACTACAAAAGTTGTATATCCGACCTATTAAAGTTGTGCATCCGACCATACTAAAGTTGTGCATTCGACGTAAAAAATCTGTGCGTGCATCCGATCTACAAAAAGTGCAGCATCTGACCAACTTAAATTTGTGTGCAACTGGAACATCGATCCATCTAGCATTGTCAACTATATACCGACGATATCTGCAGTTCCTGAGTAGGTCGGATTAACAAAATACAATGTACATCTGACCTATAGCTATCGTGGGTCCGATGTTACGAAGGTCCGAAGTATCGTAGAACGGAAGTACCGTAGAATGGAACATGCTTAATTCCATTGATTCCTACATATATATTTTTTTACCGAATCAAAACTTCCCAATTAAATGGTAAAGAATCAAGTCCAGGAATTAAGAGTATTAAATTTATTTACAAAAACAAATATATTTTCTACAATATCAGGGGACATAAGTTCCAAAACTAACACTTAGCGCATTTCTAACACTCAGTGTTTAGTGTTAGAAATGGGCACAGATTGAAAGACTGGGTTTTGGGGATCCCGGCCCGTATCAAGAGTAAAAGTCGATTATAAAAACTATAACCAACATTTATTAAACATGACGAGTACAATAATTCCCAATTTTGAACTTTTTTTAAAATCAAAATTATAATAGGAGTTCTTGTTATAAAGCTCTTGACCGTTTTCAAGACAATGTTAGGTTTTCCATTTTCGAACATATCTTGAATTTAAAACATTGTCGCGTTTTCGAGACAAAACCCACTTTCCCGTTTTTGAGTATATAATATAAAATTCAAAACAAAACTCACTTTCATAAATTACAAAATAAATCACTGAAAACAAAAATTATCTTATGAAGACTAAATTAACTTCTGAATTATTTCTAGAATCTAAGTTTCCACATTTTATCTGTTAAATTAGAGAATATGGATAATTTATTTTCAAGCATTTTAAACGAACACTTTCCCGCATTTCTAGTTGTATCTATGTTGTAAGAACAAATTATATTAATATTTTGATTTTTAAATGCTGTAATGATTTTGAAATTATAAAAGAACAGTTTACTTTATTTTCTATTTTGTTTATTTTTTACCTTATCAAAAAATGTTGCGTAGTGCGTAAATACTTGAAAATTGACATTGATATGAACTCCGGTAATTGTCTCAAAACCAGGATATGTTCCGTAAACGCTACATGAGCTGAAATCCGGTAATTGTCTCATAACCAGGATATGTTCCGAAAACGCGACATGAGCTGAAATCCGGTAATTGTTACAAAATATGGATTTGTTCAAAAATAAAATCAAGAATCATCAAAAACTAATTCTCACACATTATTATTAGTTTTAAATTGCCATTTACTGTTTAAATGTTTAGTTTTAGCCATTTTTTATAAATATATGGTGTAATTTTGTTCAGCTCGTCTTGGATTTAAAGATATATACTCTTGAAAAAGAAAACTTTGCAGATTTGGCCCATTACTAACACTCAGTGTTAGTAATGGGCCAAGTGTTAGTTTTGGAACTAATATCCCCTGAATATACAAAACAGATTCATAAATTCAGATCAAAATATTTACAATCTCTTTATATCAGGTATTAACTTTGGTAGACAGTTCTCTAGAACTCTTTAAGTGTAAAGAGTTTAATTCACTCGACTCTAAAAATACATATAATTTAAATAAATATTGTGTAGAAAAGTCAAGATAGAAGACATTATAATTTACTATATAAATTACGTACAATTTGTTTTAATATTATTTTTATACTGTTTTAGGAAAATGATTAAGATAACATGGCTGTTCAATGTTCATTTAGTTTTATAGAAAACAGGCGAAAGAAGTGAGGCAGATATGAAAAGTAAAATGTATATTCAATTAAGCTTTTAAGATGAGTTCTTAAATAAGGATAAAATTGATCAGAGATTCAAAACTTTTTGTTATCTTTTAGAAAGAGAAAAAGAAATAAGTTCTTCTAGCTTTACAGAATTTTATAAAATTTAGACTTATTTCATAGCTACATAATATGTTAAATTAGTAAAATATTTCCATTCCACGGTAGGATACCAATCTTGACGAACAGTTACAAAAACAGTACTTTTAAATTGTAGGAGCCGATTTAAATCAATTTAAGGGAGTTAACTGTAAATTTTTCGAAATAAGATCGCACAGAGATCGGTTTTATAGAGGAAAGTTTTTTTTTATTTGGTTTAAATCAGTTTTGTTCATTAAGAATTTTCCAGCTGCTCCGTTTTCAATTAAATTGCAGTTATATGATCATTAACTTTTAAGATTCCCTTCCTGGGATCCTGGACCATGAATCTTTTTTGCATGTTTGATCATTGCATTCTTCTGCGCAAATTTTTTACTACAAGTCTCGCAAGAAAACGGTTTCTCCTGAAAAATTATATTAATAAAACATGAATTCTAGACACAAGCATAAATGTATTCTAGACAAAAAGAATAAATGTATTCTATACACACAAGATGAATTAATGTATTCTAGACACAAAAAGAATAACTGTATTCTAGAAACAAGAAGAATAAATTTGTACTCTATACACACAAGAATAAATGTATTTTAGACGCACAAGAATTAATGTATTCTAGATACCCAAAAATAAATATATTCTAGACACCCAAGAATAAAAGTATTCTAGAAAAAAGAAGAATAAATGAATTCTAGATACACAAGAATTAATGTATTCTGGACACAAAATGAATAAATGTATTCTAGAAATAAGAAGAATAAATGTATTCTAGACACACGAGAATAAATATATTCTAGACACACAAGAATAAATGTATTTTAGACACACAAGAATAAATCTATATCCACTAGACACAAATTGAGTAAATGTATTCTAGAAACAATAAGAATAAATGTATTGACAGATTTTTCGGTTTCTTTGATTTGAGACTCATAATGTCAGTACAATTTGGGCCAAGTTTTTGGATCCTGGCAATGCAATTGCTCGATGTATTTACTTTCGAATGGCAATATACAGAAATAAATCTTGGGGGTAGGCATAAAATGAGCGAAGAATTTTAACTTTTCAAAACATTCAAGGTTTGAATAGCAGGCACAATTTACAAGACACTATAAGGACACACATAGCCCAACTAACTTACAAGTGCCACGTTGTCTTCTTTTCAAAAACTAGCCCCCCCATAAAATTATAAAAATTTACATTTCATTATTTTCAAATTCATAGTTTTTTTTGCATTAGAGTAAAAGACATTTTTTAAAATGAATATCACAGCTTGGAACTTAAAAATCTATGAAAACTTTTGTTGATCATTAAATATTATATAAGGAATACAATTGTAATAAACAAAGATAACAAAACGACTTTGCAATGCGTGAAGTAATAAAATATTGATTAAAAACTAATAATTAACTTTTAATTTCTCTAAAATGCAAGCTTCCTTTCCTTCTACGAACTTCATTTTTAAAATCAAGCCATTGATGTTGGGTGAAGAGGAAATAGAACTAGTTATGTAAGCACAATTATAGAGATTTAACCAATCAAAGTATGTTATCTAAAACCTACCTTAGTGTGCATTTTTAAATGGATACTCCGTTGTGTTGAAGTTTTGAAACCCCGGCCACAAACCTTGCACCGGTAGGGTTTGCTTCCAGTGTGTATACGCTCATGGACACTCTAAAGGAATAAATAAATAAGACTGTCAGCTACCATTCCTTGAAAAACTAAATGCACAAGCTAAAACATGAATCAAATATTAAAACCTTTGGAATTGCTATGATAAAAAGTGCTAATTAAATAAAATTTCGTGGAATTTTAAGAAAGCCTTTTAGAAAGTGGCAATTAAAATGAAAACTGATGATCTGTGCCGCGAAATATTTTTAGAAGGAAAACGTGAATTTTTCCAGTAAAGACGTGTAGGAAATTGCCAACGTTTTGTCAGGCTGCAGTTTTTTCCTTTCACCTTTTTATAAATACTGTAATATTAGAAATAGTTCTGGAATATTTTAAATTGCTGAATTTATTCTTTCGGAGAATATTAAATATTTTTTGGGTTAAGAAGTTAACAAAAGATGAAAAAAATACTTAAATATCTAGAAATTTAAAATAGTTTCAATTTTCCCCATAAGAACACTCTTAAATGGGTGGTTCTTTAAAAGTTAAGTTTAACACCTTTTAATAATAATACCCCTAATCAATTCTTAATCTCTAATTTATAACTTACTCTTTTAGATCGTTCTCTGAAGGATTTAGGACAATGTCGGCATTTGAACGGTTTTCCATCCGAATGGACTAATAGATGCCTGTTCAAGCTTCCCTGACAGCTCAATACCTTACCACATTCAACACACTTGAAAGTTTCCTAAATTTTCAAAAATAAAAAAAATCATCTAAAATTTTCCTACTTTGCCAATTAGTTTGTTATGTTTTAAAAAACCATTTGTTCAGATTAAAAACTAAAACATAATTACAATAAACATTGACACATATAATTAATTATCAAATCATATCATCCAATAAAAAACAAAGAAATATTAGTATTATTATATATATATATAGTATTTATTTTCAAACACAAAATACAAAATGTATGGTGATTCAGCTTAAAATAAAACTCAAAAGAAAATTTATTATGAGCCAATTGAAAATATAATGTTTGATAATTTTGTTTGAATCGTTCTTGTTGAAACAAAGTATGCATATTGAAATCTAAATATACATTCATTGAAGTAGATAATTAGTCAGCACTCAAATAATCAAAACATTTTAAGGAATTAAAACTTGACGAGGATTACCTTTTCAACATGCTGAGCTGATTTCAACTTAAATCTTGTGATTCCATCACTCGCTGGTTCATTAAGACGACTCGGCTTAACTCTTAAAATATTTATTTTATTAGTTAAACTTGCAAAAAATAATATTTCTCAACATATTATTAAAAATATCAATAATATTTGTCCTTTTGTCCTCCTTTAGTCATTTTGTACTCCTTTTGTCCATTAGTCCTCCTTTTGTCCATTAGTCCTCCTTTTGTCCATTAGTCCTCCATTTGTCCTCCATTTGTCCTCCATTTGTCCTCCATTTGTCCTCCATTTGTCCTCCTTTTGTCCTCCTTTTGTCCTCCTTTTGTCCTCCTTTTGTCCTCCTTTTGTCCTCCTTTTGTCCTCCTTTTGTCCTCCTTTTGTCCTCCTTTTGTCCTCCTTTTGTCCTCCTTTTGTCTTCAGTTTGTCTTCAGTTTGTCTTCAGTTTGTCCTCAGTTTGTCCTCAGTTTGTCCTCAGTTTGTCCTGTGTCAAGTGTCAAGTGTCATGTGTCATTGTCATTATTAATATTTCATAACCAGGCGACCCCAGGCATTATTGGTGTGTGATTATGCAATGTACATCGAATGGAAAAGCGCTGATAGGATTGCTGGGGGCCGGGAACCCGGAACTACCCCAGCAATTATTTTAAAATAATTAATGAAATAAATAACGTTTGTTTACTTTTAGTGAAAGGTACTCATAACTTCTAGTTTTAAACTCGAATCTAGATTTTAGTAATTGGTTCGATTCATGTTCATTACACATAAGTCGTTTCATTTTGATGCTAATCTTGGATCTACCAAGGAACCAAATTTAATAAAAATTAGATGATCTTCTTGTAACTAACCACTTCTTTTGAATTTGAACACTCACACAAGAAGGTGGTTCAACTTAAGTCTATTTCTCGGATTTTATCAATTTTAGTCTATCTTGTTTTGAATCAGGAAGCTAGAATAATTGTTGAAAGATAAAAATAATCTTTGTATTCCTAAACAATAAAACATAACATATTTTTATGTTGAACGGATCTAGATCCTGAGCTCTGTAACAATTTTACAAGTCTAAAAAGTTGACACAATACTATGTTTGCCTTAACTACACTACTTGCCAATCTGCTTAATGAAACTTACGGCAACAGTATAATGGTAACTCATAATATTATTTAAATAATACTGAGCCTTTTCAAAATATAAAACGTAAATTAACCTGGGACGACCAGGCTTTCTGTCTTCTATTATTGCTGGTTCTTCAGGCCAAATTTCTCCTACATTTTCCCGATCTCAATAAATATTTTAATAATAAAATTGAAATTGAACTGTTATTGTGCAGTAATTGTCTTATTATCGATAGTTCAACAAATGGGTTGATTATAAGAATTATAAAAATAATAAGTTACCCGTTACGGAAACGGTTAATTAAGTGTTAAAAAGACAGTACACTTATTCTTTTAACTGAGAAAAAAATCCAGCGAAACTTGTCGCTTTCCCGAATAGGCAGTATATAAATATTAAAAAGAAAAACGACGACATCTCAGTTACTAATATATTACGTAATCGTAACAAATGTACTATTTTGAACTTTGGAGAATAAATTTTCACTTCAAATAACGTGTAAAATCCCTTCAATTTCACTCCATCTCAACCTGTTAAATTCTCTATCATATCCACGTCTTCGTCTTCGTACTCCTCAATCCTCAGCTTCGTCTTGGGTTTGTCGACCCGAGCAGGACGAGGTCGAGACTCGAGGTTCTGAGAACCCGGTTTCTGAATTCGGTTTCTTGACTTTGTATCCTGTCTGTCCTGAGTTTGTCCCTCCAAGAAACTTACTCGCTTTTTTCTCTGATATCAAGCAATAATAATAATGTTTTAAAAAAGAACAAGAGAATGGAACCATCACCCAGACCAACGTGTATATTTTTTTTGTTAAAAATCTTTTACTTCCTATGAAAAAAAAAACAGGTTTTCTTGCAGTAAAACCCCCCCCAGCACACAATGAATATCATTATATTGACAGAATTATGCTCGATTCCTTATCGTCGCATGGCACCATTCTTTCCAATTCTGGAGGCTCTGGGCTTGTCTGATTGTGATTTGTTTCTATATAAACTCGTATTGAGTGTTCTGAGTTGTTTGAGATATGAATGTTTTCACAATTCTCAGAATATCCATTCACAAGTGTCACTAAACACAGAATTTAAAATTTCCTTCAGCTTTTCAAAAGTTTACCGAGAAACAGATATTGAAAAAAGAAAAAAATTATATAATTTAATAAAAAAATTAATAGCTCACAGAATTGACTCTGATTTGATTGAATTTATGATATTCAAAACCTTAAAATCATTTGGAAGGAGCTGAAACCGTAATTTCAAGCCTATTCGATTCACAACGGCACCCATAAATACTTTGGCTGATCAATAATGCTTGAGATATCCATCCACTTCTCTTTGAGAATTGATTATTTTCAAATGTAGGTTCTCCATCTAAAGTGCCTTGCACATTTCTGCTTCAGAACAATAGAGGAAATTGTCCGAATCCAATGAGCTAAAATACGACTATATCTTTCAAATTATTGATAAGATAAAGGTTTAAAGGTTACCGCTGTAAATCGAGTATTCCACTTTTTATAAATGAAATAACGACAGTTTCTTAAAGAATTTATAATTCGTCCCATATCTTATTTTAGGTTTAGAGTTATCACCTTCATAATTAGCAGAATCTTGTTGCAACTGTTCTTGTTGCTGCTGCAGCTCGTCTGTAATATAAAACTGAGAGGGTATTTCCTCCTCTTTTTCCAGTTCTTGTTTTTCCAACTTTTCTTCTTGGTATTTATCTTGTTCACAATCCAACTCTTGTTCCTGGTTGGTATCAATAACTAAATTTTCCTCATTTTGAATATCACCATCATACAATTCCTCTTCATCTAGAAATAGTCTCATAAGTTTTCTTGTTATTAAAAATCAATTTCTGAAAAAAATTCTTCTTCAATTTATTAGAATACAGTTGTAGTATATTAATTAAAAAATCTAGATGACATTGGTGTATGAAAGATATTATAACTATAGTATACAACATTTAAGACGGCTGCCAAAGTGCGTATAGAAATAAACGTTTATCATCAAACTATAGTTTTTCCCTCCCACCCTGCTCTTCTAAGGCTTAAATTTATAACAAAATATGTTGGGAAGTATAATGGTCTTTATCTTTGAATTGTTTTTTGAGGACAGGAAGTTAAGTTTTGGGAAAGAAAATTTAATTCAAGGAAAATGTAGCTTAAAACTGTAAAAAGTTAGCATTTTTATCAAACGTTTTGCGGAATAATTAAAAAAGAAAGATAATTAAGCTGCACCTCTAACTATTATTAAACTTGTCAATAAGAATTTCAGATCCATCTCCTGATTTTTTTTAAGCCGGCAATATGGTCAATTTAAGCAATTAAAGATTTACAGAGATTTTGCTCGGGTCTTAAGAGTAAAGCGATTAATATTTAATGCCTTGCTTAATGCTTTCAACTTTTCAAACATTCTTTACCTTGTTCTGATTGATTAGAGTTATAATCCACTTCGTATCTATACATCTGCTGGCTCTCATCTAAACCTAGTCTATCACTACTAACAAACACAGTATTGGAGTTCAAATATTCTGTGTTACCTCCAGACCCTGAGGAGGATAGGGAGCTTAACTGTGTGTAAGTGCTCTCGACGTTGCTCATTGAGTTTATCATCTGTAATCCAGAGTTCATTTGTGTGGACACTTGCTGGCATAAATTAGAGTTTAAGACCGGGGTTAAATCCATAGTTGAGGAGGTAAAATGAGAGTTGTTGTCGACGGGAAGAGATGAATTCATGGTTGGCAAATGCGAAGAAATAATCGGCTGTTGGCTGGAAGGATGGATAATTTGCTGGAATGTTGTAGGATGAAGGTTGGTTTGATGAATCAATTGCGGATTGGATATATTACTGATCGGATGATTGGTATGATGATTAGCGGAGTCCAGGGTTGAAAGAATAATTGATTGATTGGCTAGAGGAATATCTGGGTTATTAGAAGATATGGTTGAATGATTCATATCATGAATGTAAGGATTGGATTCAGGAAGTTTCTGTTGGGATTGATACGGAGCTGGAAGAACTATCGACTGGTTAGAAGAGTGAAGGACTGAACCGTCAGAGAGATGACTAGCTTGTTGAACAGTTAAATAACTAGTTGGGTGATTGGTTAATTGGTTGGTTAGATGAACGGTGGGAATATTTGGTTGATGATGGATTGGTTTAGTTTTGGATGTGCTACAGATAGGGGTAGGATTACTGTTGGGTTGAGGTGGTCTGGAACCTCCCAGAATGAGTTTCTCAAACTCTCTGAAATAATTTTTTAAATCTTAGTTTGTAGAGTGGATCATTGGATAGTAGAAACTGAAGCGTATATTTTGTCTCCAAATTTATAGCATTTAAAATTTTGGGTATATTTTAATTAATATTTTTTCATGAATTGTTTGATCAATATATTTTTAGCAGACAACCTATAATTTAATGAAATAGGGGTGGAAACTTATTAAAATTATAATTAAGATTCTGATAAAGGTATATTCAAGAGTAAACATAAGTATTGAGTAATTTGGCAGGAACGGGACAGGGGAAAAGCTTTGCCTTAAAACAAGTTTTACATAAAGGATGAAAGGCTAGGTGGCATTTTCAGGAATGGAAAGTAAAAATATGGAAACAGCATAAAATATACGGGAGGAAGAGAGGGGGTTGGTACGAAAAACAAATAAGCAATGAGTATACAACAATTAGAGCAATATATTTTAATTCTCACCGTCCAATCTCTTCCATAGTATAGTCAGGTACCAAGAGAACATTCTCTATGGGAAGTGCAAATATATCGGAGGTGAGGAGGGAAGGGAACAGAAGACCAACAGCTAACTTGTTGTCAGTTAGATGACCGTTCGCGCATACTAACAAGGTATCGCCTGAAAGAGCCAAAATAGTTTCAAGATCCGCGCGCCGAGGTTGCATATTTTCTAATGGTTTAAGAAACTTTAAAAATCTGAACTCGGAAACTGATAATTTGTATCGTAAAAAAAAGTTCTGATGGTTAGTTAGACAAGAAATAATTTGGAATTTGATAGAGGGCAAACGCCCATTATGTTTTCAAGGTTTAAAGGAGTCATACGAAAACTTTTTTAAGTAAAGGCCCCTTTCAGTTATATAAAATCCTTTAAACCGATTATTTTATTAATAAAATCTTGCCGAAGTATTTGTTGGTTAAAAGTTCTTCAACAACCGGGTGTTGAGATTTAAGGAACGAGTGGTCCATTTTTAATCAGCTTTTATACTTAGATTCTACAGATGCGTCATTCTTAAGATCTGAAATATAAAACGGATACACTGGATTTTATCAAAGGTAACCTTGAGACAATAATTTTCTATTGGTTAAAATATAACCAACCTTAGCAAGACAAGTTTATAAATATATCTTATTTAATTTTAGTTGATTAAAAAAATTTCAGTAATACACCTTTTTTCATCATTTCATTTAAGTCGTTGTTTGTTCGAGCAAATATTAGAATACTGATTAAAAACGTAAATTCAAAGAGGAAACTGTGAATTTGAAGAAATAACTGGCTGCATAATTTTTAAAACAACGAATACAATTGTTTTGAACAGTTTGAAGAGCAGATATGAGGAACAACTTGTAGCTAATCTATTTCTTCTTGAAGAAGCTCATTATACCAGGCTGCTTGGTGTTACCAACACCCAACTTAGCCTTCTTAGCTGCTGGAACAGGATCAATTGCCTGAAAAAGGTTTTACAGATAAAGAAATTATACATTTTCCAGATTCAGATATCAGAACAAGGCTACGATGAAGTGAACACCATTAGGCTTATCCATATATTTTTACCAAAGCTGTTTCTAAAAGCAAAAACATTACAAATAAGTTAAAAACTAGCAAGAACTAGCCTCTCTCGTTAAATATTTATTTCCTAACTTCACAATTATAATACCTGCCATAATTATTTTTTCTTTCCTTCAGTTTTTGATCTTTTTACACTTAACAATTGAACAAAAAGTTTTTAAACTGAGGTTTAGAAGAAAGAAAAAGTTTACTTTAGGTTGAATCTTGGCAGGAGCAGGAGCGGGTTCAGGTTCAGATTCAAGTTCATCATCACTTACTAACTCAATCTCCTTCTTAGTCACCATAAAACTAAACAAAAACTAGTATGAAATCAAAGCGCTTTTAATTTATATTTAGTGGCGGGGAAACATATACTGGAATTCGTTTTTTTTCAATGAGTAGAGATGGAATTTAAAGAATTTGAGCCGGGGTTTAACTTTAAACCGCCGCTCAAATTCTTTAAATTCAGCCATAGAATCCAGATTTTAGGGTTTTCAATATCTAAAACAATTAAGGATTGGCTTTGTAAAAGGATCTATGTGAAAAATAGAAATTAACAATGCTCACCCTTTCTCATCTATATAAGTTTTATCCACTTCCTTCCTCACTTTCCGTTTCCCAGGATTGGAACTTCTATACATTTTATTCAAATGAGTGGTTCTTTAAAGAAAAATTAAATTAATGAAAACCAACATTAAATCCCCATCCCTCTCTCTCTTCTGCGAAACATAAATATTTTTTCTTTAAAAACGAAAGATGTCAACTTGAACTATTGGGGAGAAAATAATTTAATCCTTAACTCCCCTCCCATTTGCTCCATAACAGTTTTTCTGAAAAATGTATATCCCGAAAAGTCTAATAAATAATCTACTTACTGAGTATGTTGCGGTGTAGAAGGTATTTCCTCGTCATCTGAATCAATTATCCTGGAGCGAGGAGGAGCTACTTCATCCTCCTCATCCTGGAGGCCGGACTCTTCAACGTCCTCAGCATCTTCGTCGGCATCACTGATCAGAGATTAATTTAAAGGGATTGTTTACGTTATTTCAAGTGCCATCCTCGTCCTATAAACTATTCAAAAGCATTGTTTTTAACGGACTTCACATAACTGACGAGCAAAAAGATTTGTCTTTATTTGTCTTGTGATACAGATAAAAGTTTACGCAATTGCTTTCCAGACAAAGGTTTTCAGTGTTACTGTGATTTGTTAATGCCATTTTTCATTCGAGGTTTATTGCAAATTACATATCAATCTTTTAAAATTAATTAATTTAGTTTTATTCGGACAGAAAGAAACACAACAAAAATATTTCTAAACTTCATCATTAATGTTTTAAGAGATGCTACATAACGAATTTCTTTTTAAAAAATTAAACCTTTCACTATCACTGGCAATCGTAATTCGTTTTCTTTTCTTCGAATCTTCTTTTCCAGGCTTCTTCAGTATCTTATTTCCAGTTTTTTTCCCAGAGGATGATTTTTTGCCAGCAGTAGTGGCAGCAGTTCTCTTTCCAGCAGAAGATCCTGGATCAGCTTTCTTTTCTGCCTCCTTCACAGATCAGTAACTTTTCAACAGTTTCATCAAGAATGAATTTTAAACCCTCTTAACTCCCCAAAATATGTGAAAATTGTAAACATTTATGGAACGTAAAGTAAAAAAAGTAAAACTTATCTTTTTTGTAAATTTGGCCTTTTTTCTAAATGGTGTATAACAACTTAATGGTTCTTGGTAACAGTGTTTCGGATCCATATCATTTTGATTTGGATCCGGATCCGGATCCGCGGATCCGCATCCGTGTTCATGGATCCGGATCCGGCTCCTGATACGGATCCGGATCCGAGGTAACTTTTGATTCTGTGAATCGGATTTTCCCTATTAAATGTTATGCAAGGTTATAATTTATAAACTATAGTAATCCTAAAGTTAAAAATGTCGTCATTACTTTTACATAAATGTAAACATTAAATTATTAAAGATAATTTTGAAAAATTTTCGTCATGTAAATAATACATTTACGAACCATTTTGATTTATTTATTCCATGGTTTTGGTTAATTTTTGGCGCTACCCGGATCCATATCAACGTTTCCTGATACGGATCCGGATCCGACCAAATGATACGTATCCGACCGGATCCGAAACACTGCTTGGTAAGATGAAAGATGTTTCTGGAAGAAGTAAAAGCATCTCGAATATCTGATATTGTTTACCTTTTTTATTTCTATCTTATTATTCTCCATGTTTTCTTTGCCAGGACTGGTTTCAGAACTTAATTCTTTCTGCTGCTTGGAAACTACAGGCTTCGCGGACTGAAAGTTTTTATCTATATATAAATTTGGCTTGTCTGTCTGTTTGTCTGTTTGTTTGTATCCAATAAACGTCAAAACGGCTGAACCGATCGGGGCCAAATTTTTTGTGAGACAAATAGGAACCCCAGGGAAGGTTTATGAATGATCAAAATTTCAAATATTTGTCTCCATCAAAATTCGATCTTCATTAAATTTTTGAAAATTTTGAAAATCCACGAAATTTTTTGTGAATATCCGCGAATTTTTTTTTTTTTTTTTACGATGTACACAAAGAGAACATGTTCACAATTAATTTAGAACATGGGCGCGAAGCGCCCTCTAAGGCTAGTTATTTAAATAATTCAAAAATGTATGTAATAAGTAAATTGAAAGATGTATTGTATATCAGTAAAGTACAATTTGTACTTTTATGGCCACAAAAACATATTGAATTCATTTACGTTTTTCCCATATGAAAAATATCCATCAGCAAATAAGCAGAAAGATAAACAAAAATAACTCGGTTTGGGATTAAAAATATAAACATAAGCGTACCTGCTTAGCGAACATTGAAGCAATGCTTGAAGGCTTCTTGGTTGCTGAATTCTTTTTAACAACTTCTTCTTAAATAATTTTTGCAAAGGTGTGTACTATGAAAACATGCAAACACACTTTTTTTACATTTAATTCAAAATGTTGGCCCGATTTTTTTTAAGTCCACTGTCCTAAATCCCCGTTAATACATTTTATCAAACTGTGCAAATGTTCACTAAAAGAATTATTGATGTTAAAATGGATTCAAGTAAACTTGTAATTAACAATGCTTCATAATCATTTCAATATTTTTAGACTGGTGTCACTGTACATTTACAATGTACAGGGTAACACATTCGCATAGAAAATTCATTGCAAAAAATACCTTTCTCGGGAGATTTCTTTATTTTTGTTTTGGCAAAGATAGATTCATTCTTTTCATGCTCTTGGTTTGTTTCTTTGATCTCAGCCTGTACAACTTCTTTCTTGATTTCTGGTTTACTATCATTTCGCATAGGTTCCACGGGTCTAAAGTATTAAAAACATTAAATCAGGAATTTCACTGAGTTTATTAAAATTATTCCTTGCCTGTCAAAGCTTGTATTAGGCTTAGGCACTGCTCCCTTGTTCTTAATTGCTGAGTACGAGTTTGCAATATAAACGTCCTCTTTCAAACTTACTAAACACAAGAAAAACTTTTTTCATAAATTAGCAATTTAGTGAGATTTGATTATATTTAAATTTATCGAGGGTTTTTTCGTATTAAAACATCTATACATTTTAGCTTGTCTGTCTGTCTGTTAGTTTATTTGTCTGTTTGTATCCAATAAACGTCAAAACGGCTGAACCGATCAGGCCCACATTTTGTGTGCGACCTCTCGTGGCCCCAGGGAAGGTTTACGAACGATCGAGATTTTAAAAAATTTGTGTTAAAAGTTTTCATTTTTGTAAAATTTTGAAAATGCGCGAAAATATTTTATGAAATCCGCAAACTTTTTTTGGTTTTTGTTTTTTACTGTACAAAGTGAAGATACTCACAGATAAAGCCACAATTAAAAATTGAAATAGAAAAAGGGCGCGAAACCAATTTGATAATTGTGAATCATAAATAAACATATTAATTTAGAACTTAAATTTACAATCAACTTAAAGAAAAGATAAAAAGCAAAATTGTCGAAGATACTTCCCTCAATGGTTCTTAGATAACCGATAAATAAGCAATTGTGATTAGCCATTAAAAATAAATTATATAGTAATTTGAACTCCGTAATTGTTTATTTACTTTGATCTGTGGAGAAAAGAACAGTGGATGATATTTTCTTGGATTTCTGAACACTGTATACATGCTTCGACAGAATCTAAATTAACTGAGGTTTGAACAGTTCTAAAATTCAACAAGTTTTCAAAGTGAACATATAAAGAATTTAATTATGACCTTGTCCAACTTTTTTACTTCTTCACTTAGATTTTTCTCTTCAACTAACAAAACCTTAAAATTAATCAATTTAAAGCAACTTCTAGGTTATTTAACAATTTTTTTTACTAAATTTTAAAGAGGTTTTTATAAAAAAATAATCACAAACTATTACAAAATATGGAGGCGGGGAATCCCGGGACCCCGCAAACCAAAAATTATCAATTGTAACCTGCATAGAGCAGAGTGCCTTATATATTTTGTCACATTTTTGTATCAAATTAACGTTTACACGGCTGGACCAATTGGGCTAAATTTTTTAAATAAACCCCAGAAAACGTTTATGGACACTTAAAATTTATAACTGTCACCTCTAAAAAGTACACCAATTAAAACAGGAACATTCGCATAGATTTTTTAGTATTACGTTTAAAAATAGTGACATTATTATTATTATTATTATTATGTAACAGTGCTTTTGGCTTCCTGGATCCGAATTGGCAAAAATATTCAGATTTACGGATCCGGATCCAAGAGCCAAAATATCAACCAAAAACTGAAAAAAACCTGTTAATATCAAAACCCAAATCTGAACTATTCAAAAAAAGAAATTATAAAAAATTTCCTTATTTCTGAATGGTTCATCAAGCTTTTGCATACAAATAAGCGAAAAAAATAAGACAAAAAAATTAGAAAATTCTGCTTTTTTAAGATCCCCAATGTGGAATCCCGAGACCGCCATGTACAGTGACATATAAAAGCAAAGGTAAAATTATTACCATGTTAAATACCAATGCTAAAAATGTATTGTCTAATGTCTATACCTTAAGCTTCTTATTTCCGTCATTATTCACACTAGCAGAGATGAGGTAAACAACTCCTGAATCAAAAATAGTCAAGGTTTCTCGAAATGATTTATGTAATGCTCAGTTCAAGGTTAAGGTCCAGGTATGAATTTAGATCTGAGACTCATATCTCCCCCCTCTTTTTCCAATAATCCCCCCCCCCCCCTAACTCAAGACTTAAAACAGGTGTTTTTTACAGGGCGGAAACTTTGGGAGTAGTTTGCTGTGGGATGATGGGATGACATTTTTTATTTCAGTTGTATTGGTGCGCTTTGGTGCCCTAAGGTAGGTCAATAACCAGGTCGAACAGAGAAAAAAAAGTTCTGCCATGAATGTGCACAGTAACAGACTAGCATTTTAAAGGGAGAAAACAAGACATTGCTATTGAGGGGAAAAATATGATAATTTTCCCCAAGAGGTTTCGTTTAGTTTCCTATGTTAACCAAAAATGAAAAATATTCAACCCTGCCTTCTGTTATTAATAAAAAAGGCAGGAAATTAGTTTTGTTAAGAATATTCAAGCCAGCACAGATTTCATTTAATGAAAGGTAACGTTACAGGGGGTATATATTCTTAAGAATTACCCCTATTATCATTGATAATGTTACATATCATATTAATTATAGTTTACCTAGTTCTGTACTGTTCTTTTTTCTCTGTTCCTCAATAAAGTTGAATAGCATCTGCTTTGCTACATTAACGTGACACTTCAAAGCCCGGGATAAAAACTTGTAGGTGATAACCTAAACAAAAAATTGGTCGTTAAATGAAGCTCTAATCTTGGTTCTTTTTTCGTTGTTTTGGAGTACGCTCAGTTAGTTCATAATAATTTCAGATAACATTAGTGATAAATAAGTAAGAACCGAGGTAAATAAACTGTAAATTCCAGCATCAAAAAGTAGCCTAAAGAGGGCTAAAAGTAGCCTTCAAAAATTCCTAATTTAGCCTTGTCCTTGTTTTTAAACCTGTCTACTATGGTAGCCATGTATTTTAAAGGAATCAGAATAATTTCGGAAAAGATGTAAATACTCGAAAAATATATGAGATCAATGAAAACTATGAAGTTTCTCTCGAATGTAAAACTTTCTACAAAAATAAGAAATAAGCACTAATTCTATGAAGACAAAACAATACGGCTGTAAACTTTGGCAATTATTTATAACATTTAAAATATGCAACAAATTAGTAGCGATCGATATCGAATTCAATTCAATATTATCCTACACCCCTTTAATTTTTTTGCAAACATTCCCTTTATCTGTTGGACAAACCTTATCTTCCTCCAACACCCACTCCTCCAAGTTCTCCAAAAACATGGAATCAATATTCTCCATTTTCCACTTCTGCAAAATTACGTTAAAAATCGTTTGTTTTTTTTCCTAGAGAACGATTTTTGCCCCCCNGACAGTGGACGCAGCGACCAGCCTGTCCCAACCACGGCGCTCGGCCCCCTAACTTGTCAAAACCGCAGCACTCGGCCAAGAATTAGTCTTTACCTAACCCTAAAATAATTTTAAAAAATAATGTAATTTTTATGAAAAATAAGTGGTTGGAGGACAGACTCTAAACCTTTATTTCAGATGTGATTTAGAACAATTGTCATTGTCGCGCCAGTTTGATTTTTTTATAATTTAGTTCTGTTCCTTGTTGAACGGGGCATCCTACATAGGGTTGGTGCAACTATTAGTTTCAATGGCAATTATGATATCCGTGTATTTTTTTCGACCTACGCAAATCCGCTATACTCCACTTTTGACCTATGTCAAATCCGCTATGGTACAAATCCGACCTACTAGCACGTGGTTTTACAGCTAGCTGCTACTATCTTGACTTGTGGCCGCAGCGCCCGGCCCCTAGCCTGTCCCAGCCGCGGCGCTCGATCCCTAGCCTGTCAGCCGCTGCAGCGCTCGGCCCAGATATTGTCTATACCTAACCCAACCAGTAACCCTCAAATAATACAAAAATCAACAGCTGGCGTAGGTTCGATATTGCAGTAGGTCGAAAAGTTAGTCGGTCAGAAGTTCAGAAGAGGCCGGGGAAGTTGCGTATAGACGATGTTCAATTCAAAAGCAATCCATTATTACAGAACCCTGACCTATAGGGTTAGCGACCTAAATATTGAACAAACAGTTTACATGGTTTTCGAGTGTATAGGTTTAATTAATATATAATTAATACTTTACCCGAAGAAGTTGAGTAAGTTGATGGATATCATGATAGGTTAAAGACGACTATAAAACCGGGGGCGGGAAGCGCGAATGCAGCGGAATACTAGTCCAACACAATTATTCATTTGAAGCTGTTCGAAAGAATAAAGCATGTTTAATTATTTCATTTGGCAGTTGGACTTACAAAGTTTTAAAAGTGTGCATTCGTTTATAAAAAAGTGCCAAATCTTCAAGGTATTTAAGTCATTAAAAACTAACATCATATCAAGGTGAATATCGTGAATGTATTGTGTTTGTCGATCACGTCGTGAAATAAGTCTATTACCTCTCGGCCCCTAAACCGAATACAAGAACCCATGAAGCATATGCTGGTACAATGTACATTGAACAGTACATAGTTACCTTACCGGTCTTGACACCTACAACTAACAACTGCTTACTATACTATTAATTCAGTTTAATTGTTTTCAGATCTACAGAGTTATTCTGACATGGCGACAAATGAAGTTGATTGGGCAGGGGCTGCGGATGCACAGGTATTTGTTTTTTCCTATTGAACGATTTGGACCCAGCCACCACCCCCCTCCCCTTTTTTGTACATGCATTTCAGATGCAACGCATTGACATAAATAGTCATGTGGCCGCAGCACCCGGCACTCTAGCCTGTCCTAGCAGCGGCGCTAGATCCCATAGCCTATCCTAGCCGTAGCGCTCGGTGCCCTCTATCCATGTCATAGCCGCAGCGCTCGGTCAAGAAATTGTTTTAGCCAAGCCTTAAAATAAACAAATAAATAATGTTAATTTTGCATTAATTTAGTTGGTTATATATATAATTGTAGCAGACTTTTTTTTGTCTCTTCCCTTCTGCTCTTTCCAACACTTAATTTTCAATTCAACTCATAGGAGAAAGCATTGAAGAAGATGGGAGATTTGACTATGGGTAGAAATGGAACTGAAAATGGTAATTAAGTTGTCAAATAGTAATTATTTTAATTTATTTCCTATTGCTGACAATCGTAATTATCTAAAGTTTGTTAAAAAATTTGTATTTGTATCATGCCCATTTTAGTTCAATATGTCAATTTTATTATATAATGATTATTAGGTTCAAATTTGTATTTGTATCATGCCCATTTTAGTTCAATATGTCAATTTTATTATATAATGATTATTAGGTTCAAATTTGTATTTGTATCATGCCCATTTTAGTTCAATATGTCAATTTTATTATTTAATGATTATTAGGTCCAAATTTTTTTCAGTGTCAATTTTGTAGTTTGCTAGAAATCAAATACTAAATTTAATGAAACATTTAATAATTTTCTATGCAAGTTTTATATCCACAAGATTTGAGCTTAAATGACCAGTGTTAATAATAAACTTGAAAAAAGATTCTTTTTACGCTATAGATATTATCAAACTTTAGCTTACTAGAATGTAAAAGATCAGTAAAATTAAGATCTAAAACGACTTGTGTTAATCACAAAATTATGAACATTAATATTCAGGTGGGCTCTGCTCTCCTGCGACCCCGCAACCCACTGCCTCGTTCGCTATTTTTCACTCGGTATGCCCCCCTACAGAAACACCCAGTTGCGGCGCTAGACTAAACCTGCATTTTGCATATTAGTGCATGTCTGAAAATAAACTATTTTTAATGTTTAGAAGAGGATAAAGAAGAAGATACTGCCCTATCTCTGGCTGAAATATCTATTATGAGGAAAGTTATTCACAAAGGATTAGTAGAAAATAAGGAATATACATCTAGCATTAATTGTATTCCTATTACTCTGACAAGAGCTGTCTGTTTATTATTACAATTTTTATCGTTTACTAAATTACATTGCATTGTTGTCTATTTTAAAAATATTAATACCAAGAAAAAGGTACTAGATAAAATAAAAACCCCTTTTTAATTCTATTTTTCTCTCAAATATTTGGAATTAATTATAATATGGTTTCTTTAAAATTATTTTCCTTCTAATAAAATTCTACTTTTCAAATTGAATTAATAATTGAGTAGAAATTCGATGAAATATACACCCCTGGCCTTGGCCTATAGATTGGTTATTAGATGTATTTGGTCAGAACACAGTAGAGATCGAACGACAGAATCCACAGAGTCCGCTCTTCTCTGTAAAATCATTTGAAGAGCTGAATCTACATCCTAAGCTTCTCAAGGTTATTTTATTTAATATCATATCTGCTCGGTTCCATTGTAGTAAACCTATCGTGTAAGAATTCTCATTTTTACACGGTTAAGGAGAAAAAAATTCCAATCTGGTTCGCTTCCTAGCGGTTAAGAAAGCTTATTTTTACACTGTCAGATTGCGGAAGAATGTATATGAAAGAATGGAAATTATTACACTATTTAAAGAATATTCATTACACGCTCCTTATATTGAACTTTTCAACATGGATCAATATTTATATTAACTTAATATTTTTTACGAACATCATGCACACTCGCCTTTTCTTTTATATTAATCATGCAAACTTACCTTTTTATACTTTATAACAACATGCTCACTTACCACCCTCTTTTATAACAAAACATTGTATTGATATACCTTAATTCAGAAATTTCCACTCAAATCTTGACCTAGCTTAGTCCTGAAAGAAGAGTGGAAGGGGACACCCCACTCCAGTCTTTAATCAACATATCTCATTAAGAATGATTCAGAGGTTGCTCAAATTTTCTAACCTTTCCTAAAAAAAAGTATGGAAAATGCTTTAAAGCCTTATATTAGGAGGCCTTTCTATCAAACTGCCCGAGTCTCAAAGCATACTGCCCTGCCCGACTACCTACTTTATTCAAACAATTATTAGTTTTTCTTTATTGCAAACAAAGTTTTGCAAGATTTTGCAATTCCGCATATTTTTAATACAAGGGTCAGAGCTTGAATTGAAATATTAGTGTCACAAACTTTAAGTGGGGTCTTAGCATTCCATAGCAATGAAAACAATCAATAAATCTTGATTCGTGAATAAAAAAAGACAAACATCACAATTTCATTTCTTGAACTAGTTCTTGCTAGAAAACCTGCTTTTCTCTCCTCTTTTTGGAAAATTTAGGATCTAATATCCAGAAAATGATTTCACGCTTTTTTTCAGTAGATTGCGACAACTCACAAAGGGGATGGTGGAGTTGGCACATTTGATGTAGGGGGGGGGGGGCCCTGCCTTCATTTTTGGTTCAAATCTTCCAAATTTTTGGATGCACGCCTTGTTAGTGATCGAAATTCCTAAAATAAAATCAAATTGAATTTTAATGACCTCTAATGACCTCCAGAAATAGAAAATATTTCAACTATGGCTTTATGCATATCAATTAAAAGCTAGGAACCCAGGGGAATACAGTAGCAGCAAAAAATCCAGTGTTTGACCTTCTAATACCCTCTAATGACCTCTAATGACCTCCAAAAATGAAATGCATATCAAACGAGAGCTAGGAACCCCAGGGATGGAGTAGCAGCAACAAATCCAGTGTTTGACCTTCTAATGACCTCTAATGACCTCCAAAAATGAAAATGTTTTAATTATGGCTTTATGCATATCAATTAAAAGCTAGGAACCCTAGGAATACAGTAGCAGCAATGAATCTAGTGTGTGACCTTCTAATGACCTCTTACGACCTCTAATGACCTAAATGACCTCCAAAAATAGTTTAAACATTTTAATTTTTGGAGGTCATTAAGGTCATTAGAGGCCGTTGGAGGTCATAAGAAGGTCAAACACTGAATTCGTTGCTGCTTCTTGATGTATTCTTTAACGAAGGCCGTTAAACCGTTAAAGAATTTCCATTATTATATCCAAGATTATCTTATTATGGAAAAATAGAAATAAAGAAGTAAATGTTTTTGACTACGAATATATTTGAAAATCTAAAGTTTAAATTAGAAAGAACTTTTAACGATAAATCATTCATCCTCCATCTGGCAGGGAATCTCAACGTGATTCTAGTGATATCATTGAAGAGTGACATTCCCGAACTAAGATTCACTTTTTCTTCATGTTTTCTGTAAAAATCACTTAAATAGTGATCTGGAATTTAAATCAATCAAATTTTAGATTAAAAATAGGATTAACTCGATCAAATTTTCAAAGTCAAAAATTTAAGAGTATCATTGTGAATCGGACATGCAACTTTCGAAACGAAGGGTCACTTAAAATTTAGTCGATAGACCCTGCTAGGTGTATTCATCGCGGAAGAAATTCTGTAGTCCGCCATTAATTTTAGAATTTCTTAGATATAGCCAAGCTTTTGAGCTTATAAATCATGAATGTGCATTACCTTCAGGGAGTTTATGCGCTTGGTTTTAACAATCCGAGTAAAATTCAAGAAACTGCTCTTCCCACTCTCCTTGCAGATCCACCGCAGGTTATAAACTACAACTTTTTTATAAAGTGGAATGGATTGTTTTGAACTAACACGATAGACTCATCAATAGACATATGCAAAATGAATGGTGATCGAGAAAAGAGATAATATTTTGATGAAACTAAAGTGTACTTTATCATTCTTCCTCACTTCCTCGTGAATTTCATCATCGTGCTATAAAGTTAAATTAGCTGTACATTAAAGCGCGTGTGCTATAAAGTTTTGATTGGTTCTAGAACTTTTTCTCCAAAAAATTTTGGATATTTCCAAAAAAAAATTCTATTGAAATGAAAATAAATTTGAAATCATTTTTATATTTTGACTTCTGCTTTGTTTCAAAGCTTGTTTGATCTAGAAATAGCCATCGAAATAAAGAAAGTACACAAACGTTTCATAACATTACCTAATACTTACAACACTATTATTTTGGCACGACGTGCTATAAAGTTTTTGGGCTTAAATTTTCTCTATATCTCGGAAGGTTCTCGCTTTTTCAGATTTTATTTTTAAATAAAATATTTTTAAATTTGAAAAGGCTTGAACCCGATAAAGAAAAAATTTCTGTCAAAAACTTTATATCACTGCAAACCAAAATAACAGTGTTATTTGACACTGGACAGACTTTTTAGTTTACTTGATACTTTTGATTTCTGGCCGGCTACAAAATGTCTGTCCAATGTCTAATCGGTTTAGTCGTTTTGGCATTTAATGGAATACATACATATTGTTGTCACTAGTCCAAACCTAGTTATCAACTTCTGATTTTAATCTAACAAATTCAGATCATATTATCTTATTTCAGTCAATTAGTCAGTTTAATGTTTCAAACTTATTTGATGCCAACATTGTTCATGATTCGTTAATGTTTCCTTTATTGTAGAACATGATTGCCCAGTCTCAGTCTGGAACTGGAAAAACAGCTGCCTTTGTTCTTGCCATGCTCTCCAGGGTGAATCCTAGCTTATCATGGCCTCAGGTATACTTTATGTAAGGGAAAAATGGCTTTTTTTTCCATTTTACTTTTTATTCAAAATATTGATAATGCAATATTTCATTACAATTTAAATTCTTCAAATTTATGAATTCTCTTATTTGCTGATGGTAACAATAAGTAAAGAAACTTTTTGAATTGCCAGTATAAATATCATTTTCCTGAGAGTTGAATTAATTACAGTTTTTTACCTGAAGTAAAACTTGGGATCATGCATTGATATCAATACATGCAGACCTTCAGATTAATTTAATTCCTCTTTGATATCCCTTTGTGATAATACCCTGCAGGGATAACTTTAATTGAGAGATCAAGGGTTCAACTCTCTGAACCTGACCAATAATCTGAATAATGGCAGGTTCTCTGTTTGTGTCCCACATACGAGCTCGCAATCCAGATAGGAGAGGTTGCAAACAACATGTCGCAGTTCTATCCCGAGCTCAAGATTAGGTAAATATTATGTTTTCTCTTTAATCATAAACCAGATAATCAAGGTGTTTCACTGAAGGTGAAGGTGGGTTTATTGGTTAACTGATTGGTTGATTTATCGGTTAGGTAGTTGGTTGACTTATTGATTGACTGATTGATGGATTGATAGATTATTATCTAATGAATTTTTGTTTAAGATATGCTGTAAGAGGAGAAATGTTAGAAAGAGGAGCCAAACTTACCGAACACATTATCATTGGAACTCCTGGCAAGGTTAGAACAAACTATTTGTGCAATAAGTTAAAAACTTTAGATGTGTTAAATCTCTTTTCCTCATCGCACATTGCTAAAAATTTCTGTGAAAAAAAAACCTAATTAAACATTTTTTTCTCTCTTGGATCCTACAACAAAATTACCTACATGAAAGTAATAATGTGCGGTTCATAGCAAGGACGCTATTGCTCCCTCGCTGGAAATAGAAACTAACTGTAAGTGCTAGAAGTGATGACCTTACCAATGCAAGTAGACAGAATGTTCAGCGCTGAGGCTGAAATTACAATTAAACAAAACAAAAAAAAACCGCGAGGGGTACATCTATACAATGAAAGGGTAATCCTGCACTGTCTTATAATGGCGCAAAAACAGCGACTCGTAAACATTCTTTCAATAGCAGCGCCATAAATGAACGGACAAAGGGAGGCAAGAAAAAGAGAAACTGCGGACGCGCAGATGTAGAAAGGAGAAAAAAGATGAACATTTGAAATTATTAACCATGCCTCGAACCATTTATTTTACTAAAACTATAAAAAATGAGTTTTAAAAACATTGTAAAAAAAGCTTTTTTTTAAAAATTAGTAGGGATAGGATTGAAAGAACTGAAATAGAACGGTATAGTTTTTAGAATTCGGGAAAGAAGGCATTGAAGATCCGGGGGGATTAAAAATTTGACGAAAACGGGAAAGCTTTTACCTGTTTGTTGTAAAATTTTACACTATATGGGGGGTCGGGAGATTAGTAAGTAATTTATTAAGTAATTATTTATTTATGAAATAATCTAAAACATACAAAATTAAGTGTTGCAGGAGAAAATATTTTTAAACCTCCAAAAATAGAAGTTGTGGGAATATTTCCCCCCATTCTAAAAAAAAATATATAAAGAAAAAGAAGGAAAAGGAAAGTTACATATTTATTGTTTAAATTATATTAAATATAAACTGGTGGAGGATTGCTATTATTTTTCGACGATGAACTAATAACTTTTAGAAATAAAAATGATTTATTTATTTGTAATGTTAAAAAAATTTAAATAAGCTTAATGGGTTGTGAAAAAGATATAGGTTCTTACCCAAACGGACATTTTTCAGCATCTTTTTAATTCGCGCCGATTTTTGACATCGTTTTTGTTTGATCATAACTTTTACTCTTTTTAATCTTTTTTAGTCTTTTCTTAGAGGAGAAAGCAGTCCAATTTTAATAGATTTTACTCTAGAAATATAAAAATCATTCTGTTCCTAAGATTTGCGTTTTTGATATTTTGATGATTTGAAATCTTTATTAAATGTTGGGGATAATTGGTCTCCGCTGAAATAAAAATTTTATAACGTTAAAAATTTCTAATTATCTGGAGGGAAGTATGTTCAAAGCCCAAAAAGCTTTCGCTGTGTGACTTATATTACAATGATTCTATCTTATCAATATTTTTGTTTGAAGTGTGAAATGTTGAACTAAATTCTAATTGAGATTGGAAAAAGGAGTAATAAAGCAATTTCATGGTTTCAAAGCTTAAGAAGTTTTAAATTTTTTTTCAGCATAAAGTGAAAAATTTAATCGCCTAAAATAGTCATTAAAGTTCAATTTAGTATCCAGCCATATTCCCAATAATTAACTGAATCTGTTTCTTTTATGCGTTTAATTTTTCGTGTAGTTTATCCTGGCCTAGTTTAAAGAAAACATCGGGACAGTCGTTTTGTGCATTTAGAGAATTTGAAAATAAAATTGCATTAGTTTTCTCAAAGTTTATTGTAAGTTTATTAGATATGTACTTACAAGTTATTTTTTCTAATTCTTTAATTTTTTTTGTGTGCAAGAGTATTCAAGTTTTTACGTTTTGACGCCACATTTGTGTCGTCGGCAATGGCTACACTGAAAACAGTAAACAGCTTAGACTTGATCCTTGAACAAGACCCATAACCCTGGAGTGATTGACTTAGCACTGAACGTGGGTCGTTTCAGATCATAGTTTGTTTATCTAACATATTCCATATTCCATAATATACTGTACAGGTCCTGGACTGGAGTAATCTTAAGTTCAACTTCTTTGACCTTAAGAAGATTAATGTGTTCGTGTTGGATGAAGCCGATGTGATGATTGCCATCCAGGGACATCAAGATCAAAGTATAAGGTAGGGATTTGTTGACAATTAAATTCAATGTACACAAATACATCGAGAGTAAAAATGAGGAGAGTGAGGGGGGGGGGGATTTTTTTTAAATTTTATTGTCACTTACTGCATGCTAGGATAGGTGAAGAACTGTTTTTAGTTAACAAAACCCAGGCGTCGGAATCCTGGGGTAGTGTAGGAGGGTCGGACTTGGCCAATCACAGCTCACTATCTCTTTTTTTACATAAAAATCACTCCTGATATTATTGGAAACTATTTACGGAACTTCATGATTGAAGATTCAAGTTGAAATATGTAAATAATCCATGTAAAATCCGATATAATGAAATAGTTAAAGTAATTAACTGTTCTGAATATGTTCTCTTGTATTTTAAGAATTCACAAGAATCTCAACCCTGACTGCCAAATGCTCCTGTTCTCCGCTACATACGACCAGGTGACATTTAACTTTTGAAACAAATATTTCCTGTGACCTTGGTGGTTTTAATATACAAGCTAGTTTGATAATCCAGTTTTATTGGTTCAAGGACCAGATCTAAATAAAAGCGAGACTTTGTTAAACCGTGTAGACATGGTTAAACTTGAGTTAAAGCGAGTTTATTGAAACAGCATGGACGTGGTTCCACCAGTTCGATTCATCATCACACAAGGCGGCAAAAATTTTAAGTTGAAATAATTATTCTGACAACGGGGGGTGCTTCTTAGTGGTCCCAGGTAACTCCCCAGATATCTCACCATAATCTGAAATTATCTTCTCAAGCAATATTGCTTAATTAATTGAAATCATATTTTTCTCAAAGAAATTTAGTTTTTGTCACAAGCTCTGATTTTTTTATCCCTATATCTTTGCATTTTATTGTCGGAGACCTTAGATATTTCAAACTATGAATCATTTTAGATCAAATAATGATAGTTTGAAATATCAAAGGTTTACACCATCAGGTTGAAAAGGTATGGCGATTGTAAAATCATAATTTGTGGCAGAAACTCAATTCCTTTGCCAGGCTAACAGTCCTATCTCCAGTTCCAAGCCAGCGATAGAAAAGAAAAATATTTCAAAGAGTTTTTAAATCAAAGTTAAGAAATTCTTTTTCATACCTCTTAGCTGTAACTTGAGTACTAAAGGCGTTAAAATGGCGCAAACATGCTTAAGTAAGAAAATATTTTTCTGAACTGATGATTTTGATTCAGACTAAGCTGGTTCGTAATTCTCAAATGTAAAGTGCAAGTTGGTTGGGTTATTAGGGTGCAAAATTGTGTGTCCGCTTTTATGAAAAAAAACTTCTGGACCTTTTTGTTGTTATCTAAAAAATCTAATTAGTACATCTTTCACTACAAAATCTTGTTCATTATTTGTTAATTTGGTTGTAAAATAATTATTCTAAAAAAGTTTTTTGTTAAAAGTTGAATTTTGACTGTGTAGTTGAAATGAATCAAAGTTTCTCCTTCATCATAAAAATGGGTTAAAAACATAAAATCGAGCATGATATTAACACATAACTTATTCTTACTTCTGCTATAAGAAAACTTTTATTTTAAATGTTTGAAAACTTTGAAAATTATTGAATTTCAAATTTTACTTGAAGAAGTCAAACGTTTCTTAAGACACATAACCACTAAACAGTAAACATGTCCAGAAGTTCATTAAATAAAGATGATCAGTTAATAAGCTTACGCCCTTATAGCACCACAACCAATCCATCTTACACTTACGGGGAAAAGTTACAAAACAAATTGTACAAAATCTATTAGCCCTTAACGCGCCTTCAGTATTAATGTAACAATTAGAAGTTATTTCAAGTCTGATTTGAGAATTCTAGAAATATTTTTTTCTTGTCTGATCGCTTGGAACTGAAGATATGACTGTTAGCATGGCAAGTGTTTGAGAAAAATATGATTTCAATCAATTATTCAAAATTGCTCGAGAAGTTTTNTCCAAACTTATCTCATCTCATCATCTTGTTCAGAAACTTGTTTCTTCAATCTGGTTCTTAAACTGTAGTTTCTGTTTCATTCATTCAATTATTTTAACTTAAAATTTTGCAGCCTGGTGTGTCCTGAACCGGTGCCCAAGAAAACTTGTTGCACCTCCGGTACGTAGTTCAACTACTTCTAGCTATTCATTAAATCTGGTTTAAGAGCTGAGAAGATTTAAGGCTGGAATTATGTGAAAACGGAGTTCTAATTTACTGCAAAAAAAATAGTTTTATTAACACTTTAATTTTGATGGATTATTGGATTTACTTTTCATTGTGAAATCAATATTGTGACATTGTCAAAATATCTCTTGTGTTTAATAATAGTAATACCATGGGTCGCCCCTGACTAGTTCCAACTAAATTATTTTTATGTTTATAGTGTGATGGATTTCCTTCTAATATATAGACTTGACATTATTGTTATGTTTAGAATGTGATGGATTTCCTTCTAATATATAGACTTGACATTATTGTTATGTTTATAGTGTGATGGATTTCCTTCTAATATATAGACTTGACATTATTGTTATGTTTAGAATGTGATGGATTTCGCGGAGAACATAGTGTCCAACCCGGTATTGATCAAGCTCCGAAGGGAGGAGGAATCTTTAGGTAGGATTATCGTAGAGCGATGGTATTGCTCAGGATTTCTTCGAAAAAAAATTCCTCTTTAAAGATCTTTTTTCTACAGCTAATTCAGCATAAACAATTGGAATTTTTTATGCTGAATTAGCGAAAATGCATGAACTTTTAGGTTTAAGTATTAAACCTTACCAGTTGATGTCCAATTTCACATTCTCCACAAATCTTCTATAATTATTATTACATTAAGTTTAGTCACAAAACATAGCATAAGATTCATAAGATAAATTTTTAGATAATATAAAGCAGTACTATGTGTATTGTGACAGTATTCAATCAAAGTACAAATCTATTGCAAATATATACGGAACCATCACTATTGGCCAGGTAAGAGATTAATTTGTAATATACCTCAGGGCTAAACTTTATATAGTTAACCTTAATATAATGGTTTGTCCTGTTGACTTATTCAACTACCTTTCTCTCTTCGATTAATTCCAACCCTTTAATAATCGTTATTGGATGAAACATGGCAAAATATACAATGAAACAATACACTAAAAAAGAAACTTTTAAGTTGTTACTGTTGAAACATAGTGCATTGAAGATTCCCAAGTGAAAAGTATTTAGAACTCTAAGCATTTCTGCTAATTCAATTAAGTTTTCTTGTAACTCAGGCCATGATATTCTGCCAGACCAGGAAGACGGCAGGTTGGTTAGCTGATGAACTAAAGAAGGACGGACACGCTGTAGCTTTGCTGTCTGGAGATCTAGGACCAGACGAGAGAATTCTGGTAAATATCAAAATACATCCTACTCAAGGATGGTCTTTTCAACGTATTGAGTAACTTCATTTAAAAACAAGTAATTATCATTATTTTTAGTAGAATCTAGTAAGTTGGCCCTTTTTTCTATTCTGCTTTTGCTGATTTAATTCATTTTACAACTGGAATATTTTCTTTTTTTGTTACACTTAAAAATGCTGAAATTAAGTTTTATTGATAATTCTGTTTATCTTAGGTGTTGGACAGATTCAGAGAAGCACTGGAGAAAATTCTCATAACAACAAATGTGCTGAGTAGGGGTATAGATGTAGAACAGGTTTCTTCTTGTCCATAATTAATGCACGATATTTTTTCATACTTTTCTGAACCGTTTTTAGCAACCTATAATATACTCTCAGTTAGTAGAGACCAAATAGGAAATCTCTTGAATTTCCGTGGACTAATTGAGAATGTTTTCACTATATGCAGTTTAGCAGACTTGCAAACTTGGTTAAAATTAAATTTAATTGTTTAGGTGACTATTGTAGTGAATTTCGATCTTCCTGTGGACCAGAACGGCAAGGCGGACTGTGAGACATATTTGCACAGAATTGGTAGAACCGGAAGGTAAGATAAGAATTAAAAATAATGAAAACAAAATGGAAGTAAAAGAATCTAATTTTATTTTTCGGGTTGTAAATTCCATGGTTCTTATCACTTATAATCAAATATTCTTTCTATTCACCCTCAACTAAGCTTTAGTTTGTGTGTGTGTATTTGCAGTATTTTGGCCGAAGAAAACGTGTGTAGCGAGAACGTGTGTTTTAGTAGCGAGTGTATTATCTTATTATAAATATTAAATTTCATTTTTAACAAAGGTTGCAATCATAGCAATTATGCAATTAACTGTCAATCTTTACCCATACATAATAAAACATCGTCAAATTATTTTACTTAATGCCAAAATAAACAAATTGAAAGGTAAGGGTCCAAATAATCTATAAATCTTCATTAAGATTTGAAAATATATCGTTTCGTCAGAAGTAGTCTGATAAATTAAAGTCAACACATAACACTGAACAGCGTATATTTAGGTTTGGCAAGCACGGTTTGGCGATTAATCTGGTGGATAGTCCCAGATCTATGGCTGTGATGAAGGAAATTGAGAAACACTTCGGGAAGGATATTGTCAAGTTAGACACTGAGGTAATTAGTACTTCAAACAAGTGGTATAGATTGGTTTCTTAATGAATGTTTGAATTAAGAGTTTTGGGTAAACTGCGTCATTAAGAAGGGCCCGGGGGGGGATTGATGTCAAATTTTTCTGTTTTTCTCGGAAAAGTAATAAAAATTTAATCTTCAATTTTGAAATGTGCTGTAGCGATTTTAACAGACGATTTTATTTATAAAATTAATAATTTTGCGTCCTTGAGCATATCTTATCTCAGTCATATTCTGGTTAGTCCGTATTGTAGAAATCCACAAGTTGCGAACTTAGTTTTAATTTTAGAATAAAAATATCTTCTTTTACGCAAATTTGTTGGTTGATTTTTTAATAGTTAATTGAGATAACATTGACAACTAGATATTGACAAAAAAATTAATTGATTACAGGACACTGAAGAAATCGAGAAAATTGAACAGTAAGCTCAGAGAGACTCATGTCAGACCACTCATTATTGCCTGTTATCAATTGTTTTAAAAATGAACTTTCAGCAGCTCCAAGTTGCAGTAAAGGACCTAGTGTTTCTCTGTCTTTAAACGAGTCCAATTTAAATATGCAATAATCGTTTTCTGCACTTGCAAATTCAATTTCAAACTTCATCATAACTGGAAATGTTTTTTTTTTACTTTTCTTTAATGGATTATATTTGATCATCTTTACGTTTCATTTTTTTAAGTTTATCTCATGATCTATGATGTTATAATTGTGATATAAAACTAGTTCCAAAACTGTTGATTTGTATCAAAAGAAACTGAAATATATATTTACTTCTCAGCAAAGGTTTTTAGTTTTACACTTAGGTTTTTTAATGTTTGAGAGAATTTAATATTTATGAAATGAAAACGACTGAATCTACCTTTCAGCTCGTTGTAAATCTATTTGGGTCGTTATTCCCTCTTAAAGTTTTATTTTTTTTAGGTTTGATATTTTTTCGCCGAGCACCAACATTTTTTTATGGTTTTATTCGCTAAGTCGGGGAAAATAAACCAAGCTTTAAAAAAAAATCAATTTCCTAATTTTTAAAATTCTCCTGAAAATTTATATCCCTGTATCTAAATCTCCAATAAATACAAGACTTACATATATTTAATATTTATGGTTAAGTTTAACAGTAAATAAACATGATCACTTTTGTTTAACACAATTCATACTATTAATTTTATAACTGATGACTATAAACAGAGCTTTATAGTCAAAAAATGATTAAAATTTGATTGAAATCCGGCCGGGAAGGCCTACAGTATAACAAAGAAAATATACCGTTCTAAAGTTTGTTAGTACAAAATACCCTCGTCGCACAATATTTTCAGAATTGGTGAAATATTCCACTGAAGGTATATTCGGCGTTAATAAGGCGCAATGTCGTTGTTCAAAGGCCTTATGAATTTGTTATACTCCTATACCTTTCACCAAGTAAATCTAACGATCACAATTGGACTGACAATGATAGGCAGCGAAAAGGTTTTTTTTTAACTGACTATGAATCACAGTGTGATGATGAGCCGGTTTCCGGTTTTCAGAATATTTTAATGTAAGTTTTAACAGAAAATACATAAAAATATTTATTAATATAGTTAACAGAATATTCTGATTTGTGTAGATAGTCAAAATTATACATTTTACAATATACAAACAACATCGACATCTGTTGATTTTTCTAAACTTTAAAAAATGTATATTGCAAATCAAAATACGTTTTTATGTAGATATACAATTATAAATATCGTACATATTTAATTTGAGATTATACAGTATACATCATACATCACTGAATCAGCTGTTTAATAAATACAAATTTAAATACTTCTTTTTAAGGTTACGAACAAATGTCTACCTTGGTAATATTTAAACAGGCTGAGCCCAAAACTTAAGAGCAGAGTAGCACACAAAAACTGAACTCGGGAGTATCGTTCAACTATACTAATTTAAATTTTGGGCTCTGAATATCCTTTTAAACACTATAATATACTTTGTACAGTATATTATATGTATAGGCAAGCAACAGTATATTTGTATTACATCAAAACCGGTTTACGTATGATTTTGTACAAATTTGACATATATCATAAACGGAGATCATAATTTATATGATTTTTTATCTCTGGCGAACGAATAAGATTTTGGTTAGTTATGATTTAAAATTCAACCACTCCCGGTAGTAAATCTTTTTTCAATCTTATCTTTCGAGACAAAAACCTCCAGAAAATGATCGTGATTCGTGAACCGTTCATAATAAAATCATTTCTGTACTTGCACAAGAATTCTGCGATTTTTTGAGAATTAAAAAATATTCCCGTCTTATTAGACATAAAGATAGTCTTAACAATTTTAATTCACAACTAACGTTGCCCTAAGATCAAATAAACTTTTCTAAATGTAGATTCTGGGCCGGATTGAAATTTTTAATACATAATAATTTTTACTTTTTTATTCTTTAAATTGAGTTTTCAGAACAAGTTAATTCGTAAGGCAGCATTTTGAGAATGTTCAAAATACATTTAGTTGACGAAACTACCGTGCACCTGCTGCCTACTGAAGCGTTTAGTTATCAAGTTATAACAAAAATGGTAAGCATAACCTACAGGGTATCTCACGAAACATGACAGTCGGTAAATAGTTATGAAATTGTCGTCTTCCATATACTTTATTAGATATTAAATGCTTTTTGCAGTTTATTTTATTTTAAGTTAATTTTACTATGACATGACTTCCATATAATATTTATATTGTTGCCCTTGGTATCAAACAACTTAACAATATATGGAAGAAGACATTCACCAACTGTCATGTTTCGTGGGACTTCCTGTAGCTGAATTTATAAATCATAATTATCACGGTTAATTCCTTTCCTGTTTGTACAATTTTGTATCCATCGAAATTTGCTTTAATTCATTTCTTAATCGCTAATTTTAAGGAAAATATCTTTTAAAATATTATCGTTGTTTTTATCACAATAATTTGAGAACAACATCATTGCAAAACTGTGCAATATCAATAATTCCATTTTTGTCGTCTTTTCGCTTGACTTGTACGAAAAAAGGAAACCAGGTCAGAACAAAATGACAAAGGCGTGTGCATTGTACAAAAATCTAAACTGTAACCTAAACATTGTCCGAATTTTTAAACAGTTAAAAATGAGTCCTTTAGTCTGCGGACTAGTGTTACATTTTTATCACTTGATTTTTTAATTTTTAATCCTCGAATCTGGCAATTCATCTTTTTCATGTCAACTTCCCTCCTAAATAAAATAATTATAAATATACCTGCTGATAAATCAATTGGTTTGTTTTAACTAGAGTTGGACATATCGTTATTATTCATTTTTAAATATTCAGAATTTTCTTGAGACTCTACAGAAAGTTTAAAATGCGTCACAATTTGAAAACTCTAAAAGTTTGATTTTTATATTATGCCAAATCTTGACTCTGGCTAGGGTTTCCAGCGTAAAAGGAAAATCGTCTTGCGAAAATTTTCACATTCGTTCGCTCGCGAGATTTCGCTTTAATCTGTTTCGAGGAAAAATGCGAAAATTTCGCAAAAAAAGATAATGCGAATATTTCGCAAAAAATTCGGAATTTAAAAAAAAGCTAAATTTTTTCGATAATTCATCATACAAGACAAAATACAGCTTCAACACCTATGGTTTTCACGAAATTTCGCTTCGTTTTCGCATTTATCGCGTCATTCATTTTCACGAAATTTCGCAAAAAAGTTTTCGAAATACGAACGAAAATTTTCGCGAAAACTTTCGTTCCCTGAAAACCCTAACTCTGGGAGAAGTTATAAGCCTAAGCGTAGTTGACATAAGTCCCTTCAAAAATAACTTGTTAAACCTTAAAAAAACATTTACAGGATGGCCGGGCTCTACCGTCATTTACATTGCTAAAAAACAATTCCTCCAAAGTTTGTCTGTTGTCTATACCTTGTGTCAGCATAAACAATAAATTATCAAAATAACTATTAATGACTTCTTGATCGAAAAATACCTGTGTAGAGTTCTTTCAGAGACTTTAGTTCCTCTATTAAAGCTTTGTTTTGGTTCTCCAATACTGCCACCCTGTAGTTTAATTAACGATGATATACGAATAATCTTTTGAATAATTAAACATCCAAGTTATTATATTACATATAAACACTGAACAGTGAGAACTAGTCAATAACAAATCTAATTTTCTAATATCATATCTTTGCAATCTAATAGTGTGAACATTCGATATTTTAAACTTAGACTACTTGATCTCAAGACAACTTGAAGGGAATGATTTTATGTTACAAATTTTCCTTTAAATACTTATTTTGATAGTAAAAGGAAGAATGAGCAACAACAACAAAAATCGCGAAAGAATCTTTAATACAGTAGGTAAAAAAAGGGAAGAGAAGAGTTAACATCTTTATTTGTCCATGATCAATTTTTTTAATTAGAGAAAAAAAACTAACCCGCCAGATCTTCTTGGTCTATAAATTACCTGTTCTCTAAACATTTGATATATTCTTTTTTCTTTCTTCTACATTCCCTGGCAGCTTCACGGTTCTTCAATAGTCTTATTTCCCTTTTCCTGGATGTATATCTATCTATAATTTTATCTGAGTGGGATTATTCAAATTATTTAAATAAAATTTAACCATCTATACATGGTTTGGTCAGGTTTACTCATAAATAGAATATTTAACTATCTACATGGTTTGGTCAGGTTTACTTAATTGAATAGAATATTTATCTATCTACAATCTACATGGTTTGGTCAGGTTTACTTATCTACAGAATATTTAGTTTGGTCAGGTTTATTTAATTGAATAGAATATTTATCTATCTACATGGTTTGGTCAGGTATACTTATCTACAGAATATTTAGTTTGGTCAGGTTTATTTAATTGAATAGAATATTTATCTATCTACATGGTTTGGTCAGGTTTACTTATCTATAGAATATTTACCTATCTACATGATTTGGTCAGGTTTACTTATACGCATGGAATATTTAACTATCTACATGGTTTGGGCAGGTTTACTTATATATAGAATATTTAACTATCTACATGGTTTGGGCAGGTTTACTTATTTATAGAATATTTAACTATCTACATGGTTTGGTCAGGTTTACTTATATATAGAATATTTAACTATCTACATGGTTTGGTCAGGTTTACTTATATATAGAATATTTAACTATCTACATGGTTTGGGCAGGTTTACTTATATATAGAATATTTAACTATCTACATGGTTTGGGCAGGTTTACTTATATATAGAATATTTAACTATCTACATGCAGGTTTACTTATATATAGAATATTTAACTATCTACATGGTTTGGTCAGGTTTACTTATATATAGAATATTTAACTATCTACCTGGTTGTTTCGTCAGGATTACCCAAAGAACCAAGACCAGAATTCCCATAAAATCCTTAAAAATTTATAAATATAAGGTTCAGGGTTCTTTTTTTCAATCTAATCTTTCAATAGGTTACATTTCATTTTTATTGATTTTAAATAAAAGTTGATGTCTCAGTTACATAGCTGCATTTGTGCATAAAAATGTCATACCATAGATAACTTAGATTAAACAAGAACGGAATTACCACAAATCTTATGTTTTTTTCCGTGTGACTTGAATTCGAAAGAATGTGTCCATGTCTTATAGTATTATCTGTATTCCAAAGAATGTATTCATGTCCTTTCTGTGTAATCTGTGTTCCAAAGAATGTGTTTATTTCCTTTCTGTGTAATCTGTATTCAAATGATTGTGTTTATTTTCTTTGTGTAATTTTTATTTTAAAGAATAGTTCCATTTTTCACCTGTGTAATCTGTATTCCAAAGGATGTTTAATGTGCTAATTGTGTGATCATATTCAAAAGAATGTATCATTGTCCTATCATTGCAATCTGTATTTAAAACAATGTTTTCATTTCCATCAATGTAACCCATATTTCAAAGAATGTATCCATGTCTTGTCTATCTGTGTAATCTTTATTCCAATTTTTTTCTTCAAAATACCTCCGTTTTCTGAAGAGGGTGAGTACTGCATGGATCCTTGGGTGTTCATATGAGAATCATGAAGGGTTCCAATACTCATACTACCACCACTACCTAGTAGGGCTCCGGTAGGAACCACTGCAAACAATATTTTAGTTAACAGGATCTTCAGTTAAAAGCCACCCTTCAGTTGTACAGTGACGTGTCTGATTCACTATGGTACCCTTTAAACTTTTGTTTTATAATCATTTACTTTACTGTGAACACGCCATGCCAGTCAGTAGTCAGTAGTAGTTTGAGTTAGGTTTCTTCAATTAAATTCAATCGCGTTTTTCTCAAGATCCAAAAATCTTCAGACGAAGTTGCCTTTGTTTACTTTTTCATTAAAAATGTATCAACCAACAAATAAGTATTGTTGAGAAAAAGTGTAAAATTCTGATTTAATACGGTATATTGTAATTTGTAAGCTGTGCTGTGCATTCACGTTTCCAGCACTTAATTTTCAGCTTAAAAATAGGAAATACTTCGTCATCGATGATAAGACAAAGGTTCAAAGGGTACCGTTGTTAATCGGATATGTCCCTTTCACCTCAACTATGCTTTCAGTGTGTATTGTAGTGATTTGCAGTACACTAGCCGAGACATAGTCGAGTTTAGTGGATCGAGTGCTTTATAAATACATTGTCACTTTACACTTTATTTAATAAACAAACATAAAATAGAGATACAAAATACAAATATAAATCTCAAAAAGTGTAAAACCGCCATTTCGTTGTGCTATTTGCGATTTTCTTAACGAGGTTGAGGAAATTTTTATCTCTCTATTTATACATACCTCTAATCCTTACTTTTCTGAGAAACCTACCTCGAAGCTGTTGATGCAGATGGTTTTGAAAAGCTTGTCTATCCTGTCCGTCTAGTCTTTCAGATAGAGATCCATTTAGTCGATCCTTAACACATCTTTTTATAATCTCAATACATTATACAAATATATTACAATTGAATATTATCATGCCCAAGGTGCATCGGAATAATCGTAACACAAGTAAACAGAAAATAAAACCAGTATTGTTAACCATTAATTTTAAAACCTATATAAAATGTCGTCTTCTACTGGAATCTCCTGTCGGAGACAGCCAAACCAAATTTTCAGCCCGCAAATTCCATTGTCCTCCTCCGACGGAGCTTAAAATATTTTCGTTGTTGTGAAATCATTAAAGTTAAGCAAAATATTTTCATAAGAAGCATAAGTGAATTTCGTTAAATATTCAACTGTAATTTTTCAGAAGTTAAAAAAACGTATTTCAATACTGATCAACAAATAAGTCAACCCCGACCATACTTAAATAATTCGTAAGATTTTTCTACTATTAACATTCATTATAACATTGTACAAGTAACCATGACCTATAATTTATGTTATTTTTTAGGAAATAAAGATTTTGTTATCGAATTTCTGAGACGGGGTTACTCTGTTGTGTGTGTATTGTTCAGCCATCGGGGAAAGAATTGTCTGGGGATAATAAACATCCCCCACCAGAATCCTTACCGGCCTACTATTCTGATTTGTCTAGCGTGTTGCTGTTATCCGTCAACAAGTATATATGAAAATAAAGAGAAAAAATTTACTAAAAAAGGGACTCTGATTTTAAATTTAATAATCTCTTGATGTATGTTTGTGTTGTCCGGCCCCGGTGTCCAGCATAAAGCGGACTCTTCCGTGGGGCGGACTCGACCCATAAAGTTTTAACCATTCAACATAATGTTAGACATAAAAAGCAATGTATAAAACATTAAAAATTATTAGTTGACATATCAAATACGCATTAATTAAAGGGAAAAAAAGGTTATTTCCTCTTGAATGTCGTCTTCTTTTCAAATCATCTAACAATTAGTATTTACTCTAGACATAGATAATTTTTACTGTGCTTTTCAAATTATAATACATTAATAAATATCGGAAAATGTCAGAACTTTGCTTTTTTATGCCTAACATTGTATTGAAATAGTTACTAGGGGCAATCCGCCCCATGCATTAGTCCGGTCCATGCATGACACCGGCCTTTGGCTCTCCGTCCAAACTTTTTTTTGTATCATTCGATATGGAGATGTGGTTTTGAAAATCGAAAGCGTTCGTTGAAAATATGAATTAAAGGGGAAAACAAAAAGAACAGTATTGAAATATTTGGCTAAAAAAACTAAATTGGTTTAAATAAGCTTTTTTCTAGATAAATTTTTTACTTCGAAAAAAAGGTTGTACCTTTCCAAACTTATAGTCCTTAAAGTGTATACGCTATTGAAGCCACACAGAACTAGGTGGAACAAGGCAAAATAAATTTACGGGATGATTTTTCCTCTGGAATTAATACGGAAAAATAATAAAGCCATCAACATATTAATAAAAATCACCGACCACTTTTGAGACCAGGCCGAAAGTGGAGTGTCTCGGAGCCAGGGGTTTATATATTTACTTTCGACTGAGCCTTATCATATAAATTATACCTTTTGAAGCCCTGAATCGGAAGATTTTAAAGATGCAAAGCGTTTGATTATTTAGCATTAGAATATTCGGAAAATACTGATTACAATTTTCACGTAGCATAAAGTGAGGAAGTCGATGCTTTTGTTATCTTCCAGTCCTCGCTAGTTTACCTCCGGTCCTTGAGTATCCTCGCTAGTTTACCTCCGGTCCTTAAGTATCCTCGCTAGTTTACCTCCGGTCCTTGAGTATCCTCGCTAGTTTACCTCCGGTCCTTGAGTATCCTCGCTAGTCCCAGAATCGTTCTCAGACTGCTCGCGGTCCTCTGTACACAGATAACTCTTTAGAAACACAGACGTAAAGTCAGGTTGCATTTTAAACTAAACATATATGCAGCTTAAACTTTTCATTGGTGGGTAGCTGATCTCAATTTTTTTAAAGCTTTGTAATAGATTAAAAAAGTGTCTAGAATGATGTATTATTGTGAGTGACAAAAGTGTAAATGATAAAAGTGTAAATGATAAAATTGTAAATGACAAAATTGTAAATGATAAAAGTGTAAATGATAAAAGTGCATCCTTCAAAAGCAAGTATTTTCCATGACAAATTATGACGTACTGGGGCTTAACAAGATTTCTCTTATCTCCCAGGTTTACATGGATCTCTCACATCACAGTTTGCAATTAGTAATTAAATTTTTTGGGGAATTAGAGTCAATTTGTATTCAACCTTATTGTTTTCCTGAATGTGTAATCATGCAAAATCTATCATCAAAAAAGTCTAAAGTTTAAACTCCAGACACTTGATTTTTTATTTTATTTTGATTATATTGAAAAAACACCCCTGATTTCCAAAGCCCTCAAAACTTTATCTTTAATGTGTTATCTTTCTAAGCTTCATCAAACGAAAGAAATTAAATAAATTGTGTCGGTTTAGAAAAGGTAAACAAGAAGTTTTATATTATTTTATTTCAAAGTAAAAAATATTCAAATATCTTTTTTATATTAATTGGTTCTTGGCGAACTTTTTTTCATTAAATTTAATATTCTGAATGTCCAAATTTATTAACTTTATTCATTGACTTTAAAGTTTAAACCTTGCTTTGAATCTGTATAATAATAAAACAAGCATAATTTAAATCCATTTAACATCGTCAATATTTAATCTTGACTTATTTTTTATGTGATTTAAATAAATAGTAATCATAGTAATCCAATGTGGATGTTAATGAGTTTCAGCATTTATTATAAAGTTTACCGTTTATCATATTATGATGGCCTCCTAGTTCTGTTAATATTTTCCTATAGCTGGGTCTTCGAACAAGGTGCCTTGGATCCCCTCGCCTCCTCCTAAATTCATGTATTCATTAATTCATTTATTCATCCTTTCATTTATTCATTTATTCATTTATTTCGTCCAGTTAAAAATTCATCCATTCTTTAATAGAATTATTCATAAATTCATTGTTTTTCATTTATTCTTAGTTTTATTCACAAATTCTTCATTTATTTAAAAATCGTTGATTTTTTCATAAATCAAACTTGTCCAATTACAAAGTTGATCAATCTATTGTTCCCAAGAAAATGTAAAAATTCTTTAGTAATTTGTTTGTACTTTTTGAACCCAGAAAATAATAAATTACATGTCTTTAAATGTTAACATCTGTCATATATATATATAAATTATTTTTATTTCCAAAACTTACAATTTTACATTTTTAAAATTTGTTCTTTCTGCAAAGCCTGCGAATCCTAAAGTCAGCTGTTTAAAAAGGTGGATTTTTAAAGATTTTTTTATATCTCTTGATTTTTGTTTTCGGGCGTAGTCCATTTCAAGTTATAGAAAATTTCCCGAAAGATTGAAATCTTACACGTTTTTATTTATAAATCCTCTTTTTGAAGAACTCTTAAGAAAAACAAACAGTTTTGACTATACTTCATATTAAACATAACAAAATTGCTTTTCTCCTGAGGAGCTACGAGGTTAAAAAGCCTTAGCAATAATTTTGCATACAATTTTCTTAAATATATTATTTATCAGTATGACTTATATCCCATGAATACAGTTAAATCATTCAATTAAATGTTTAATCTGTGACTGTGGATACTGGATATGGTTCAGCCACTCCAATCTGTACATACGAAATAGGTCAAATTTATGTGCTAGCACGACTTCTAGAACTTTTAGCTCCTCTAGTTTTGTTTTTGCGTCAAAGTCTGAGAAAAAACCATAGATAAATAAATAAACATAGATAACTTATGTACGCAAAATCACCAAGAATTGTACAGTCCGCGAACTCATACTTCTAGGGGTCAAAGTGTACTTCAATGATAAGCGGGGTGGTTTGGTGTTTTAATGGATTTCATAATAGAGTGTAAAATAACTCCGGGAATGGAACTATTTGAACAACAATATTTCACTGAGCAATATATCATATTGACGAGAACTGAAGAAGGACATGAGAAGGACTAAACTAACTTAAATTTCTCTTTACATGACTCATGTACACCACAAGTACTCAATGACATAATAACAGTCAATGTTCACAACCGAGCTAGGTAATCCATATAATAGGAATATCTTTAAAACATCTCTGTACATTCATATCTTTCAAGATAAAAAATGACGTCTTATGCGCAATCTATCTTTATCTATGGAAAAAACTATATGTTTGGCTGCATATTAGAAATTCAAAACTTTTTTGTTCTTCTCAATAGCTTTTAAAAAAGAAAAGTTATGATTGAAAACATCTAATTCAGATTTCAAATTATCGTGAAATTATATTTAATTCGACGAGAAGCGCTCTAAAGACTCTATATTTAACCTAATAAGCTCCTCCTCCTCCCTATCCAGCTGATGGTGGTTCAGTTCACGTTGAGCCGCAACAACCGCCTAAACAATCCATCCATTAAAGGGAGTGTTTGTGCCCCCGTCCCATCCCAATCTGATAAATACAACGTGAAAGATAGACGTAGTGTTTAGTTCTAATAATTTATCCATTGTTTCTAAAGCAATTGAAACGCGCCAGTCAATTCCGTAAAGAAACCACATTTGAAAATAATCAGTTTTCAAAAGCAAAAAAAATTGATTCTAATTCCTGCTTGATTAAACAAAGCTTTCAAGGGATTCAAACTTCAATCAATGGAGGGTTTGTTTGACAAAAATTGTCTCAAAAAAATCAATCAAAAGAATTAAGTGTTTGCCACAAACTCTGATTTTCTAATTCATATAGCTTTGCAACCCAATGTCGTAGACTTTAGATACAGGGTGTCCCACGAAACATGACAGTATGCAGGACGACTTAAATGTCGTCTTGATTTTTGATATAATTTGCTGTGTTTATTTGTCAACCTAATTTTAGAAGTAAATTTCTAGAGATAATAATCACAAAATTTCCCTTGTCCTGCCATTTCCAAAATGCGGTCTGCCTTTTTTGTGCTTTCAATATTGCCCGAGATATGAAGAATTTCGTTCAGATTTCGACAATTTTGCTTTTATTTAACAAAATTGAAATCTGAACCAAACTCTTTATATCTCCGGTAATATTGAAAGCACAAAAAACACAGACCACTTTTTGGAAATGCCAGGGCTAGGAGAATTATGTGATAATTGTTTCAAGAATCCTACATGTTAAAGTAGATAGAAGACTAAATGTCACAAATAAATTCAAATATCAAAGACGACTTTCAAGTCGTCTTCCTATTGTCATGTTTCGTGGGACACCCTGTATTTCAAACTAAAATTTCTGTTAGCTCAAATAATCTAATTTAAACATATTAAAGGTTAACACCAGCAAGGTTTCAAAGACAAAGGGATTAGAACATTTGAGTTTGTGGCAAAGACTTAATTCCTTTTCAGAATAATTTTCTACTTTTTTCGTATGGATGTTTTTGAATGAATATAAATAAGAAAATTTAGAAAATTTGTCTTTAGAAAAGAAAATATTTTAAAAAAAAGATATATTCATTCACATCAAAACTTTTAATTATTAAATAAGTATTTTGAACTCTTAATTAATAAATACAACAATTTTGATTTAATCTTGAATCTTGATGAATTTTTTCCTAGAAAACTGAAAGTTTATAAGAACGATAAAATAGCCACAGTTTTCCAAATAAATTGGATAGTTTAATTCATTAAAAATATTTAAAAGTAAATTACCCGATAATTAATCAAATCAAATCAAATATGTTTTATATGATACGTTGTAAGATGCAGATTGCTCAGAAACGCCTTCCTTCTTATTCAAGTTATCCTTGTTATGTCATTTTGATTATATTTGTCGAAAATTTACTTAATCATAAATTCATGAAATATTTAAATTGAATGTAATTTTTCCTTATTTTCAACCTTTAAGCTCACATGAATATCCATATTAAATACGAATGGGGAAATAGTTTAAATTTTTTTAACAATTTGCACAGTGTGCACGCTTTAACGAATTTTTAAGATGAAGTCAAGCAATTTGATCTGAAATTCATTTAGGTGATTTAACGTGAAGAATCTGTTTATAACCTGAATTGCAGACTCCTGTTTAATCTCCGTCTGTCCTCCTTCCTGGGCATCCAACCTGTCCACCATCTGGAATATGTAAACAACTTTATTTAAAACGACTATCCACCATCAGGAATATGTAAACAACTTTATTTAAAAGGACTATCCACCATTTGGAATACATAAACAACTTAATTTAAAGGGACTGTCCACCATCTGGAATATGAAACAACTTTATTTAAAGGGACTGTCCACCATTTGGAATATGTAAACAACTTTATTTAAAGGGACTGTCCACCATCTGGAATATGTAAACAACTTTATTTAAAGGGACTATCCACCATCTGGAATATGTAAACAACTTTATCTAAAGTGACTATCCACCATCTGGAATATGTAAACAACTTAATTTAAAGGGACTGTCCACCATCTGGAATATGTAAACAACTTTATTTAAAGTGACTATCCACCATCTGGAATATGTAAACAACTTAATTTAAAGGGACTGTCCACCATCTGGAATATGTAAACAACTTTATTTAAAGTGACTATCCACCATCTGGAATATCTAAACAACTTAATTTAAAGGGACTGTCCACCATCTGGAATATGTAAACATCTTTATTTAAAGGGAATAACCACCATCTGGAATATGTAAACAACTTTATTTAAAAGGACTATCCACCATCAGGAATACGTAAACAACTTTATTTAAAGGAATATGTAAACAACTTTATTTAAAAGGACTATCCACCATCAGGAATACGTAAACAACTTTATTTAAAAGGACTATCCACCATCAGGAATACGTAAACAACTTTATTTAAAGGGACTGTACACCATCTGGAATACGCAAACAACTTTATTTAAAAGGATTATCCACCATCTAGAATACGTAAACAACTTTATGTAAAGTGACTATAATCCATCTGGAATACGTAAACAACTATATTTAAAGTGACTGTTCACCATCTGGAATACTTATACTTTATTTAAAGTAACTATATTCCATCTGGAATTTGTAGACAACTTTATTTAAAGTAACTATATTCCATCTGGAATTTGTAGACAACTTTATTTAAAGTGACAATAATCCATCTGGAATACGTAAACAACTTTATTTAAAGTGACTATAATCCATCTGGAATACATAAACAACTTTATTTAAAGTGAATATCTGCGGAACTCCATCTTTAAGACTTACAAACGGAGCAAAAATTATAAAGATATCCTGTGTTTTCAATATCACAATTGATCAATTGTAACAGCGGGTTCTGTTTAGAACTGTCTGGAAGATTGTTAAAACATTGGAATACGAAGAATTTTACTACATTTTACTCGATAGTGTTCTCCTGTTTGTTAACCAAACAAGTGTCAGTTTAACCAAACCAAATCGAATTATAAAATGTTCGAGGCATATTTCCCGGATATCTTTCTTTAGCGGTATACGGGAAACTATGATAAAATATTAATTAATGATTACAGATCCTAGTTCTTTCGGTGCAGTTTCCAACAAAAAATGGTTTGCATTCATTAAATGTTTTATATTATAACAGAGATTATAACTGCTCTGAAAATAGTTCACCGTTTAAAAAAACTGGGTTGACAACTTGACTTTTAATTGTCGAGACGCGTTGGCCTTAGGGTTTACTCACAATATAATTCATACTATTCTGAAGCCCTCGACGTGTAAAGGAATTGAGTCTTTGTCACAAACTATGATTTTCTAATCTCTATATCTTTGTAATCCAATGCCGTAGACCTTAGATATTTCAAACTATGAATTCTGTTTGATGAAAAAATCTAAGTTTAAAATATCAAAGGTTTACACCATCAGGTGGAAAAAATATAGGTATTAGAAAATCAGAGTTTGTTACAAAGACTCAATTCCTTTTAGATTTTTCTTCAGGTTACAAGATAAATAAGTCATCTTCATAGAATCGTCTTTTAGTTTAATTTTTTCTACAAGAAATTCTCGCAGACATGTCTTAAATCAAAATATATATATGTGCAATTTCTTTTAAGTTCAGTAAAAGCTTATTAACCAGCACCGTGTAAAAAAATAGAATTTAAATCATTGTCACTATGATAAAATCAAGGACATGAAGAATAAAGTAAATATGTTTGACATTTTAAACCATGTCCACACAGCATATTAAGAGTAAAGAGAATTTTCTTTCAATTCTATTTTTAAAGCATTTAATAAAGTTAAAAGTGGTCTAATTAGTAATTATCCAACATATCTGTAAATCCTTTAAAAATTCTTTCCATCATTATCTTCAGATTTGCAGATTTTTAAAAGATAAAGACAACTTTTCAATTTTTTTAATGTCAATTGATTGGACATGATTTAAAGTGCACTACAGTTCACTTCAAATAAAAAAATGTATTGGTAACAAACATGGAGTTGTGGAAACAAGCTTTAACAAATTTAAAGCTAAAATTTTTTTTCAAAAATAATTGAAAATTATTCCTCTCCCCGGTCAAAAAATTAATATGACAAGGTAATTCGTCCTATTTGTACTTCAACACATCTCCCATTTGACTCAGTTCTGTGTATTATCATGGCCTTGAAAATAAGTTCTCTCTCTCCAACAGGTGTGGGGAGTGTGGGGGGGAGACAACGGGGTTTCATGCGTTCTCCGAGTTCAAGGGGAATAAATGTCTCCTACGGTTTTATTGAGTAATCACTGAACCTGCTATACAATTATATGAAGATCTGTTTATTCCAGCTGGAGAAGGTTTACCGGCTTCGTCACTCGTCTTCACGTCACTGTCACTTCGTCACCAGCCCCCTCCGTACAGTCACGTGATCCTCGGAGCCTAGGTCACGTGACCAGTACAGCCAATTAGCAGAGAGAAAGGAGACGTTTGTGGTGGAGAAGGGGGGAGAGGTACCTCCCAGGTAAATTTCCTCTCTCTCTCCGGAGACAGATAGAGCTAGAGAGAAGGAAAGATAGACAGAGTCTGAGAAAGTGAGAGAAATCTACAGAGAGAGAGAAATTTTTCTGGAAAAAAGCTGCTCGTCTTTACCTAGCTAATATCTATATAAATAAATATATATATTTGTATATTGATCTGTTAGCTATAGCTCTGGTAAACGGCTCGAGCGAAATGGCTGAACAATATTTAGGGATCCCATGGGTCCTAAGGGTAACATAGGCTAAAAAAATTCGAAATAGTTTTTTTCAAAACTCATTTTTTTTCAAAATCCGATTTTTTCAAAAATGTCACGGCCAACGCCGGGCACTTAATCAGGTAGTAAATAATAATAAGAGAATATGTATACACATTGTACATTGTAAAATAAGGGAGATCGATTTTTACATTTGAATTCTTTGTTCCAAGACGGATCGTTCGAACTCCACATATATAGATCACAATTTATTATCGTAATAAGAATTGGGTTACGTCCGGGCAGTATGGAGTATTGACTTGATAGAAAAACGTCTATTCTGAAAGATTTTTTATAATACACAATACAAATGCTATTCTGGGTGAAGCAAGGTATATTTCCAAAATCGACCTCTCTTATTGTACAAGGAAAAGATTATACTTTTGGTATTTTCTCGAGGTAAAAATTTATTAAAAACTTTCTTTATGTATGTTGCAGGATGCTGTCTCATATTCAAAATTAAAATTACCAATTTTCCGGGAATCATAAAGAAGGCATATTTTAATTCTAATTTTTGAAAATCTTGTTTGACATGATGAGGTTTGAATTCTAATCAGGGGAGCTCGGAAGCTTTGGTTCAGTCCTACGTATAAGATATTTAGATATCTTCGTCATCCTTGAACAGAATAAGGTTTACAAACCTTTCTCCGGGTTTACGGGGTTCTCATGCATTTGTAATAAATGGTAAGTCATTTATAATTACGTTTACATTGCCTTTAAGAATTGAATGGGATAACCCGAACCGTTTGTGATCGTAAATAGTTGGTTTTGTTTTTCAATTTTAACACTTCAACACGATAATTTGACCGTGTAGTAAAGCATCAAAAGCAAAAAGCAAATCAAATGTGATGCCTAACTCACTAGTTTTGAGAAAATGTTAACTTTCTAGTCAAATTATAACTAAATTATTAGTTTGCTGGAAATAGCAAATAGTTAATGGACTCAAATTAGAAGTTAATGGACTCTAAGTCACTTTTCTAACGCTGTACTACACTTTAAAAAAAAAGATTGTGTGAAATTTAAATCTTAATATAACAGAAAAAAAACATTTATTTAGAATTTTTATTTTGACATTCTTTTTGACTAGCCAACCAACAAATTGTAACTAAGAATAACGACTTAGAGTTGTGACTTAGAATTTGTCATGAACATTATCAAGCCTAAAAGAAGAACTGAGATATGTTTGTGACTCAATTTTAATGATTTCTTTAAATATTTAAAGTTACAATTGTATCAAAGTCATACTATGAAACAAAATTGAATCAGAAAAATGCGACTTAGAAATGATCGTGACTTAGGCATAAATTTGTCTCCAAAAACAGACTTAGACATATTTGTGACTTTTGCTTGTGACTGAGAAGGTGTGTTAGACATAGCTGAGCCTTACTAAACATGGCTTAGGTATAGTTTTCTCTCAGAGTTATGGTTAGACATTATTGGGTTGAGAAAAGTATGACTGTCAGGTAATTGCGACTTAAAACTATAACAAACAATGTGATTTATATAAATTGAGCCCAAAAAATGTGACTTAGAATTGATTGTAACTGAGAAGGTGTTTTTGTGACTCAGAAAGAGAATAAGACAAATCTGTGACTTAGAATTTTGACTTAGAAAGTGTCTTAGACATAAATAAAGTAAGACGTTGAAATTATTGTAACTTAGAACTGTGACTTAGAATGTGCTTACTGTAAATTATATTTCAAGGGAGTGTTCACTGTAAAATAAATTTCCAAGGATTGTTCACTGTAAAATATAAATAAAGAGAGTGTTCAGCTGTAAATTATATTTCAAGGGAGTTCACTGTAAAATATATTTAAAGGGAGTGTTCACTGTAAAATATATTTAAAGGGAGTGTTCATTGTGAAATATATTCAAAGGGAGTGTTCACTGTAAAATATATTTAAAGGGAGTGTTAATTCACTGTAAAATATAATTAAAGGGAGTGTTAATTCACTGTGAAATATATTTAAAGGGAGTGTTCATTGAAAAATATATTTCAAGGGAGTGTTCACTGTAAAATATATTTAAGGGAGTTGTTCAATGTTCTTAGCCGGATGACCGTAAATTACTTTTTTGTATTAAAAAACATTAATTAAAAATATTCTGTTGAAATGCGTCTATATCCAAAGAAAAATAACTCCTTTTAGGATTTTTTGATTGTTTTTCAATACGTAGAGTAACGATTAACTGGCAAAAAGCGTCTTGTTCATCCATTTACAGGACCGCATTGCCTAGTGCCAAAATTAAGAACGGATTGGCCTGAAACACATTTATAAACGTTGTGCACCCATCTGAAGCGACATAATCCTGTGCAGTATATTTCTTTTTTTTTAGAAAAGTTGAATAGGGACAAAATAAATGCATGCAGTTTTTGTTCAAAACCTTGATTGTGGACCTTGCTGTAAACCTTGATTGTGGACTTTGCTTAAAAATATGTTTTTTTCAAATGCAAAAATTCAAACAAACCATTTAAACAAGGTTATTTGTTAAATGCATATATGTGTCATGTAAGGGTAAAAAAAAAACTCTAACCTTGTGAAGATCTCGTAACAAACCCTTCTAGAAAAAAAATAATTAAAATAGTTTTCTTTTTGATATTTTTTCATTTACTTTTTTGAAATGATATAAAAATTCCTTCTATTTTCTTCCGAAATTAAGAAATTTCAAGTTGCATATAGAACCAAACCTTTTCTACAGTTATTGACTCAAAACATTTATGGTACAGTTAAACCCTAAATAAGCCATACATCGAAAGAATTTATCAAATGTCGTCTTGACAATTTTTCAATGGGTTTTTATACTATTTTGCGTAAATTTCAGTATTTGCGAAAATAAATAAAAAGCCATGAATATGCGGGAAAAGTTTTAAAGAGCTCCATATAATAATTTAATTTAAAAACTAAATATTTGCAACATTCCTTTATCAAAAAGTGAAGAATACGACATTTTATGAATTTTTTCGATGTACAGCTTGTTTAGGGTTTAACTGTAGTAAATTGTAATGTGTAGCCCATGTTCCCGCATTATCAATAAAAAAGAACTGAGGTTCATAAATATTTATAAATAAAACAAATACATTAATGGACATTAAGCATGATAAGGAGCAGGAGCAGGAGCGTATGCTGGTGCAGGAGCGTATGCTGGTGCAGGGGCGTATGCTGGCGCAGGGGCGTATGCAGGTGCAGAGGCATAAGCTGGTTCAGGAGCGTAGGCTTTTGCAGGGGCGTAGGCAGGTGCAGGGGCCTGTTTGTAAGGTGCGGCATGTTTGGCAAGAGATTTGTCGGGGCAAGGAACACCTGAAAATGACAATTTATTAAATATTTGAGTTTTTAATCAAATTTTCAAATGTTTACCGTCGTATTTAACATCAGCATGATATTGATGGTACTCGTCAACATAGTAATCCACAATCTGTGTAGTACAGTCAGGAAGCTCAACCTATGTATATTTACGAAGTCAAATCATTTATTCAAATTATTCAAATCAAACCCATTCTTTTCAATCCTTTGTTATTCTATTCTAAAAACACATTAATGGATGATGGGCACTTTTATTTTTTCTCTTGGACTAAAAATGAAATAATGGCACTCTTAACTTTTTTTCTGTTTTTATTAAACACTAGCTGAAGGGCCCGGCGTTGCCCGTGAAAAAAAAAATTATAATTCTTTTTTAGAAAAAAATGATTTCGAATTTTTTAGCCTAAGTCACTCCAAGGCTACAAAAACCGGTCCAGACTTTTAGCCGGATATCGGTTACAAATATACAAATGTCTTGTTTTATTATATAGATTTGAATTTTAAAGAAAAAATTCGAACTCACCCTATATTGACCCTTGACTTGATTTCCAATCCTTTCCTCTGTTCTACCATGGACATTAGGGTTTCCGTATTCATCATATCCATTCACGTCATATCCAAATTGGTAATCCTAATTTTAAAACTAATCTTTAACAAAAATTGTTCGATTTTCTTATTTCAACGACTTGACAGGGTTGATAGAACGACAAATTGAGCTTTTGCCACAAACTCAAATTTTCTAATCTCTTTGTAACCTAATAGTGTAAGCCAGAGGTGTACTCAGGGAAAGGGGGCTATAGAAGCTCAGACCCACCTCTGGATCAAAAAAATCTACGCTTTTCATGGGTTTTTAGGCCCCGACGGGTGCTGAGCCCCCCCTTTGGAAATTTGAGCCCTACCCCCTGGATAAATCCTGAAAACGCCCTTGATGGTGTAAACCTTATGATATTTCAAACTAAGACTATTTAATCTAACATAATTCATGGTTTAAAATATCAAAGGTCTACAGCATCAGGCTGCAAAGATATAAGATTAGAAAATCAGAGTTTGTGACAAAAACTCAACTCCCTTTAAATATTTAGAAAACTTGTTGGTAAAAGATTTTTTTCCCAAGCTAGTCGATTTGAATATTAACATGGTTTATAGTTTTAGGATATAAGACGTTTTTCAAAGAAACTATTTTCGTCAAAAGATAATTTTTCCTTTGGTGGTTCTTCATGGTAGGGCTCAGGGTGGTAGGGTTTAGGGGCAGCATAAGGTTTAGGGGCAGGAGTATATGGAGCTGGGGCAGCGTAGGGAGCAGGAGCATAGGGAGCGGGAGCATAGGGAGCGGGAGCATAGGGAGCGGGAGCATAGGGAGCGGGGGCATGGTGCTGATGACCAAGATTGTCAGATCTGACGGCTGATGCCAAAAGCAATGATGCAAGGAATCTAAAATGAAATATTTTTAATATGTTTTTTTAACTAATAGCGTTTTACAATATTTCAAAAATATTCTAAGACAATGGTATTGGTAATGTCACCTCTTCATGGTTGGATTGATTTCAAGCAACTGATACTATCTAGTCTATACAAGGAGTGCGTATAATATAGGAAACAAGCGCTTGCTTGCCTCTAAAACTGTAAAGGGCGTACACAGCGTAGACCCTGCGTATATGCAACTACAGCAGATGTCAAAAGTGCAATCAGTTTAGCTATATTTATAGGAAAAATTTGAAAAGCTTTAAAATTTAAAAAGCTTTAAAAGGGTTAAAAATAAAATATGTTAAATTAAACATGATTTTCAGAATTTTGTTAGGTTGCTCTGTAAAATGTTTAAATCTAGACCATGGAAGCTGTTTACACACCCTTGGGCATGATTGGTCAGAATTAACCTTTACCCTAGAAGTTACAGTTTATTTAGAATTCACACCACTCCCTGCCGCTTCGCGTCATGATCAACAAATTTGGAAACTGAACAATGATAGTGCTAAATACAGCATTTTTATCTAACTGACCACTGAAAAAGGAGAACTTTTATTTTTTTTATTATCCTTTCGGAATGTTAAACAGTATACTTTTTTTGATGAACACCCTATGGGTAAAATAGAGATTTTGTCAGGGTTCTAACGTTTTGTTGGATGCAAATTGCCTAGCTGAGGTTAAAATTCTAAGATATATTTGGGAATTTTTTTTATAAATAATCTCGTACATCTTAATCTTTCCAGGATTAAGCAATTCCTTTTTTCTTAGATTCTTGGTTCCCTGTAAACTTTTTTCTTAGATGCTTGGTTCCCTGTAAACTTGTTTCTTAGATTCTTGGTTCCCTGTAAACTTGTTTCTTAGATTCTTGGTTCCCTATAAACTTGTTTCTTAGATGCTTGGTTCCCTGTAAACTTGTTTCTTAGATTCTTGGTTCCCTATAAACTTGTTTCTTAGATGCTTGGTTCCCTGTAAACTTGTTTCTTAGATGCTTGGTTCCCTGTAAACTTGTTTCTTAGATTCTTGGTTCCCTATAAACTTGTTTCTTAGATTCTTGGTTCCCTGTAAACTTGTTTCTTAGATGCTTGGTTCCCTGTAAACTTGTTTCGTAGATTCTTGGTTCCCTGTAAACTTGTTTCGTAGATTCTTGGTTCCCTGTAAACTTGTTTCGTAGATTCTTGGTTCCCTGTAAACTTGTTTCTTAGATTCTTGGTTCCCTGTAAACTTGTTTCTTAGATGCTTGGTTCCCTGTAAACTTGTTTCTTAGATTCTTGGTTCCCTGTAAACTTGTTTCTTAGATTCTTGGTTCCCTGTAAACTTGTTTCTTAGATGCTTGGTTCCCTGTAAACTTGTTTCTTAGATGCTTGGTTCCCTGTAAACTTGTTTCGTCCTTTATCAACTCATTCAGCAAGCAAGACAGCAGACAAAATCCACACTTAGCTCTTTGCTTTATCAAGACTTTAGATCTTTACTAAAGCTACGTTTAACAGAGTTGAGATGTCAGATAATTCCCATTAGATGGATTCAGTATGATTTTTAGTAAATCTAGCAAAGTAAAAGCATGCTGTGCAAAATGGATTTAAAATTGTTCAAATATGTAGATCGTGTCTGGACATTTATATATTAACCCTAAAATATTAATATTTTTAAATTTAATATGCTCATTTCATTTTTTCCTTTATTGTCAAAGGCATAATTCTACTCTTAATTGCAACCCTTCTTTTTTTTAAAATAATTAATTACTTTGCACCAGAGTGAATTTTCGTGGTTCTCTAGGGTTTTAATGAGACTCTTCACAAAGTCTATTTTATATAAAGTATCAAAAGTGACTTTACTTTGCTGGATTTTACAATGATTTTACAAATAAAAAGAGTCTTGAGAGAGTTCCCCCTCTTTTAATTTTGAATTTGAAAGAACTGATTGTTTAAAAGTTTTTTAAAAAACTTTAAAAGGTGGGGAAAATAGGACGACATTTATACTGGCTTTTCATGGAATAATGAAAATATGGAATGGAACAAGAAAATTTTGAGTAAATTGTCGTCTTCGTTAGTAATTTAAATAAAAAATATCGCTATTGAAAATTGTTGTAATTTGTAATTGCTTAAACTCACAGTTGTCAAAAGATTGCAAGCTCTCGTGCACCAATCGAGCCATCGTCAATTAAACTAATTCAGGGTGTCCCAGTAAACCTGATAGTTGAGAGACTTCAAGATCTAAAGATACAAATTAAACAACTTACAATATTAACTTATCACATTGTGGTGTAACTCCTAAAAATCTCTTTAGATAGCTTACAGTGGTGTATTATACAGGGGGGCGACAGGGCTAAGCCCCCCAGAATTGAAAACTATGATTGCCAGAGCCAGAGGCGTTTCAGCTGAGCCCCCACCACTCGCCCCCTTGGAATGTAGATTAAGCTGTAAACGACATACATGTAAGTCGTTTCTCAACTGTCAGGCGCATACACAGGATTTGATCCAGGGGGGGGAAGTTTTCGCACGAAGCGCTAAAAATATTTGTTTGCACCCCCCACCTGGCCTTAATATAATGCTGTTATTCAATTTTCAGTCTACTAGATGTCCTTTATGTAGCCCATTGTACCAATTCAAGGACTATATAATATAATGTATCTCTCTGTATAGTTCTCTATTACTCTCTGAAGTCCTGAGTAGTCTCCTGAGACTACTACCCTTTGTAGTCCACTATAGTCCCAATTCAAAAACTATTTATTATAATGTATCCCTCTGTATAGTTCTGTATTACTCTCTTAAGTCTTGAGTAGTCTCCTGAAGACTATCATTGGTCTTCCGTCCTCTTTATTCTCCCGTAATCCTCTCCTTAGGTAATCTCCCCCCTGACATTCATGGGGGTTGCTGGAAGACATGCCAAACACTTGATTAATGCATATAGCTATAATTGTTTATCAAGTAGGGGGGGGATTTTAGATATCATAATAAGACAGTCAAATATATGTTGCGTATAGCCGGCCAAACGGCTGGACCGATTGGGCTGATTTTTTTTGTGGACACTCATGGGTGGCTGGGAGGTGTTAAAGGCTATGAAAAATAAGAATTTTTTTTTTCAAAATTTTTTTCTTATGGGCAACGCCGGGCTCTTCAGCTAGTTTTAGATAAAATGGAAATACTAAGATAAAATTTAAAAATAAATTGCGCGAACTACTTTTTTAGGGGGGAAAACACCCTTTAGAAGATGAGGGTAAGCTTATTTTTTAACCACATTACCTGATATCAAATTGATAATGAGTTTACAGAGTCAGAAAGCTGAGATCATCTTGGTTATTATAGTGTATAAAGTGCTAATTTACTCTAATTCTTTGCAAAATACTGAAGTATAGGCCGGGAACTACACCTTGAGAGTGTACTGTATATATATATTATTATACTTTAGGTTGGCCATAATCTCCTTATGTCATATATTAGTAATTATTTTTAGTCTGGAAGGTATAAAGCTATTAGTTCCTCTGGCTAAGATATTTATACATCAATTTTCTAGTCCGGGTTAACTTGGAGGTTGCAGCCTTACTTTAACATCTACATTTCAGAACTGGAAAGCTCTAGTTTCTTCCTTCTGTGTAAAAGGATTAAGTAAAGGTCTTGATGTAATTTTGCGTGTGAACACGTGTATATTTTGGTTCACCGTGATCTATTTAGTTTTTAGTTTTAGCAGCTGATAACAAGAAAATAAATTGGGGAAATAAACAGTACTGCCGGCTAGTTTTCAGCCTCTTAGGTGTTTAAATTATGTATTACCGTTTTAATACCATCACGCACGAACGGTTTTTATCAAAACTTTTAAAGAATCTCAGTAAGTTTTCAATAGCGAGTTCTCCGAACTTTTGAACTAAAAATACAGTTAATCTTTCTGTAAGGTTAATAAAATAGATAATCTAGGTTTAGGATTAAGCTATTACCCCTTTAATATTGGTATCAATTCTGATGGCAGCATTTTTGAACATGAATATTTTTAAAATACTGGTCGAGGTACACGGTTTCTTTATCCCCCTCTCCTGGGACATCAAGTTCCAGTATCAATAGAAACTATATTTAATAATATTTTAAACATTGAAAGTTCAATTCATATGTATAAATATAATATGTAAATCCAATCTTTTCTCCCGGATAATTTTGCTACATCAATAATCAACAAATCAAGTTTAGGTGTAAAATACGTTTGTGCTTAGATTGTACTTACAATGGGAACCCGAAAATAAGGTAAAAGGCCTTCGTTCATTCTTTTTATTGTTAAACTGAACAGGAACCCTTAATATATATCATATTTAAAAGAAATAAAGAATCTTGCTAATATATTAAAAAATGATGTTTTAAATAAAAAAACATAAGGGGAGCATCACTGTTTTCATGCATGTAAAGTTCAAATACTTTAAAAAATACATTTCTAGTAATTCAAAGAAGGTTCTCCGTTCTCCTGTATTAAATACAGTTTGAACATTTATACAGTCCACACTAATCTTGTAAATACGTACATTTAAACTTGAACTACGCTGTAAATATGTTAACTTGTAAGATAGATATCTAAAATAAATCAGTTGATAGAGACTCCGCTTTGTTTACGGTGATAGAAGTAATCGAGTCTTTGTTGAAACATACGATCTGAGATCGTGCCTTGTCATTTGGCATTGATCGATTATGAGCTTGTTTGATAGCTACGCTTGTGTCCCTGTGTGACATTCAGAGCCGATGAGATCGTGCCCATTGGGTTAGCATTGATCGCTTAATAGTTTGTTGACATTTGTAGCTGACGAGTTGTACCTGACGAAATAGTTTAGTTCTTTTTTCTTTAAGCCAGTCAATGTTCTTGGTAAAAATGCTCCGAGCGAATGCAATTGCAAGAATACCAATATTGCATGGCAATGAGAAAAACAGGAAGAAATTTTATTTTAGTAACAATTTTAGTCATTGCTCTTTAACCCTAAACAGGCTGGGGACGCCCCCACCCCCTCTATATATTTTGCCCTAGCACTATCATTTTTGACACTATCACTGTAAAATTATTTGAATTTTTAATAAATAGAAAGGAATTGAGTTTTTGTCACAAACTCTGATTTTCTTATCCCTATATCTTTGCATTTGAATGTTGTAGAACTTAGATATTTCAAACTATGAATCATTTTAGATCAAATAACGATA